TCACCACAGAATAATGTTATATCGGGTATAATTGAGAACCAGAGAGGACTGGACTAAGAACAGTCTCATAAATCAAATAATTCTCCACAGATCCCTTTCCGCTGTTGTATATAGTATTGATTTTACTTTTTTTAGTTGTCACTTGGCTAATCCAATTGATGCAAAAGAAATGTAAAGCAACAAATTTTTCTAATCAGCATACTGATGATCAAAATAACATTAGTAGTACACAAGATATGTATATTCAACGTCTACAATCTTGTTTGATTTATATGGATTTATGGAATAAAGGTTATTATATTAGTACATCCACTGCAAAAATGGGTGGTGATCTCCTGGTTTATCAAGGTGAGTAGTAAATTTTAGTCATTGATTCTGTTTCTTTTGCGACCTGTCTTTTGTGTTCATTCCTTTTTTTTCTTTTTCTTGTATCAAACACAAATGTTACATAAAATTCCTCTCAATAATTACGTTAATATAGTATGAAATATCTTTAGTTTATTTTTGTCGTGCTGTAAATATATGATGTAATAGTTTAGTAATTATTAATTTTTCATAAGTTCAATTTCATAACTTTTCACTGGTGGGTTATTTGCCGTACTTTATGATGGTCGTTATACTCACTTCTGTATAGTTTTTTATTTACATGAAATAATAATGTAATATCACACTGTTGTGGTGTGTGCTACTGATGTCAATAGATATACGTAGTATGTATCATCAATAGAAAGTGAAATGTCTGGTGGCAGAAGGTTAAGAAGATCGGAGAACAGGATACAAGAACAGAGAATGATTGGTGTGTAATTGATGGAACAATAAAGTCTGAGACGAATGATTGACATTTTGCAAATGAAGTATTTGCTGCATAGTTCTCAAATTTTACTAAGATATTATGTAGTTTTATGTTCAAATCGATTTGATTGTCCCCACTTGTGTTCTCGTTCACTACAGTATAATGCAGATCATAACTTCATAAAATGTACATATATTTTTTTCTTGATTCTTATTGATAACAATATAAAAGATGTTGTCCTCATTTTCATAAATAAATAGTCAAATTTGCTTTAATTATGCAAATGAAATAAATCAGAAGTGAAGTGAATATTCATCTGTCGTAAGGCAATAGGTAGCATTAAACAATACATTCATCACTATATCTCATCTTTCTGAGTTATTGTGCTCTCTAGTAATTAGTTTCAAAATGGATTTCTCAAATTTTTAATAATAAAATTGTAAAATCACTTATATTGCGGTGTGGTAATTGTTAAGACAGCTTTCGAGAACCACTATGGAGCCTCCAACGACCTTAAAGGAGTTGAAGAGTTTCCACTTAATCAGAACCTGATGGGATTTTCTAGAATATCAACGTTGCATGCTACGATTGAACACTAGCCTAATTTGCCTTCTTGATGATTGGCCGCATTTTAAAGATGTCATAGCCAACGCTAATAACTATAAATACCCATGCTTTTCTGAACATTTTCGATTCTTACCCAATAATCACTTCTCCTGCTTCGTCTGTCCTCTAATATTCGTTCGAGTGCCGTTAGTTTTATATCGTATTCTGCGTTAATCGCAATCAGTATGAATTTTATTTTTATCTTCTGTATATCAAATAAGCAGTCATTTTGCCACAGAACATTTTGATCGTCTTCCATCTCATAATAAGGATATTAGAAAGACAGCCGAGTACTTTATATCATTATTAGACTCAGGGCTGCATGATTATATGCATACCATATACATCCTTAAGGTTTCATAAATAATAAATCACATTCTGTACATAATTTGGACCTTTTTGGCACGGACTTTGACAATAATTTCTGAACGGAGAAAAATATGACAATGGTGAATAAGTCGAACGACCGCTTGAATTTAGGACAATATCATAGATGATTTGTTTGATAAATGCACACCAATAATTTTCATACTAATTCATGGTAGGCTAGTTTTCAAAGTTTCTTTATTTTCATTTATTTGCCCACTTATAACAGTAATAACTCACCACTGATATCAGAGCATAACACGCTTTATCACTACTGACTAAATTTATTAAAAACTATGAATTATGTTCCCGTACTCTAAAGAAAGCAATTGCCCAACACCATTTAGTTTCGAACAGTTTTGTAACCTTTATTTACTGTATCAACATAGTCAATTTACCATAAATATTCACTACCTTTCTAATTTTAATCCTCAGGTAATAAAAAGCTAATTTACACGTAAATTGATTAGTGCATTATGAATTAATGTGAATATTATATACTTATATCACAAGTATGCTCATCTAAATGCATCTTCAGTATAAATTAAACTGTTCAATTTAATAATGATATTATGGTCTTTATTAAATAAATAAAAACTTGAAGAGTTTTTCAAGCTATATATGTTTTCACTATTATACTCAAAAAGTATGTTCTACTTTACAGTTTTCCTTTTTTTTTCTTTTACATTTTGTTTCTTAGGTGATCCACTTTTGTATCATGGTAGTCATATTATTACAATTTGTAATCCAACAGATCTATTTTGCAATTCACAATTATTAGCTAAACTACGTATTGCGAATGGTTTGAAAAAAATACTTGTTCTAGCTGCAGTTAGTAATATTGAAATGTTTACTAGAAAATTTACAGTTCAAAGAATAAAACATTGTGAAATTAAGAATGATAATGACGATGATGATAATGATGGTAGTGTTGTAGATCCCCCAGTTATTGTCAGTGAACACTCGAAATTATCTGTACAATCAAAAGAAATTACGTCCAATGAAAGTACCCATAGTAATTGTAATAGTAGCACTAATAAAATACAGCCTAATGTAATTTACTTATCCCTTCAATATATGTCTTCACACTCTAGTAATCCAACATTTTCAAAATCATTATGATGTATAATAAAAATTGTTTTTCCCTTTCTTTCTATTGTTCAGTATATTTTTTGTAAATGAGAATGATTAAAGGAAGACAAATACATGTTTTCGTAAACTTTTCTGTTCTTTTAATTTGTTTTTTTTGTGTCATGCTTGGATGATATTTTAATTTGTGCTTCATGTATTTAGAATATCTAGTTGAATACTCTCAAAAACGTACATTCAGAAAATTATATCTGTAATTGCATCGTGATTGTAGTTCGATGTTACTTATTTACCAAGTTCTTGTTGATGTATTTGGCTTTTAAGGATACATTTTGTGGAGGCTAGTGGTTCTATTTGCCGATGGTCCAAACCGAAGTACATGAAATGGATCTGCCAGTTGAAGACTGAGTGCTGCAGTCGCTAAACTACCACTTCAATACGCGGTAATTACAATCGTCCATAAAATATGTTTGATATAGGATGACTAACTATATTGAAAACCAATAAGAAACTTCCTATTCACAAGCTGTTAATAATCGATCACAAATGTGTCGGAAACAGCTCACGTATGTCAGGACCAGCAAGTGAGTAGTCCTGAGACTGGAGTGGGGTTATAGTTCCCAATAAACATAGTAATTTGTCTGATGAGATTGTGAAATTTTATCGACTGAGTTTAGGGAAATATATGTAGTGCATACCTGGCCAAAAGCTATTCTGACGTGCTGTTCTGGTGAGCATATGTTTGGTTTTGAGGAATGCTAGAATGGGACATCACATCAAATCAATAACTACAGAACTGATCCTTGTTGGAAACTATAAGTTCATTATAGTCATAATCTGTTGTTGGATACCATTGGATGACCTATCTCCGATATATATATATATATATATATATATATATATATATATATATATATATATACGCGAAAAATTACTTCCTAAATTATTCATTTTCCCATTTATTTAGAACATTTTATTATTCATGGTTTCAGATTACTTGCGTTGCGTGATATTTTTTTCAACCATTGTTTATCCCGAAATGTAGTGTTGTGTAGATGACAACTAGTAATCAGGAAATCAACAAACCTAGTCAGTTCATGAAGTCATTAACTGTTGGTTCGACTCTTATGAAGATGTTCTGACTACAGACCTAGTTTTGTTCCGTGAGATAATTGTGACCAACGATCGAAAGCATTAGATGAGGCGGCATGGGTTAATTAAAGTGGCGTAGATTCATCCTGTATTATCCCGTTTTTCTATATTCTCTACACGTACTCTTCTATAATATCCTGTATACTATTACTATTCGAAATTGTTTGCTATTCACTCGGTTTTCTCTATTTGTACTCGTATAGCATAGCAGCTTGAGTGGATACATCTTTAAACCAGGTCCTATGTCGATTATGACTGGCTGATATATCTGGTTATAAATTTTTGTCACATTGAACATAATACTTTATTATTCAACCGCAACCAAGTACAAAAAATTGTAACCATCCGACCAAAAATATAGCTTAGATAACATAAAGATAGATTAGTAGAGTCAGCCAATGCACGTTTTAAAATACTGAGAAAACAGACAACAGATGTTATACTTTAAGTTTTGTGTAGCTAGTTGGGTTTACGCACAAGTCAATTAATTCCCATTAATCTAGTTAATTAATGTATGTATTAAGCTAGTTATGTGGTTACTCTCACCCTCATGTTTTATAATTTCCAAAACGCTAATAGAATCTAATTAATTAAGTCACACACAGTATGAAACGCACGTCCTGGATTCTACTGCCGGCCCCTATCTTACTCTGTCTAAAATGAATTGATTTTAGTTGCAAATGTAAATCTCAGAACCTGTCTCATTGATCACTCACTCGTTGAGACGTCTTAGGGTTTTATGTTTGGTCTCTGTTAAGCTTGTGAGTACCACCTGGTGATTATAGTAATCTCAATCTAAAACATGACGTTTGCCTGTCGCTCCCTGCTTTTCAATGGTATCACGATGGATGTTAACCTATTGTAAAAGCTGTCTTACGAATCTTTTTCTAACTATCATTTAATGTTATTTCACTCAAACTATAAAATATATTATGAAAATAATAAATTTTCTTTTGTCTGTAAATAGTTTTGGCATATTTACCTTTATTCTCTAGGTTTTAAGTCCTTTTGATCCAATGAAAATACCTTCTTATCACTAGTTGGAGAAAAATGGATGAACAAGAGGAAACTTGGTATATGGATGACTATGAAGAAGAACTACTTGAGGAGATGGACGAGGAAGATGGAGACAATGATCTGTCAGGAAATTATTTAGATAATCTAGAAACTATTGAAGGGGATGATGATTATGAAGATGTTTTATTCGAGAATGCATTATCCATAAAGTCTATATCGTCAGAAATATTATCATGCACTACACCAGTTTTGAAACAAGCCTATTGGTTACTGATTTTGATACTTGTTTCATGTCTTCTATGGCGTATCGTACAATTTGTACTGAACAAATGTTTCCCTTCAAATGGTATGTGTGATTTATATATTTATTTATAATAAATTTGCGAATTCGGATTTCAGTGTCCTGAGATCTGACTCCAGTTCGATCGTATGATTATCGTTATCGACTTATATATGTCACCAATCCTCGTATATAATCATCGACTTAAATCGCGTTAGTGTATAACGGGATTGAATAATACCAATCCGAGAATGGATTTTGAATACGTCTATTTTGTACAATCGTTGGTCGAAAAGAGAAGCAAAACAAAATGACGTGCGTTGGTGAAAGCGACTGAGCCAACTCGATTTAATCAAGAGTGACTCGACATTTATAGTCAGACGAAAATAAGTTACAGAAATGTGATGAGTAAGATAAGAAATGCACACACATACGCTTATATAAAAACAGTCAAGGTTGACAAGCGAGTAATTGACAAGGTCAAAATGTGATTCAAAAGAATGAATAAACTGGTCTGTCAGTTTGTGCTGATGCTGTCGTTCAGAAAAACGATGAAAGCTTCTGGACCAAACCATCCAGCTCAGAGAACAAAACTCCACCGAAAGCTAGAATAAGCTGTGTAGGCTTAACATAGCAACCGATATTACAAGCTTAGTGACTCAGTATATATTATTATGATTAGCATTAAAAAAATGTTCTTTTCAAGAATTTCATATAACGTAGTCATTTAAAAAATTTTAAGTAAGGCACAAATAACAAGATCGATTAAAATGAATAAATTTTAAGGCTTCTCATTCAGTTTCAAGCAGTTTAACGTTATCAAAAGTTATGTGATCAGAAACAAAGGTTTGCTGTAATTTAATTAGTGAAGTTGAAATAAGTATTAAGTATATAATCGAAAGTCATAATATGTGGAAGTAGACAAGCATATAACAGTAAACTTAACTAAGATTGATATTTACTTATAATATTGATAAAAACCAATAAAAATTATAGTGTAATATCTTATTATTATTACTACCACTTTTGAGCCGTATCGCTCAACTTTTTCAACCAATGATTGTAGTTATCACGCGGAACTCAACTGTACTTTGACTATCATTGTTGATAACTCTGTATTTTTTGTATATTACTATTGTGTATTTTTTAAATAGGGAAAATTTGCCGCACATTTGTCACAATAATCCTCCATATATTTTCCATTTGTCTTGGTAAGTACTTCCTTTATCCATCCTATTGAGAGTTTACATTTAAACATTACATACTTTAAATAATCTTTAAGTTATTAGTAATTGTTATTTTGAAAATGTTTACATTTTCTATATTTTCTGAACATTTCTTTTCAGTTAACTATCAGATGTTATGTACTGTTTTACATCCTCAAATGTATTATATCATTTATCCATGTTATTAACTAAGCGAAAAATACAGTATATAGTAGTGTATTTTATGATACAGTCTTCTGTTGCAAGTTCAAAATTTTCCAGCACCTTACACTAACTGAGGTTTGTATTGAATAATGAAAACTACTTAGTTAACTTACCTCACTCTCCTGATTTTTGTCCGAATTGAAACTTTAAAAAAACTGTGAACTACTCTAAAAGTTAACGATCGGAGTATGGTCAAAGCTCGTAAAGCACTTAGAACTTACAGTTTAACCAGTTGATTCAAGGGTTAATAACTTGGAAGTCATTTGTTATAAACACTCTGTCCTACAGGTTTTCTGTCGATTTCTAGCTTTAATTATCAATTGTAAGTAGACCTTTTGGTTACTGTTTTCCAATAATTACTTTAATTTTATCTTAAGATAAAACTCTTTTATATTCAGCATTATATCATTCTTTTTTTGAGAAAAATTCCATAAATCATTCAGTCATATTATTAGACAGGGATACATAACTTGTATACTTCATGTTGGAGCGTTAGCCTAATAATAAAGAAAGTATGAATTGAAACTCGGCTCTACTTTCTACAATCATGACAATCAACATATTGAATCATACGAGGCTAAAACCGATGTTTAATAAACATTTACATTATAAATGAGAATTACATTACAAATAAACTATCTATAACTCATTTGTTAATAATAAATAATATCTACTCTTAAAACTGTGGATAATTTCTAAAAGATATTGTAGGTAATCCTTTTGACCAATTTGAATGATCCAATCAGAAAATGAAATTTGATAAAACCATATAATATTATTACCACATTGCCTGCTGAATAATTTCATTACATATTAACTTTGCAATACATTTATACATGGGAGACAAATTACAGCATAAAACGTAAATAATAAGGGAAAAAAATAGTGTAAACTATACCATTCTATGTATTAAAATAGTAGTATCTGAGTACATTTAGTATGTGTACAGATTATTTTTAAACAAACAAGAGGATAGCTTGAACTTTCATTTAGCTAAGGTTTCATTAAACTTGAATATTCTCCCTAAGTAACTGATAAGCAAAACCGAAAAGCCGAATTAAAGTCATTTGTATAACCTATTTCAATTATGCGTTTGACAATGAATAAAGGAGGGTGTTTGTCATTTCCTCTTATTGATCTATTCGACTTCCTTTGTTTTTTGTTATCATTTCAGTACATTTTTAATAGCCTGTAACTTACAGATCACATTTGCTTCTTCCAAAACAGGTGTAAGTAAGTAAGTAATATTTGGTAAACACAGAGATATGATGCAATCGTGTACACGCATCTGATAAACTTCTTCTTCTCATTTCATTATTTAAATTTATCTAGTTTTTAGTGATAGAATTCTGAATAAAGTCAGAGCTAATATAAAAATTTTATTTTATTTCATTTGATTAGGTTTATTAGTTTTATATTATGCTTCATATGATCTGTGGTGGATTGTTATTGGCCTTATAATTATCTTAACACTATTATTTACCTTAAATATTAACTCTGATATTTCTAATTCACATGGGAAATATACTAATTGGGAATTATTTGTAACAATTGGAATTTGTTCATCTGTTCAGTTATACTGGTAATTAATTAAAATTGTTGCTTGTTTATTCCTCTATTTTTATGATAATTGATATACTACGTTTGATTATTAAATTTGACTATCTTTGTAGTTTGTGACTAAATTTTTTCCAATATTAGATTCGTTACCATTGATGCTTTTTCGAAAAGCTAGTAATTAGTGTAGACTTCCGAATTTTGTAGTTTACATCGTATATTGACCTTATTTGAGCAACCATTCAAATATAAGGAAAAAACTGGACAGTGGTTTTGTCTTTGTATGGGACTCCTCAACAGTGTGCATCTGAGACCCCATCGGAAATCAAACTCAGGACCTTCCGGTCTGAAAACATCTAAGCATGTAATATAGTACTTATGGATAAAATTCAAGCTGATTAATATAAATATGGCAATTTGTACAAGTTCTGATGAACTAATTTAATTTATTATAGTTTGAAACCCTCATTTAAACAGCTGATAAGTCCAATTCTTCAATTTTCGAATTCTAGCCACTTCGTGGGGGAGGAGAAAGCCAGAAAATTTAAAGTCAGGGTCTAAACTTGAAGTCTCCAAAAAAGGGGAGGTTTTATGATGGGGTAAAAGGTCAAAATTAAATTGATTTTTATTCAACATTAATTCCGTTTAATTCAATTTGATGATCATTCAGTATAGTATTTGTTCCATTCGCAGACTACGTGAACTCGTAATTGCTTCAAGCATAGCAATTTGATTGATTATATCTGCTACCAGTTAATGTAGCAAGTATGTAATTCTACTTGTGAATTGATTTATCACTAATTATTCCCTGGTCTTCACTTAGTCTTTCGGGATTAAGTTATATTTGCGGTTCATAGATGAAGAATTTAAAGTGTTGTGATACCTAGTGATGATTATAATTTGAGGTAGTTTTCACCGCAAAATAATATAAGTGAAAGATTTTGCTATATCTAGACTTGAGTTTTTGCTATACCACGTACGACTTGAGCACTTGAACGCTTAAACCCCCGAAGTCTCAAGTTAGAAGACAGAAGACGAATGAAAATGTATCTTTGTCCAGCCGGTATGAAATATGATACAGAACACTCGGGTATTTTTAGTTTTTAGTAAAAACAAAATCATCATTACAATCATCCAATACATAGGCAGTGGTGTTTAGCAATTGTCCAATCGGGAAGCTACGCGCCAAGATTCTGGGATGTTCTTCAAACGATTATTGTATGGAATGTCTTCAGATTTTTCAGAGCTTTCTTGAGTCCACCAAGAGCCGTCCCCACATAATTACTCTGAACTAAGTAGATTATTAGGGGACTGTTTAATCGCTCTTTGCGAGTCTTTAATATTGTTCACCTAGAATGTATCACATGACCGAATCAAATACCTTTACATCAATTAATACTTCGAGTCGGTATATTATTGCTTAAATTATTGACTGTAGTCAAGTTCTAGTATCAATCTTCACCCCACAGAGTATATGATTTTACACTTTCTATGTTACCTAAATACACTCGTGGCTCTGATTCTTAGTATGATTTTAAATGGTCACTGTTTAAGAGTCTGGAGATATTACATTCCTTTTGGTTACCAAAGATTTTTCAACTGATATCAGCCCATAAAGTAAAACATTTTATATCTTAAATGTCTCAACGCAATTACATCTGTATATGCTTGTTACATACTTCATATCTTACAATTAGGAATAAAGTTAATGACACTCTCAAGAGTATAGATTACATTTAAATGTATTTTGATTTTCGTTTCATAGAGATTTTGTTTTTAACAAAACAAAAATCAATTTTCCCTTGATCATTTGATTTCATTATTCATCTCTTCCGGCCCGTCTTCTTAATCACGTTTATATATTTTTTTATTTAGTGAGTTTAACAAAAATCCTGTTAAATGGCATCAAATCCGTGGTATGTTATCTAATTTCATGTTGACTTGATGGATTCTGTTACATTTTTTATTATTAGTTAATGCTTGGTCAGATGTCTTTAGCATTTTGTTGATTGTATTATATTCTATGGACTAGATTATTCAACTGTAAATCTTTTGTTATTAATCTGGTCAACATCATTAGCGGCTGTTTTACATTAAAATGAACATAAGTAGTACCAGATCACTCTGTTTTTTATGGCTATTATTTATTGTTTAACATCTCAAAAGCTTGTTATCTGCATGCACGTTTGTATTCTTCTTGACTGTGATTTTGATAGGTTAACCTCTAACTGTTCGGTTAAAATTGACCTCATTCTCATTGAATGCCAGATTGAATTTATTTTGGTGTATTTTTAACTGTAAATATACCTGAGTGTCGGACCTGTCCCTAGTTATCTACTTACATTCACATAGTTATTTTTACTAAGTTGAAAGGTAGGTGTGCGCACCCTGTGCAATGTAGCCCTTCTCTTTGTTGATGTAATTTATCCAGTAAATAATGTTTCACTTGTCTTATTTAGCCATCCCTTCTTTTTGGTCAGCATAAAATTCAATCAAGTGGTTATATTGCTTTGTGAACATCATTAATTCTCAAAACCTTAGTAATACTGGCATTGATTGTTTTAAAAAGTTTCCTAACATATACCATATGATTAGTCGTTTTCAAGTTTTTGTGAATTACTTTGATAGAAACACATGATGATGGCAATTGTATTTCAGGATACAAATCGAATATCGTTTTCTTCCATTTCTGTAAAGTAAAAGTACTAGAAATGACTGTTGTTCCTTTACAATCACGTCTCTTTAAATTTTTCTGTTAGGTTGTCATTGTTTGACTTGACCTCATGTGTGTTTTTTTCATTCTGGACATTCCTATATAACATCGTCGGATTCCGGCTCAGTAGCCTGGAGGTTAAGCGTTCGCGCGCGAGACCGAAGGTTCTGAGTTCGAGTCCTGCATGCAGGATCGTGGATGCGCATTGCCGAGGAGTCCCATAATAGAACGAAACAGCAGTCCAGTGCCTCCACGTTTTCACTTCTGATCCAACACTGACCCATTCATGATATCAATTTAAATTTCTATATCAGTTTTATAAAACGAAATCTCCAAGAATGAAATCTTATAGTTTGGTATTTCTTTAAAATCCCAACTTTTGTTTTAACGTAGATGCTGATAATTTCTGGGATGATTATTATATCCTTAGAATGTAATTACTCAGCACAGCGATTGCTGTATCCTCCCTGATTTAAAGCTCTCTCTATTATCATGGCAATGCTCAATTAGAATTTAAAAGAATTCTTATTTTTTCATTGAAATTTCTGTGAATGAATGTAAGATAGGAATACACAAAAATAGGCAAAGCTGAAATGATATGGCTAAATAAAATCAATATTCGGAGGTTATAAGTAAAGTAGTTCAATAGTGATGAACGTATGTTAGAAAATTCAATTTTTTTTTATAGTAAATAAATAATTGAAGCTTTTGATTGTATTTATGTATTCATTCATCGTTAATTTATCCAGGCCAATTATTTTTTACCAATATATTGTTTTAAGATTTGATTGTTTGAACTAAGGAGCTGTTATATTATATTTGATTTTGGACTCGTTCCTATAAAATATGGAATGTATTTCAATGCTCTTATCGTATTTTTCTCAAAATATCGAGTTCATTGAATGGCTGTTTTACTGTAAGCGGTGTGTAAATTTATGATGCTTTCAAGATAAAATCATGGACCATCAGGTCTCACTGTTCACATATCAACTTACTTACTTACGCCTGCTACTCTTAATGGAGCATAGGCGGCCGACCAGCATTCTCCAACCCACTCTGTCCTGGGTCTTCCTTTCCAGTTCTATCCAATTTTTGTTCATTTTTCTCATGTCTGTCTCCATTTTCCGGCGTAATGTGTTCTTTGGTCTTCCTCTTTTCCTTTGGCCTTGAGGATTCCATGTGAGGGCTTGTCTTGTGACGCAGTTGGGTGCTTTCCTCAATGTGTGTCCTATCCACTTCCAGCGCTTCTTCCTGATTTCTTCCTCCTCTGGGATCTGGTTTGTTCTCTCCCACAGTACGTTGTTGCTAATAGTGTCCGGCCAACGGATCCGAAGTATTTTGCGTAGACAACTGTTAATAAACACCTGTATTTTCTGGATGATGGCCTTCGTAGTTCTCCAGGTTTCTGCCCCATACAGTAGAACTGTATTGACATTTGTATTGAAAATCCTGACCTTAGTGTTGGTTGACAGTTGTTTTGAGTTCCAGATGTTCCTCAGTTGTAAATATCCTGTTCTTGCTTTGCCGATCCGCGCCTTCACATCTGCATCAGATCCACCCTGTTCATCAATGATGCTGCCCCGATTGTGTAAAGGTTTTTACATCTTCTAAATCTTCTCCGTCAATTGTGACTGGATTGGTGCATGCTGTGTTGTATTGGAGAGTTTTGCTTTTCCCTTTGTGTATATTGAGACCTACTGCTGCTGAGGCTGCTGCTACACTGGTTCACATATCAACACTTAGTTTAAATTCAATAATTTCTATGCTTCGAACTTCAATTAATTCTCAGCATAGCTCACCCATCATTATACATTCGCAGGATTTTCGAATTTTATTGGTCAGAGCTCCTCACCAGAATTCTACAAATCTTCCTCGTCGTCAATTGCAAATAAGCCCATATTCACCATTAATATGGAGATCTATGAAGATCATTTAATGCGATGTTAATTTTCGTCAAGATATCTAAGTTTTTATCAATCATAAATCTCTTTAAAAAGTTTAAACAGGAATAATTCCTGTTTTACCGAACATTGTATTTAAAAATATCATCTAACTTAATCTTTTGTTACATTCAGAACTAATGATGCTTTATATTTGTCTCTTAATAATTTACTACTAATTTTTTATACTACTCTCTTGTGACTTTTCGGTTTATAGGTAGTATAATGATAATTATTATGAAATGTATATCTTTTTCTATGGAAAACAAAAATTTTTATAAAATGATCAATAAAGAGCCTTGCTGCATACTACTGTGGACACCATTATATCGTGGATTACTTTGGTTATCTTATTGTCTGTGTCCAGCTAGTTTATTGTTTGGTCCATGGTTTAATCCGTTAAGATATGAAGAAATGATTAGAAACTATGCTGTTAATGATAGACCTTTTTCTTTAAAAAATGTAAGTTATAAACAATTGAATATCAAGATGATTGGGCCTTAAATGTGGCTGATCGTTACATTGTGAAATGTGCGGATTTAAGACTTGTTGAAATACTTTGTGCTTCAATCTATTAACGTTAGTTCATAGTCGTTCATAGTTAAAGTACATCAGTAATTAAAGAGAGATTTCTGAATTGAGATTTAAGTTTTATTCTTGAGTATGGTGTGAAAACACAATGATTGTTATTTTTTAGCACTAAATATGTCTATATTTGTAATGAATTTGTTGATTCCTTTTGTTTTCAAATATGTTTGACTAATAATATTTTTCAGTTTATATATTTCTATTTGATATTCCAGTAGACATGATGTGAACTGTTTAGTTAAACTGATATTTTATAAATTTGTGTTAAAAGTAAGATATACGTGAATACATTCAGAATTAGATCGTTTCTGAAGATAATTGTCATCTACAACCAATATTGATTGGGAAAACCATAGAAAGATAACCAGCCATTTCATTTTAGCTTTGAAGATTTCTTAAGTAGTAACTACGAGATAAACAAATACATGATAGACTGGTTTGTAGTCAGTTGGTTATTGATAATCAACTTACAGCCTGGGATATATATGCGTCCATCCAATTTACCATACAACATTAACGGGCGAAAATGAATATCAAAAGATTTCTAAATTATATATATATATATATATATATATATATATATATCCTTAGGAACAAGCATTAAGAATAGGGTTCTAAAAGACAGTGGAAAAGTATGTACTAAGGAATATTCGAACTCAGTATCTAGAAGATAAAGAATAAATACATCTGTTCTATTGTAACGTCTTCAACCACTGATCTCAGCTATCATACGGATCTCAATCAGGCAGTCTGAACCTAGGGGAATTTCTCAGGCTAGTAGTTAGTGGCTTCATGTATTAATGCCACGTTTTTGGCTTATCTGCTCCTTGCTTGCTTTGATATCAGTCTGTAAGGAACTAAATATTCATTGCGTAAGCTTCATATATCTCGTAATCTTAGTAATGGTTGCGTGTATTCAGTATTAACTAAAATTGAAGTGAATTCTTAAAAATTTCAATGTGAAACAGTAATTAATTAAATTACTTGGTTACATAATTAAATTAAGTATCGTCGATAGGAATTATAGAAATCATCCCAGCATATCATAAACTAACGTTAAAAATGTGAACTGTTAAATTTCAAACTCAGGGGTTCAAATGCATTACGGTCACGTTAAATAGTTATAAGTAGTTGACAAACCACCCGTATTACTTGGCATTCGTCAACAATACTTACCTTTATTCCTACAACACACTCATCCTTCATGGCTTCAGTTTGCTTGATTCAACCCACTATTTGATATATGTATAGTTGTGGATCAGGAGTGTAGAAACGTATCTTTGGTTTTCGATGACTCGTTAATTGAAATATCAGTTCGTACTGAAATCTTAATTATTTTATTCAGTAACTTTTATATTTTATTATAAAGTATAATTCTTACATATCTAAGGTTGCAATGTTGCTAATTGCTAAGAAAATATAACAAAACTTAACTTGATTTGTAACATGTCGTAAAATAGATTTTTCTAGACCTTTTATTCGACTGAAAATGGTATACAGTGGCGCAATCTCGTGGATTGGTTGAAGTTAGGCATTAACACCGTTGGATGCCGACTCAGTGGTCTAATAGTTAAGCTCTCGCGCTCGAGACTGGTTGGTCCTGGGTTCTGATCTCGCGTGGGCGGGACCCTGGATGCGCACTGTTGAGGAATCCCATACTAGAACGAAACGGCCGTCTAGTGCTTCCAGGTTTTCCATGATGGTCTAACTTCAATTGACTCATGATTGCAACTAGTGAAATAACAATACATTCATCAAAATATGATTATTTTCGTTTATGTAACTTTGGGTCACAAAACATAACACCTTTTTTATACTTTATGTTACTATTCTACAAAGTAGCATTGAAAAACCTTTGCTTATAAAAGAAAAGTAACACTTACAATTGGATACCACTTGAAATACATTTTCATTTTGATTATAATCGTTTTTTGATCTGTGCAAAAGAAAACATGCTTTTATTCAAATTTTCCTTTTAAAATGTTCGTTGTTGTTCTTATTGTTATTGTTTTCTTTTTCTGACAGACTATAATTTCACTTTTTCAAACAGTTAAATTATTTGGGCTATCTTTGTTATATTTAACTTATTCGACTTGTTTCTCTCATACACTGGCTTTGATATTGAAATTTCAACCGTAAGTTTATGATTTCTAATCTTTTGGGTGTGAATTTTTTTAAAAAGAAAAAGTCAATACACAGATATGGTTGTACCGTGTATTCGGTTTTCTTTTTCAAATAAGTGGTCTAATTGTTAGGTCAGTGAACTCGTAAGTATTTAGTAGCGGGTTCGAACTCAACCCTCGCCTTTAAGCATATGGATAGCATAACTACTTATCTTTACATTAAAGTGTAACTTATCACTGACTTAACTTTAGATTGCTACGTTTGAATCAGTAATATTGATTCTTCGACTATATGTTCTGATATGCTTGAAGGTTGGCACAGGTATTCAGTGTTTGACAACGCTTCTACCAGTAACACCTCCTAATATAATTCGTAACCACCCAGAGAAATCAAAAGACAGAGTCGAGGAGATCGGAAGAGTGTATTTGGCGATAACCAATATATCGGAATTCTCTGATCTAATCTGGCTAGTGATTGCGGTAGATGTTGAGCACGGCGTTACCACACGTGATCTGGTGCGGATGCCTGACCGAGCGCCTTCAGCTAGATGAGTCCACTAAAACATATGGTCAGCATCCAATTTCGAAAACTTACAGAGCTATTTATTTTGGGGATTTATTTACCGCTACATGCTAAAGGTTATTAACTTGTACAAAATACCTCTCCTGAAGATCAAATTAGAACTCAAGAATAACAGCTAATGTAACCCGTATATCTCTGACCGGAAAACTCACATGGTTATATACATGGATTACAGAACCATGATGCATCATAAACAAGAGATTGTAACATGTGCCTAACTTAGACAAAAAACCGTGATGATAATGTTTAGTAATAACTCATGTTAATTTGGGAACAGAAAAAGATTTAACAACAGTTAGTAGGCCAAATGAAAGCATACGAATATGAACACATAAAATTCACTCAACTAAAGCCCTTAATAACTACATTTTATATATAAAAATACTAATCTACCCAGAAAAAATTACTTCTAACGTTTGTCATTTTCATTTATTCATCTCGTTTTAACCATTACTAACTACTTAAACTGTCAATTTTTGGTCAGTTATTTACATTTAATGGGAAGTGTTCAGTATTATTATGAATCTCCTTAAGATTGTTTATTCACAAACTAATATCTGATTAAACTGAAAACTGTATATGTTTACGTACCTTCAGAATAATTTAACTTACTGTTATTATTGAAGTTTTGTTTTATTGTTAAAAAATTTCCTTGTTTAATAATAAAGCCATACTTTGTGCAAATAGAATTGTTCATTAAAATCATATCTTTTTCTTCATTATTTTTTCCTCTTAGTTGGCTCCATGCTTATTTTGCATCACAAAGTTTCCGTTTCAGTCATTATTTCGTATGTATATCAAGTGAATCTTCCATGACAGCTTTAGGATATTATGATAAATATTCAATAAAATCAAACAAACAAGAAAATATTGAGGAGAAAGACAATTCAAAAGATGTATATAAGTAAGTTTAATGTTTACTTTCTCTAATCGATAATCAATTCATTGACATATTGTTTCTTTGTTTTTAATATTTATCTGGTCTATTGAACACCTTAAAATTGTGATGGGATAAAAATTTGCATGAAACGTTGAATTATCTCATCTATCGCTATCAATAATAAATTATTCCGTAATCCATGTTATTAATACAGTCTCCAAAATCATTCATAAGGTTCTCATTAATAGATTGACGTTTGAACGAAGAATATTCTATTCGATAAATTCTCTTCAGGTTCTACAATTATATAACCAAATTAAAAATCCGAAAAATGGACAGATTAAGTACATCGTTTAAAACATGGCAACTTAGGATTGTGTTAAACAAAATACAATAAAATTGTTAATGTTGATATGACTCATATAGAATGTTAACTTAAATCTGCGTATATGTTAAGTGAAATTTTGAGATCCATGATCAGAATAAATATGGGTCAAATAGAGTGAAAGAGTTATGAAAGTTCTTTAATACTTTTTAGTATCGGTTTGTGAATACTATTTTTTTAAATAAATACGACTTAGAAACTAACTAATACACAGCTTGTTACTTATTATGGATTTACTTCTCAGCATTATATCTTTCTTTACCGATTATAAACTGTGATCTGTAGAGGAAACCAAATTTCGAATCATCAATTATAACACGGTATAAGCATATAACTGAAGTTTATAAATGCCGATCATTAACTACTGATACAGTAATGAGTCGCTTACTAGGTTGTGAAGTTCACTGTCCTATCTCAGAATGCACACTGATAAAAATCTTGAGATCAACATGAAGAAAACGATAAATCTTGCTCAGTTTCCAACTAGTTTAACCGGATATTCAAACTAGTCATGTTTTGTAAATCTTAAATTGAATGTTACTCACTAGTCGATTATACTTCATTTGTATAATCTCTCCTACTTAAAAAGGTTAATCATACACTTCCTGTGTGTAATAAATCTACGCTACAGCATAATAATTGTTTAATTCCTTAAAATTCTGTTTATTAGGTTACATAGACCAACATGTTCCGTCGCGAATGAAATACTAGTCGAATTAAATATAAATTGATTCTTAATTTATAAGGTTCTATACAACTTTTATTATAAAATAATATCTAATCAGATAAGTACAGGTTCGTTGCATTTTCACTCTTTCATCTTTTTACTAGACCTATTGTGGTAACTCGTCCATTGTTCATTGAACTTCCTCGATCGTTAGTGGAAGTTGTTATTTACTGGAATTTGCCAATGCATACTTGGTTAAAACAATGTAAGCCATGATTATTTAATCTTTTATTTGATAATGAAATATTTTTGTTTTAAGCTATGAAATAACATGTAATGCTTTGACTAGTGTCTAATAGTGTTCTCCAGGATGTGCATTTTATTGAATTCAAGTGTTAATTAGAACGTATGGTCATTTTGTAAACATAACGTAGTACTAGTAAGTTAACTACAGCAATAAAGCATTTCAGACTAATTGCTACACTCAAATGTCTTATGTATCTGCATGTTTACATTTCATACTAAGTGAAAAATACGGACATCTTTGATAGTTTGTAGATAACTTAATGTGTTTAAATTTACCTGTTTCAAACAAAAACAACACTTACTTACGCCTGTTCCCTTGTGGATGAGCATAGGCCACACATCAGCATCCTTCATCGAACTCTGTTCCTCTCTAGTTGCTGCTCATCCTTTTGATGTCTGCTTCCGATTCTCGACAAAATGTGTTCATCAATCTTCCACTGTACTGTTTCCCTTCAAGATTCCAAGTTAGCACTTACCTCGTGATGCAGTTTGATGATTTCCTTAATGTGTGTCTTATCCACTTTCAGCGTCTTCTACTAATTCTCTCTTCATTCGGAATCTGGTTTGTTCTTTCCCACAGTGGGCTGTTGCTGATGGCATCCGGCCAACGGACATTACGTATCTTGAGTAGACAACTGTTTATAAATACTTGTGCCTTTTTGATGATGATTGTGGTAGTTCTTCAAGTTTCAGCTCCATATAATAGAACAAACTGTCTTGACGTTCGTATTAAAGATTCTGACTTTGATGTTAGTTGACAGTTGTTTTGGGTTCCATATGTAATTCAACTATAGGAATGCTGTCATTGTATTGTCAATCCTTACCTTTGCGTTTGCATCAGATCCTTCACGTTCATCGATGGTACTGCTCAGATACGTGAAAGTCTCCATCTCTTTCAGAGTTTCTCCTCCAAGTGTGATTGTTTTGGTGTTCTCCATGTTTTATTTCAAGATCTAAAACAATACTTTTAGCTTAACTAATTGCTTCATCATAAAGTTTGTGATATTAAAAACCACACATAGCTCCTCGTGACTTTTCTCCCATATATATATATATATATATATATATATATATATATATATATCAGTTTTTGTCTATTCTTTCATCAGTCTTTCATGTAAATTGGCGATCTTTGTCAGTACAAGTTACCGTGTCTGCTCTATCCGTTGTCTTGTCAACAAAATTAACTACTGAATTTAGTTCAGAGAAAAATAATTGAGAATCAATTGTTTCACCGTGTATACAGACAGCACAAAAGACCACTTTTAGCCATCATATTTCTATTCATGCGACAACAGAATATAGTAAGAGGAGGGTTACGGAAACGCCAAAATCTGGTATCATTATTTAGAATCATTAACTTGTTTTTCGGTTCAAATACTGTTAGACGACAAACTTCAGTAATATGAAGTACTGAACAGCTCTATTTTGTCATAATTTGAGATGCCTCAATATTGTACACCAACCAATCCATAGGGAATCTAAGCTATGATTTCCAAGTTTTACATTGTATGTGATATCTTTGACCTGCTAAACTGAAACGCAGAAATCCATATTTTCAAACTTAAACAATTCGTGTTTTAACAAGAGACTTCTTATCCAATCTCATCATTATTCAAAATGTTAGCTAATCTATTTCAAAATAAAGTTGTTTAGTGAACAATAAGTTTTGTTTATATTGACAATCAAATGTCTTACAATAACTACATTTAACTGAAGGAATTTTGTGGAGATCGGTTGAATTTGTAGATTCTATTCGTTACAGATTCCTCCCAGTTGAGATACCATTGAAAACGAGAGAGCGTTGGATGCCTGTTTTGTTCTAGTATGGGACCATTCTGTAGTGCACATCCACGAACCTATTAAGAATTGAACCTAAGAACTTCAAGTCTCAGTACGAATACTTACCGAGTTGCCGCACTATTGAGGACTTCTACACTAGGATAAAATAGCTGTTCAATGTTTAGTAGTTTACTGTGGAACTTTAAATAAGGTATCTTTGGCGAATACATCCTACAGATAAATACGTTTGTTTGAGCTATATCATTTTTTTAAAAGTGATTTTTTTAATAGTCTGAATACTAGGATTTTTCCTTCTAATTAGATGTATACAAGCCGTTACGTCCATATGGACATGTGTATGCTATATTGGGAACCTATACAGCTAGTTCATTATTGCATGTAAGATGATAAATTTTGTTGTTTTTTGTATAAATATTTATTAATTCGACCTATCCTTCAAAATAAGAAGTGGAGATCAACTGCTTGATAGAAATTTACTATAACAGAATTGCAAAATGTTTATAGGTGGTTATGTCACTTTCTGATAAAAAAAACTTTAAACTGGGAACTTTCTAGAAAAGTTCAGTTCACTTTTGAAGGTGAATACTTTCGTCAGATTGATGGAGTTACTATGGGTAGTCCGCTAGGACCATTGCTAGCAGATGTGTTTATGGCACATGTTGAAAATCAGACTGATGAACTAATCGGAAACATGTCACTTTATAAGAGATATGTGGACGATATCTTAGTTGTTTGTGAGGATATGTACCGTTTATTAGATAAACCTAACAATCTCCAAAACCATATTAGTTTCTCATGTGAAGAGGAGAAAAACGATCAGCTTCCCTTCCTAGGTAAACTTCTGAGTAGACGAGAAGATGGTTCAGTCAAGCGATCTATTTTTAGAAAACCAACGTGGACAGGTCAATATCTCAGTTATTATAGTTATTGCCCTGTGCAATATAAACGTGGTTTGATAAGGTGTCTTTTCAACAGATTCGACCGTATTTGTACCAATGACGCTATTGATGATGATGTTAAGTTGTTAAATAAAACGTTAATAGAAAATGGCTATCCTCTGAAATTCATAAATAGATGGAAAGTCCATGGTACAGCGAGACCTACCGTAGCCTCGGTTGAGAAAAAGCCTGTCTACATCACCTTACCATTCAGAGGTGATTCAAATAGCCTTTTATTGAAACAACGGCTTAAATCAGTCATCAATAAAACCTATTGCGCAGCAAAGGTCATCATCAAAGAAAGAACAAGGTGCATGCTTCATGGAAACGATTGCGTCACATCCCACTGTGTTTACCAATTTAAATGTGTGTGTGGTCACACATACATAGGGAGGAGTAATCGTGATCTCAACATTAGGGTGAGTGAACATGTACCCAAATGGCTTCAGAAACAAATACAATCAAGTGACCCAATAAGAGCAGAGGATAAACATCCATCATCCTCTATTGCTAAGCATGTAATTGAAACAGGTCACAAGATTGATCTAAATTCAGCTTTTGTAGTGCTGTATAAAAGTGTAAAAGGGCATATACTAAGGTTCATTGAAGCCTTAGCCATACGAAAATTCAAACCCCCTTTGTGTGTTCAAAAACAGTTTGTTCTTACCTTAAACCTACCCTGATAATATTGACTTATTATCCAGAGTGATTAGGTTTCGCTTTGTGTTCACATTATTATTATTATTATTATTATTATTATTATTATTATTATTATTATTATTATCATTATTATTATTATTATTATTATTATTATTATTATTATTACTCTTATCATTATCCTTATCTCCTCTTACCCCGTTTCCTGTGTAGTTGACCTTTTATTTTTATATATAAATGCTCTTAACAAGTATGTGTGATCAGATTGTTCGAAATGTATTGCGCTAATATATCACTTAATTCTGATAATCTTCATCTTCTAATATCATTATCGAAATTTATCAAAGTGACTAATTGTTTTAAAATGTTTTTGTTACAATAATTAAAGGTCATAGAGGTGTTAAAATACATAAGGTGATATGACGAACATTTATGAATAAAATAATGAGAATATAGGACATAAGTAAAGGGGAATGTAGTAATAATAATAATAATAATAATTAAGGCCAAGGTGACGATAACGACAGGACGTACCCCTTTTTATGTATGGTTCTGGTTTGAGCACATGGATGGCAAGAGCTTCGACTATTTTCAGGAGTTGGATACGAAGAAATCTAGGTAGATTTGAACGTATCATATATACAACCTCAAAATCAAACTATGGATCCGTAGAATGATTACAGTCGATTAGGTTTTCAAGTATAGAACTCCTAACTGCTTTCCTCTCACCTTTGTAGAATCATACTAGGACGTGTTCCCGTATCTGAGTTGAAAGCGAGCGCTGGTTATGGCCAATGTCCCTTGCTCCACAAGAGCAGGTGAGCTGGTAGATGCACATCGAGGCGACCAGACGCGGAAGCTTATTGTAAACATGGTTACTGGGAATACTGTTTTTCGTTTCTGTAATTATTTGTTTTTTGTTTTGTATTTAGTCTTTGTTATGTTCACATGATGTTTGTTTTTAGTTTACAAATAAATATTCGATTATTGAAACTTCATCGTTTATAGCTAACATTAGCTATTATTCATTGTAAATATTTCAATTTTCTAGGAGGTCAGTCATAGGTGAGATGTTTTTTAAGTATAACACTGACTGACTTGGCGTCCAAATCACATAGCATGTATTGCATGAATTTACTTAATGTTTCTGGAACATAAGTGTCAACTAACTTGAAATTTTATTAAAATGGGACTTCTCATTGATTACTTTCATTTGCCTATTTGAATGTATCATATATATTATTGTTTCATCTGCCCGAGTTTAGGTTAGGTTTTTTTCAGCAAAATAGGATAGAATATCTGATTTAGTTTGGTCTTTGAGCAAGTCAGCAAATGTTTCTGTGTATACATGTAGTGAATAATTGCTGCTCTGTATATTTTAAATTTATATCAATTCAGAGTTTTCAAGAACTTTCTAGGTATTATCTTCGGCGAAATTGAATCGATTTACACTAAATGCCCTGGTACGGCCGACAGTAGAGGGGTCCACTTTCCCTCTCGAAATGCCCTCATATGGCCATGCGTACACAACCACTTCCAGGGAAGTTCTACTCACCCTCTTCTCGTGGCGGGGCTGTTGATTACGAAATTGAGAGGACAAAAATCGAATGTCCAGCGCTTTAACCTAACTACTGGACACGGAGGGTCCACCTAGAGGAGTTGGAAAACCTTGGTCTCAAACCAATGGTGCACATGAACTCCCGACCCTGAGGGAACAAATGGCGTATGAACCAATTATTAGTCACCGGCTACTATGTGATTTCATTTCCTGAAGTCGCTTCACTGCCTTACGGACCAGACGTTTAAGTCGAAGACTTCGGGTGTGGCTCTCTAAGAAAACCACTTGCTTCGGTCTGAGCACCCAGGCAGTATCACAGCCCACACACAAATCAAGTGAATTGCGTGGTGCATACGTATTCGGTGCTCCTTTGCACCAATATTTATGTGTTCAGATAAATAAATATGAATATCATAAGACTGTCAGTCAACTACTTTAGACAAAATTTTCACCTTTATTCTCTAATAGTGCACATAAATTATTCTTACATTTAAGCCTGTAAGGCAAATGTCTAATATTACTTAACGTAAACTAATGTTAGTAACATTTAATTAAGTTTGGAAGTATAGTACAGTATTAAATCTATGATTTGTCTAACTAGAATGTACGACAGATTTTTACTTCATTTAAGATTTCCTTTTGTTATGTATGTTACACCAAACGCTTGTAACGTTGACTCAATCGACTTATAGATATCTACCAACATGTAACTGACTAAAATCAGGAAGCGTAAATGCTATAGAAAGATTAGTTCATTTACAAAGTCAAAGGTTGCTTATACGGTTAAGAATATTCTTTCAGTATTCAAACACTGTAGGAAAACCCTAAAACTACTGACCAGTTAGGTACTTGAAAGACTAAATTTTCCAAAAAAATAAATGTATTGGGTTTTATACATTTCTGGAGAACTTTTTAAATACTTTGATTAACCAAAAAGTTATTTTTCACCGCTATTCAGCTTTGTAGAAGTTCTTTAGAGAACACTTATTGATAACAATATATAACGACCATTTTTATAATTTCACCTTTATTTCTAGGGTTTGAATTTTCAACTTAGTGCTGTTTTATTTTCTATTGGAATCTATGCATACATTGAATATGGTAAGTATGTAAGACACATAGCAACAGTGGTAGATTTCATTCATTTACTTTAATCATTTATCACTTTATTACCAAGCTAATTTTTTAAACGTCAACTGAACAAATCAAACAAACATGATAGATTACACAACAATCAATATCTTTTTACAGTTAAAACAACTGAACAAATATTTGGCTTTATTATTTAACCTTTCATTAATATCTATGGATTTATGAATTCCAACTTAATGGTTACTTATATAAGTTTTTTTAATTTTGGTGAAAGGAACAGCTCTTTGTAAATTTCTGATAGGCAGACTTGATTTTGTTTCAACTAGAGTTCCGCGTTTTTTAAAAAAGACCACTCTCAAAAAGAACGTATATCCATGCAAAAGACTCCTAATTTAACCCATCTTTATGCTAATTGGCTAATAAGTGATATAATGGTTTCAAGGTCAAATTCAAAGTCTCTCAACATCTGTAGTAAACCATATTTTGATCACCTTGTTGTTCATCTTTACGATTAACAGTACACACATTATTTAAAGTTATTGTTTGTTACAACAATTGAATTAAACATTCCTATATTCCTTATAGTCTTTCGAGAAAAATTGGCCAAGATTCTAGATGCATGTATTGCCAGTCGTCCATGTCCTGAATCCTGTTGTCATAGTAACAAGGTAAATGGAAATTTTATAATTTATCTACCTTACATGTACCAGAATATATATATATATCCTATGAACGTTTTATCATATGAGCATATCAAAGTAATGTGTAATTCAGTAAATCTCTATAATCAGGTCTTGATCCTTAAAAATAAATTGGATTTAATTTGCGTTTTTAGACTTATGTACACCGATATAACAGTAGAACTGTAAGCTCGACTTCATTTTTTCACCAAAAAAAACAAACCTAAATAAACGAAAACGTTAAACATGTGCAAATATTCAAAGAATATTTTATATTTATTTCTGCAAATTTAGAAGTATAACAAAATAGTGGAACTTAAGTGTATATTTTGTTTGTAAGTTTGTATCTTCTTCTATCGTTGATGATAAGGCCTACAGTAAATTAGTCTTTTTTGATATACATGAATCATGAGTGGATAACCTCGATAGTCCCACTTAACCAAAAGTTTTTATTAAGTTTGGATAATAGCGAACATAGGAAAGAAATTTAGAGTCGTTTTATTTAGCTGATGGTTACTTTGAGTGAGGAGCTCAATGGATAATGCTTCAAAGTTTAAAGCCCAGAATCTAGTAATTAGTATTGTCACACACCTACGCGATTCACTCTAAATTTTGAACGAGTAAATTGTTGATATCTTCCCTTTTATTCAATCACCTATATACTCGGCCTTTTCTATTACTCAGGTGTAACATTGATCGTGGTTTGTACTTGTGTGTACGATTGTACATTTGTATCTATCCCGTTCCTGTATTTGTTACATGACTTTTAAAAACTGAGTCACGTTATCAATATTTAAGTCAGTGTATTATCGAACCACAATGTTTTATTTAATCACTGCATCTTATATACGCTTTTCTGCTGTGCAACATTAGCCTGTCTGAAACATACACATCTTAAATGCACTTCGCATTTTACATTCACTAAGCTATCCCGTATTCGAGTCCTAGTGTGAATATCAACACTAGCATTTTGGTTCATCCAGCTGATAAGTTCCAAGTAGGATTGACTACACATTCTGAATTTCATATCTAGTTACTGTCTAATTTTATGAAAAACTTACGACATGTATATGTTCTCTGATGCCTTAGTTAACTGTATATCTTTATGATATATATAGTAAAGTTTATCTGATAAGAAAGTTTTCTATTCAGTTATTGTGCATAGATTCAAATTTAATATTTTATTCACTTGATTACAAAAATCAAAAGAATATTATTATTTGTTGGCATATTTATTTCACTTGTAGCGGTAAATAAATCCCCAAAATAAATAGCTCTGTAAGTTTTCGAAATTGGATGCTGACCATATGTTTTAGTGGACTCATCTAGCTGAAGGCGCTCGGTCAGGCATCCGCACCAGATCACGTGTGGTAACGCCGTGCTCAACATCTACCGCAATCACTAGCCAGATTAGATCAGAGAATTCCGATATATTGGTTATCGCCAAATACACTCTTCCGATCTCCTCGACTCTGTCTTTTGATTTCTCTGGGTGGTTACGAATTATATTAGAAGGTGTTACTGATAGAAGCGTTGTCAAACACTGAATACCTGTGTCATCCTCACGCTTAAATTTTGTACTCATGGTTTCTAGTTGTTTGATGTTTTCTAAGGATGATAATCTCAATTTATTTTGAATTTACATTGATTTATTTAGCATGCTTGGTTTTGGAAGTTTTTCTTATTGAAAGCTTGAAAATTGAAAATGTCGCTAATCTCATCACTTACACAAAGTTTATTCCTCTATCTGATTGCTTGTAGAATTCATTCTGGGTATATTGGTGCAACGTAGCCTTCAGTTGTTTGGCTATATTTCATTTGGCTTATTTAGCTGTAATGTTTGATACGAGTGAACAGCAATTTAAGGTATGATATTAAGCTATACTTGTAAACCAGTTATATATATATATATATATATATATATATATATATATATATATATATATATATATATAGAGAGAGAGAGAGAGAGAGAGAGAGAGAAAGTGTTCGCTTATGAAATATTCATTTCAAACTAATGATCATTGTGGGAAATTTATCCCTTTTATACTTCAACTATGCTCTCCGCCTCCCCTCCCGCCTTACAATTCGTTATAAATCTTTAATATAAACACTAAGAAACTTTTCAACTCGACGATCTTCATGTTTACTGGATTTACTGGTCTTGATTTTATATTTCTTTGCATTAATTAACCTGTTATTATCTGTAACTTTAATCAAACTCATATAATCCCTGGTAATGTAACATACACTAATCAGCACTGTAGTTGATTATTTGTGATGTTCAACAATCCACTCTTCTATATACAATGTATCTTGATATTGGATAACTATTTTTATCGCTAAGGATAGGAGAACTCTTGTGATAGTTATGTTGGAAATCAAAGTGACTTAATTCTTTCTTCTTAGAGCTGGTAAATTGTTTGAACTTTCACCGATCTTCAGTAGCAATAAAACCTTAAGGAAACTTATAAATCGTTTACCACGTTATACACAGTTAATATCACTTACTATTGTGTTGTAGTTTTTATTATAAAATCTAACATAATTATGATAAAATCTTTCTGCTTTTAGCTGGTGTAATGTTATTCTACGTAACTAACGATTTAAGTCAATAAAAATGAGTGAAACAATATTTATTTTTTCTGAAGACGTCCTCAGAGATCCTGGCAATTATCTAAACGAGTTTTCAACCATATATTTCTGTATATGAACATAACACGTCCAACTCTAATACAACTCAAGTTTGAAAGGTGTGAGATCATAGGTCCCATTGATTTCATTTGTTAAAACAATTGTAATATTCCATTGAAATCATGAACTGATTGATGTTAGACCACCATTTAAACCTGAAAGTAATCGACGATCGATTTGTCCGAGTATGGGACTCATCAGTAGGGCGCATCCACGATCTTGTACTCTGGACTGGAACCCAAGACCTTCGGTTTCACGCGCGAACACTTGATCCTTAGGTCACTGAACCGGCATCTAACGATGTTAATGCCCTAACTTCAATCAATCCACGATTGTGTAGCCAGCTAGCATTCATCCAGTGCTTCTAGGTTTTCGATGGTGGTTTAAAATTGATCGGTTCATGATCCTAATGAAACTCAACGATCTCCACAATCGTGTACAAATAATTGTAATATCCTTGATATGGTGAAAACTGTTGACTTCTGAATATAATTACGTGTAGTCTATTTATAGCCTGACACAAATGTGCATCGGCTCAAGTTGCCACATCACATCATCACGATGAAGTGAAAGTAACAAGACGAATGACAAAAGACTTAAAATAATAGTTAGGAGGGTCGATCATCATTTGTAATTTTAATAGCAACAATATCTCATCGAATCTATGCTAAAATTATCATATTTCCATATAAAATCCCTATTGATTTACCTATAGTGTTAAATATTGTTTCCGAATTATAGTCTATTTAAATATCTTTTTACTGAATTATAATTCACACTACTTATTAATTTCTCATGACTATTTATTTTCTTTCAACAGGGCTATAATATGTGGCATACTATGGATAAATGGTACAATTTAGGATTTCTCAGTCATATTGTAGCCTTTGCAAATTTCTTATTTTATTTATATTTATAAATAAATATCGAATAAGCTATGTATTTGTTTGTAGAGAATAAAACATTTATCTATCACAACTAAACGTATGCAAAATGTATTTTCTTATCACTTACTCAGCATGTATTTCTTAATAATAATGGAATGAAAGTTTATTTTGCTTTCAAGTATAAACAACAAAGAAAGGTATTATTGATGAGTTGATGAGTTTTGTACATGTACATGATCTCTAATGAATTTAGGTTTTTAAAATCATATAAATTCCTTTCTCTCTGACATTGGTTTAATTAAAGAGTTGTTATTTAAATAATGTTCTCAAACTACTATTCTCAGACTACTATTTGCCTTGGTTTTATTTTTGTTGAGAAATGTTTTGTCGGCTAGTCAAAATGAAGTCATGTTCATGGGAATTGAATAATATCTTCTAATGTAATAATTATCAATTCAGGAAACTAGTTTAGGAAAGAAACTCTGAATAAGGACTAGACAAGCATGACATTGATCACCACCCAGTGATCAATCAATTGTGATTACATCTCAGTCCTACAGGAGGTTAGTCATGGCTCGGGTAGCTCAGTGGTAACGCCTCTGACTGTGAAGCTGGGTGACACGAGATCGAATCCGCCAGGGAGCACCAGTTCCCTCGAGATTACAGGTACACCTTGCTGACGAGTGCCAAGTAGCACGAAACCCGGGTCCAGGGTTTCCTGTTGACTACCTCCAACCACCATCTAAATCTGCATAACCTTCCTAAAATAAGTTTGGAAGTTCAAGCATTATTTCATTATCTCAAAAGTATCCCATTCAGATTATCCAAACAATATCTATATTACTTATTAGTTTCAGTGTGTAGAGGGCTTAAACATCTACCGCTTGCTAGATTTTAAAAGTTTACTAATCTTCGATTCCGAACCGAAAGTTTGAAATGTGGTGGCTGCTTTATCTTTAAACTTAGTTTGCATAAATAATGTAGGGGTATATATAAGGTTAGATATGATCTTGAGACTCTAGGCACCTCTAATAATTAGTATTGAACTCAGAAACTGAGCAGTTAGGTTAATAAAAACAGGATCAGTCGTTTTCTAGATTTCTCTTAAAAGTTTTTAAAGACAACTTCTTAGTCAAAGTATTTTTATCACTTGCCTGACTACTGGAGACAGTTTCGAGGAATTATCAAGGTCTCCTAACACTTTTATCACATTTTTCAGTTAACTTTACCATTATCCATTAGCAATATGAATCCTGCTTTGTCCATTTCAATTTGGAAAGTTCTTTAGCTACAGTAGCCTTTACACATTAGTTCAATCGAAGGGATTTGTATATGGCTGTCTGGTACATTTACGAAGTGAATAACTAGATATCTAAAATCACAACAAGAGAACTTACTATTTGTTAACATTGGATAATTAAGTAGTACTTCTATTTTTTAATGATTTGTAATATTAATTTAACTTGCAATGTCATAGATTACTCGAAGTCATTAGTTCAATGTCCTCTAGGAATATCGAACATCCTATACCATTCCATAATGGTTCTCTACATTTATATGTCAAGTTGATTGAATAGTCCGGCGTAATTTCAAATTATTTATCTTCCGCTTTACAAAACTTACTCCTTGAACATAGTGATATCAAGTAAAACAATAGGCATCACAATTGTAGGGAAATATAAATTGTTCTTAAAGAAGTTACACTTACATATTCTCTATTTTAGTTCATGTTATACGATATTTTTATCTTTGATATGACAAAATTTCATCCCATAGTAGTTTTGAAATTGGTCTCTCAGCTACACTAAATCCGTTGTAATTATTAATTTGATATAAATAAAATTTAAAAGGCTTTCTTCCGTTTTCATTTGTTTTTCTTTGTCTGACCATTAAATGTCATTAGTGTGAGATGTCCTTCGGGGAGTTACTTTCAATCAAATCGTATTTTAATTAACATTTTGATCGGACTGTAATCTTATCTAACAGATATTGAACTAACAAAATATTCAGACATTTTATTATTTAAGAGTTTACTTTTTGCAAGTTGATCATTCATACGCAGAAATTACATGTCAAGGACATGTAAGGAGTCAGTCAGGCACAACATAGAACCTGTACGTATGTATATCAATTCAAGTTGCTATACCCCATTTTCACAGAGAGATGAAATTGTCAGACCAAATTCAAGAATAATAGGGGTAATATCAGTATCATTGGCAAACTAAATTCGGAAAATCCATTAAACCTAGAGAAAGCTATTCATTCTTAGTTAATTAGTCAAAATCCTTTCTTTGATTGTAACGGTAAAACTCTCACTAACTAGTAATTCCATTTAACGATAAAATTATTCTATGCTCTCTCATATATATGCAAAGATACGCTAAACGCTTACTCGTTAAGGTGTAATTACGTCGAAGATTAGTTCTTTTTTCGTTCATTGACAATTTTTCTTAAATAATTCAGAGTACTTACATTGCACTGGGTAGTATACAATAATCTATCACAAGTTAAAGTTGAGGTAAATTTAAATATGATCATCAAATCACTATCTAAAATGCCATTTAAGCAACCAAGTCATTAGTGTTCAGTTAAACAACGTACGATCAAATGGTGTTTAAAAAACTACTTACAACTCTATTGTGATTCCGAACAGGAATATTTCTAAACCTGTACCAATGGATTTCCGAAACTATTATAGGTTGGTTTTCTTATTGAAGAACTGATAGAAAACCTTGACAAACTTACAAAATACATGATATTTTAACGGCTAATTTTTCATATCATAATATCGATTCAAGCGTTAAGCAGATACTATTCTAAATAGCATCAAATTCAGTTTCTTTAAACATCTATGTTCAGATTATTTCACCAAACAGTTTTACATACCAAAATGGTCTACGCAAAAATAGAAATAAAAAACTTGAGTAAACCGGTCTGCGATCTGAAAGCTTACATTGTTATAACATTCATTGATTTAGTTAATAACTCATCAAAAACTGTTTGTTTACTTTTTTTAGTACGTTTAGATACGTCAAAATTTTCGTAATACATACTAATAGAGTGATTCACACTTCTTAATAGAAACAATTGACTGTCAAATTCGTACTTCATAAGAGTTTGTTGATGTTTGGCTTCTAAAATAAAAAAAAGTGTTATCAGTGAGATTTCATTAGCCGTAGTGTTTTTTTTATGTATAAACTTGCTCTATCTTAGATCAACTGTGAAGTCTACAATCTCCACGAATCCTCATACTAATAATAATCATATGCTCTTTTGTGACTAACTTTAGGATGGAACTCCTGGAGTTCTAGTGAGAAGCCGTGACCACTACAATCCGTTTCGGGTGTGAGATAGTTATTCAACCCAGACAATAGATAAATAGCTGCTCAAGATCATGGGCCGATTGAAGTGTGACATGAACATCGTTGGTTGCCGGCTCAGTGGTCTAAGGGTTGAGCGTTCACGCATGAGACTGAAGGTCCTGGATTCGAGTTCCGCATGCGGGATCGTGGATATAAACTTATGAGGAGTCCTACACTAGAACTAAACGTCCGTCCAGTGGTGGTCTAGCTTTGATCGACTTGTGAATTAAACTGTAAAAATACCACAAATCCCCATACTGTTATAAATATTTGTTCATTACAATACTCCTAAGTGAAATGAGAATCCTATTCACAGCCTTTAGGACATTATAAACTATTTTACCCGCAATTTTCGGATATGTCATCAGTTGGCTCTGGGTCATATCCAGTCCCCTAGGGCAAGAATCAAGGCCAATACACATTGGCAGACCGGTTGAATCACGGGCAACAGAACGAACTATGAAAAAGATGCCGAGCCGACATATCTTCTCTCACTGTCAGATCCCAACGCTTCACTACCAAGTCTGTGGTCTGACTGAGACCGTGGCCAGGTAAACCCTCCAGTCAACCGCTCGGTCGACTTGGACGGACAAAAGCAGACCTTAATTGGCTCCCTTGGCTAGAAATGTTGGATTCGCCAAGTGAGTGTGAATCTCTTACTTCATGAATCCACTTCAGAAATAGGCCCGTATTTCATAGATAATCACTAACCTTTCCTAATAAAATTGTTCTCCAACTTCACCCTTCGAGTAACCAAATGGGCCCTAGGCGGTGCGAGAAATCCGTCCCGGGTAGGTATGTCTCTACCTGTAAGTTTATACTCAGCCAGTCCTCATGAACAAGGAGGTTCCGGACGACTCCAGCAAGGGGGCTGGGTACACCGAGCCCCCCTTTGAAAGACGGCCAGAGCTATTCCCATATAAACAGAACAAGAAGAGATAATATCACTCCTTCATTCCAGCCGATGGCGGAACCCTGAAGCGCACCATCATCTGCGCTACTGGAGACCCACACCAGCAATACATGGCACTCCGTCGAAACCTAACCACAGCACAACGTTGCTGGCAGAAACCACGAAGAGGCAATCGCCAAGCAACCGTGACCCCCAAAAGGCCCACGACGAACCTTAAGAGAATCATAGTCACTAAATGCCTTTTATTCCTATTTTCAAGTTATTGTAAACTCTTCACAACCTTTATAATTATCATACATTGTATACTGGCTGTTTTCAGACTTCCCTTAATTACTACCTCACCCACATTTCCCTATGTTTTTAAACTCTATTCCCAAATGACCTGACACCTGTTTTTACACATAAATAATCATTATTAATAATGCTTGTTATTCCGAGTCTTTCCGTTATCAATGTCAATTTCACATTATATCATACCCCAGTGATTCATTTTAATACATATATGGTTGAAAGCGGCTAATGAGAAGCTGTGAAATACAGTGAATTCATATCATTCTGCATCAACTCTTTTTTGGATTCATCCGGAAAAATAACAAATTATGGAATTACCTTGCAACTTTTGAATTAATAATTGGTAAATTTGTATCACTTCTCCAGGTACTTGAAGTTGATAACAATGATGAGACCTTATTGTCCGATTCATTTCGAACCATACCTAAACGTATTACTTTTCTGTAGGAAGGATTCTGTTTTTTTTTTGCTGTTTTGAATGAATCTGAAGATATATTTGGCAGACTCTTTCTAATAATCACATTAGTTGAACCCCGTAACTAAATATTATTCAAAAGTAAACGTATAGAGAGATATTTATTTATGTAAAATTTATGGATTAGGAGAGGCATATTTTGTTCATCTCTCATTACGTCATAGCAGAAACACTTTCATGAACACGTGAAACACAGTAATTCAAATTCGACCTCTCTAGTGAGAACCAGATAGTAAACCAATAAGAACTTATCAACACATAATATAGAGTGGAATCATTTGAGTAAAATTGGAGAGAATTTAACAGCTTGAAATAGCCTCGTATATTCAGTATAGCCACGTACATCCACTTTTAACATTGATCATCCACAGGTCACCTTGAACAGACATACCACAGTATGATTGAAATATCTTAAACCGAATGGAAATATTCCATCCAACTTATCGATTTATTACTGTATGGAGATTATTTAATTTTACCGTTTGCAACACGGACTAGATTTAATCAGATGTTAGTAGCCTACCAGTGACAGTGGAAGAAAGTTTTGTGAAGTGGATGAAGTTGGATGTTTTCACTCAGATGTTGGTTCAGTGGTCTAAAGGTAAAACGTCCACTGCGAGACTTGGAGGTTCCTAGTTAGATCTACAAAGGGATCACGGATACACTCCACTATAGAGTCCCATATTAGAGTGAACTAGCTGTCTGACGCCTTCTGCTCTTTAATGATTATCTAACCAACAAAGTCCACCAATTAACTTAGTAATATAATCCAAACATAATTTTCATTATGATGTAGAATTATCTGATGAAGAATCAGAGTAGTCAAGGAGCAATGAACAAGTGTTTTGTTCAACTTTATGATTTATCACGCCAAGATAGCTCCCGATATCTGAGCAAACTCGTGAGTTCGAGATTTCGCTGCTGTCTTGGTGACTCTAAATAGATTATTCACACCGTTCCAGAGTAGTAAAGAACAAATACATTAAAAGTTACTATATTTGCGATGACCTTAGAAACTGAATGAATGTTTGGAGTTAGTGCATAACTAGCTGCATAACGACGAATAGTTAACAGAAACTTGGCTTAAAATTCATATATTTTCTGTTATTCATTTTCAAGAAGTGTGTAAAATGGTGATGAATATCTGCAATACAGATACATTAATAAAGAATATTCTTTTTAAAAATTTCTCTTCGAGTTCTCCAGTTGTGCACTGAACTTGGTAATCAAAAGAAATTGTCTACTCTGAGGGAAACACTTTACTAATCGCAGTTTATAACTTCATGATTACCGTTAGAAAAAGTATGTCTCTGTGAATATTGAAATGATTAGCGTCCAGCATATACCTTAAACCGATTGTAAAAAGGCGAAACCGTGGAAATGTCAGATGAGGTCATTGTAGATTATTGGTGGCCTAACTAAAAATTGATCTTTTTCAGTGTCATCTCTTGCCTTTCACATAATGGATCAGTACCTCCTATTTGAATACAAAACGTTGTATGTTTAATCTTTTTTCATATAATTCATATTAATGGTCCTTCCACTTATTTTTTATTCATCCCTTTAATTTCACTATGATGTGGCAACATCCATTGATTTACGTCTATCGTGGGACTTATATCAGTTATAACTGATATTTAGGGTAGAAATCAGTAAGTTGTCCTTTAAGCCACAGATAACCCTCTTAAGACGGAGATATTTCCACTACTTAATTAATTTCATGCTATCTAGTACACATTACTTCGATTTATATAACTCTTGTAACATTAATCTGATGAGTGTAGTCATTCAACCAACTATAGTCGAAATTTCCTCTTTTTTCTATATTATTACAGGTCTTTTATCAAAAGGTTCTAGAGGTTATGAAAGTTTTACAATATTAGTGCCTAATTCCTAAAATTTTGTCTGAGTGAATCCCAAAGCAATACATGTTCATTTACTAAGGTTTAATCTGTTATGAACAGAAGTTCTACCCACCTCTCCAAACCAAACTCACTGGCATATGAACAAATTAATTACTACTCCATGTTGTGAGTATTTGTCGTCAACGTTAATCGGTTATAATTAAAGCTTTTGAAGAGAGTTGATAGCATAAACTTTTATGATCAAAACATTATTTAAAAGCATTCAGAACTTCTGCAATCATTATGAAACTCACGAATCGCGAATAGTGATCCAAAATGTTGTTTACATCTTTTTTAGTATACCCTTTGTTAAATGGGATAAGGATACCCTACAATGTAGAGATATATACCATATTATTCTGTTTATTTAATAAAATTTGATTTACCTTCCATTGGATTTTTTCCAACATATACGGTCGATGTGAGATAGGTAGACCAATTTTCACTCTCAATAACTTATGATGATGACCATGATATGCTTCAGTGTAATTATTTATTAGTAAAGATAAACTCTAAAAACGAGCATAAGAAATCAATTTACGGTCATTAAAAACAGTTTATAAAAATATGACAACTTTTATTACTGGGAAGTTAAGCGGTTTATACATCAGATTTTCTCGTCGACTCAACCCCAATGCACCAAATAAACCACTGGAGTATATTCCAAGCACGACGTGTCTAAATACTTTACCACTGAATTCAGAAACGAAGGATATTGTAAAACGTTTTAGGTATTCTTGACCTTGTGTGAGAAAACTTGAAAATGAACATAAAAGTACGTAAAAATCGTTATGTACACAAAAATACATTCACTTACATGGCTAATATTGTTGCCTCCAGACATTTTATAGGGAGTGAAGCCAACATTATCATTTTTACAACCTCCTCAAGTCTATACAGTCAAAATAACGAACATACATTCAAATAATTTATAGTAGGTTTGGTCGAACGGATTTACCTAACAATAGATGCACCTCGATTTATTTGGAAGAACTGCATTCCAGTATAATTGTATCTATATTTTTGAACAAACAAATAGCTTGTCATAAGAATAAACAACAACACAGGTTCGTTTGAATAAAACAGAAATTTATGGCACAAGTTGCAAGAGTATGACATGTTTACTTCTAAACTTGATTAACATACACTGAATACACCATTTGAAGTCAGTTTTGTTAACAAACCACTACTGTGTACATACGAAAATCATAAAGATCTTACGTCAAGTGGATAATTCTACCTTTACATCCTGATTTCAAGTTGAGGAAGTGGCTGATTGTAAATGCAAGCATTTTGCTAAACATAAAATATCTGTAGAAAATAGAGGTACATATGCCCATACATGTCATTTAGCAATGATTAAGTCTGTTAAAAAGAAACAGTTCTTACTAAAATTGTCTGATAAAACTAAACATAACAGAAGTTTGGACGATTATAATTAACCTTGTATCCCTCGATCCAAGTTTACGTTCAACCTTTTGCTCATACCATGGAAAGTGTTGAATATAAGAATGAGGAGTTAATATTATGTTTAATAAGGACGTGAAATAGTATCAGTATATTCCAAAAGTATGTCCAGTAAAACAGCTCAACATCATCACCCTCAGAAAATCTGGGTATTCGTATCATATACCATTTCCAAATGTACCATATCGACAAAACATATATTAATATCATGAAATCTAAATGAAAAGCGAATCATAATCAACTTAAGCCGTGGCACAAATGGAAGTAAGAATGTGTTTCCAAATCAGCTCAGTACAAAATCAGTGATTAAGAATTAAAAATGATTGTGGTAGGACTGATAAAAAGGTGAATAGATTAAGAATATAGTTTGAGCAAAAAGAGAAAACGTGCATGCTTGATGGAATATCTGAGCTAAAGATCTAGAAGATAAATAGCTAATTCAAAATAAGAAATACTCTAAAGGTTGATGTGCAAACGACCCAAACGACAAAGACTTACTAGAGTGACGAACTACCTATGAGAACTTTACTGGTGTCTATTCACCACAAAAATGTTTGTGCCAATTATGTTCAAACATACGAATGGATGGATATCCATCCATCTTGTATAAAAACTTAGGAATAATAACCACAATATCAAGCTCAAGAGGAGAAAACACAATTAAGGTACTGAAATATCGAGGTTCAACCAAAATTACATATTTATTAAAGCAAGGAGAATATCAAAATAAAACACATTTAGATACATATCAAAACAGAATAAAATAGTTAAAACATCGTACTCAAGACTGTTGAGGTAATTTTGTACTTTACTTAAAAACACTTCTGCTGTTTCAATTTTATCCACCCTGAATTCAGGAAGCTTCGTAAACATTATGAAGATATGAATAATTTACAAGCATTTTGGATATAACGTGATCTTCAAAAGATTCATATAGATCGGTGATCTGCTTTTTACAGTCGCTGTTTTGTTTTAAACAGAAATCGAACATTGATTTCCAAGTTTCTGCGTTAATAGGAAACCCACTTCTATTTGTAAGGAAAGGGACATAATCATACATTTTGAAAATGTTGTTCTATCATCACCACGATTTTAATGACTCAAACAAAGTGACGTGTTTCTTTTAACTCATACAATCATTATTTAACAGAGGATTCAAAAAGAATGGTTCACAAATATATGTATATATATATACCTCAAATAGAATTATTGTGTTAGGGAGTTTTAATTGTCAACTAGAATAAAACGTGCTGAGGATGGATGATGATTTTTTTTCATTCAAATAACTTTGTGACAAGCCAGTGTAAGCCGATTGATTTCTCTGCGTCCGCTTATTTGCGTTGTGGCCAAACTACAATCCGTTATTAGTTGGTCAAATCAACAGATTTTAATAGTACTTTTACATTCCACAATTTATTGAGTTATCTTAGTTTAGTGTATTACCGTGCTAATATTGGAAAAGTGAGGTTGCTGGAATCAATGAGACCCCATTAGTCGGCAAAAAACTATCTGATCTTGGTTATAATCAAGATAAACTAATTAATCAATTAAATATATGAATAACATGTATGAAACATAAATAAGCAGAGGTGGCAATCTACAAGGTGAGAGGTATGTGTTATCAATCATAATAATATATGCGAAAACTTATGATGATAAAAGCGATGAGAATACTGAGTAAAGCCGCCAGAAATGCAGTAGGGTGAACAACCAATTCTAAGAGATTAAAGATGCCACATGTATCCGAAGTTTGACAACACTTTTACCAGTAACACCTTTACGATCAAAGTATACCAACACGCCCAAACCATTAGTCGGAAATGTAGGGACTTGAAAATATATCTGAGACTTTATCGATGTGTCCAGTGTGTACGAACTCTACCCTGGTGCAGATCGTCGATCTGTTTGGCTCTGACTTTGATGAATCCACATTGGGCTTCACCAAGTGTTATTTTTGTCCATGTTCTCCCCTAGTGGTGATTCTACTCCCATAATAGCCTGTGACAGTTTATTGAGTGCCTTGACAGTTTGTGTTCTGGAGTGCAGATAATTTCTACATAATGCTTCTGTGCTATAAGGTGGATGTCATTACAGCCTAGTCGTACTATATTCCTGTTGTATAAGTGCTCGGTTGAGTTGTTTGAGCACCAACTATCTCTACCGTTTCTAAACTGATAAGAAGATCATTAGTCCCTTTAGTAGAAAAGCCTAAATAGTATGTCAGGTTCATCTTTGAAACGCGGAATCCACATGATGCCCGTATTTAAGGCTGTACATTTCCGTTTTAATGCGACAATTGTGTTTTTATGCGATATAATTTTGTTGTTCTACATCAACAGCAAATCACTCGTCATAACGCATAAGATCAGCCGGCTAAGCAAGTTTACTGCAAATTTTGTGACCGTAATCATGCTTGTAAATTAGCATGCCCGACGTAGCTTATGGTTTGTGAGAAGAAATTGTTTTTACAGTTTCTGAGCGATTGGTCAAAACACAAAGTATTTGATCAACTTCCACTCACATCTTGTGTCAGACTATCATGTGTGGATATGGACTGGGAGAAGGCAAACATGTTGACTGTATAACCAGACTTACCTAGTGCTCATGTCTCTTAACCATCGTAGAGAAGCATACGCCATCCACCAAACTTGTAGCCGAGCTCCGTCCTCGAGAATCTTTTCCAACCCTTTCCTGTTGTCATTCGTCGTTTCATGTGCTTTCTGATCACCGACGGAATATGTTTCTCGTTCTTCCTTTTTTCTGTTTCGCTTCAGGATTTCAAGTTAGTGCTTGACTCGCGTTACAGATTGGTGATTTTCGAAATGTATGTACAGTCTACTTCCAACGTCTTTTACTTATTTCCACTTCAGATGAAAGCTGATTCATCCACCACCAAATAAGTCTGTTGAGGTGTAGTCCGTCATAAGAATTCCGTAGTCAGTCGTACGAGTTTCAGATGATATTGACGATCTTCTCAGGTACACTGTAGTGTTGAAGGAGGTCCCGTAAGGTCCAGCTTCACAGTCAGAGACGTTACCACTGAGCTATCCGAGCCTGGGTCCAGGGATTCCTGTTGACTACCTCCAACCACCATCTAATCTCAATACATAGTGCCCGCAGTGTCGAGTCACCTAGACTGGTGGCCACATTGCAACATGATCGATAGCATTCGATCTGCACCAATAAGGACTAGACAAGCATGACATTGATCACCACCCAGTGATCAATCAATTGTGATTACATCTCAGTCCTACAGGAGGTTAGTCACGGCTCGGGTAGCTCAGTGGTAACGCCTCTGACTGTGGAGCTGGGTGACACGAGATCGAATCCGCCAGGGAGCACCAGTTCCCTCGAGATTACAGGTACACCTTGCTGACGAGTGCCAAGTAGCACGAAACCCGGGTCCAGGGTTTCCTGTTGACTACCTCCAACCACCATCTAATCTTGAGATGCTAATGTGCTGGCAGATTTACGAATAAGGTTTCATGTCAAAAGTTATCTGCTATAAGAGAAAAGAACTGTGGTGATATTTAACTTCAAAATCGTGAATGGTTCTCGGTTTCAATATATAACCTAGACAACAATCAAGGATCGAAGAACAATGAGATATTGGTTTAACAACTTGGGTTGTTTGGTTAACATTTGACTGAAAATATCTTAGTACTGTCAGACCATCATGTAGCAGTAAATGTAGAGATATTTTCTGTCCACTTCAGAAGGCATTTTGAAGAAGGATAAGTAGCAGCAGATCAGGAAGAGGTATGCATCACCACGACATTTGAGGAAGATATTATTGAACGTGGGAACTACAGGGGCATCTCAGGACTACCAGTGTAAGGTAATGATATCAACAGCGTTGCTCAACGGAACGAAAGATTCAGCAAGCCTGTAGTGGTATTGGTCCCAACTACACAATCCTCAAATCCGAACACGAGAAAACTGGAAAAATATATATTCATCAGTTAACTCGGAGAGGAGAGCAACAAGGGAGAAATTAGGGATAGTTAATTGAATTCGGTCAGCATGGCATGGCTCAGACTTGAAGGCGTGGTCATTGTCGTTTAGACCATTCACTTCCACACTAAATGCATTATTCTATAATCAGCCGAAATGTGTTCTTCCTAAGTGCCAAACATCATATTGCATGTCGTCATGATACGATGAGTCAGGGTAGAGAATGATGTGACGTCCACATAAGATCTCATTGTAGGATCCAAACTACGGTTTGGATGTTGAAGAATAGCCTACCGGGGATTTTAGACACGCGCCCTTTCCCGTCGAAATCAGAACAAGTAATCGGGTAACTAGCGGTTCTATAATTCATAATAAATTTAATGTAAATCATTACCTAAACAAATATTATCACCCGGCTATTCAACCAATGATTGTTCAATCAATTAAATCTAAATTACAATAAATAAAGAAGTTGACAGAAGATGCAAGAAAATTACCAATCACCACAAATAAATGTTATTCTATCCTGTCTGGATAGATCACGTACAGATTCGTTCAAAAGGTAATAATTGGTCGCTTTATAACACAGAGTGTTTTCAATTCTGGAAGAGTGCTTCAATTCACAACCAAAATGCACAATTCCAGTCAACACAGGTCAAGCAATCAAAAGCAGGGATAAACCAAAATGGCTGCCGCCCAGACTTAGTATAAAGTAAAACAACATAAGTGCAGTTCGGGAAGAAACATGGGGAATTGGTGAAGGTGTAGTAAAAACGAAACTATAATAAAATACAAATATTAACAATTCAAATGTAGTCAAAAAGTCAACAACGTACAACTAAAAGAATCAATAGGAACAAAGTGTAAGTATATACATGGAGGGATTTTCATAAACACACAAAGAACTCAAAATGGATCTTACACCGGCCCCCAAAATCCCTCCATATCACACAAGCTACCTTGATGCCTATGGTCATGGTTCATTATGTAGCATATGACACTATAGGAACGAGTAGGACTTACAACAGTACGCCTACTCGACCTACCTACATTAATAACAACAAAGACTAATCCGAAGCTTCAAGGAGACCTGTTTCACTTGTTCTCTGGTGTTCAACAATAACACTCGTGGTATAGACCTAGTCACTTTTCCCCAAACTCCACCCATGCTGTTGGATGAGGGCCTCGCTGACAATTCACTATTTATCTTCTGCTGATCCGACTGTTGCACAAACTTCCTTGGCTCAGAAACTGCCCACACGAAGCTTGACGCACTGTCACTGTAAATCTCCGGAGGTTTCCTTCTTCTTCCAGTACAACGCAATAAGTCAATTATAAATGAATCAGTAATCAAACTACACATCATTTCAATATGTACTATCCATGTTTGCAAACAAGTAAACACATATCCATACCCTTTTTCTAATGATCTTCCTATCTGTCCTTGTTCTTTATGACAATGTCTAGTTATCATTTCCGTCACTAAGTGTCGACTAGGTAAAATTACTGGATATCTAAAAGCATTTGGGACATCTGAGTATCTTAGTCGACCTCCAACGCAGAGTAACCCATCAAGCATTATCAACGATAAACCTTTCAGATCATCATGGCTTACTACTTTACTGCTGTTTTTAAATTCACTAAGTAATTCTCCATACACTTCTCTCTGAACCATCAATAAAATCTTACGCTTGGCAATCTCAAGCTCTTTGACCTTCAAACATCCTAGATGAACGGATCCTTCACAACTCGGTAAACGAAGTACCATCAGGAATTCGATGAACCTTCTAAAGCAGGTTACAACTCTGACTAATTTCAACCACTCGGAATAATAAGAGCGAACAGGTGTCTTGTTGTACTTTATACTACTCAAGTTAACCACAGCAGTTTTTCTAAACTCAATATCGTCAAGAGTAGGTTCCGTACAGTCAGTGATTGTTATATAAAATTCGCCATGCAATAAAATAGGACATTTGAACCAAGATTCAAGATCGGTCATTTTTTGTATACTTCCTCTACATAATAATTCACTTATATGCTTAACGAAACTCTTTGCTTGATCACAAGTGGGAATGGATATCAAGCAATCACCAACATAGAAATTATTCTTGACATCATCTACAACATAACCATCATAACCGTCAGAGAATATTTGGGCCGTCTTATTCAGGGCAAGGTTCGCGCAAAATGGCGATGATGTGGCATCAAATGGATGAGATGTCATTTGAAACTCGGATGATTCCCTCGACATGTCTCCCTCTTGCCACCACAGAAATCTTAAAGCTCCTCGATCAGACTCAGGGACCTTCACTTGCATGAACATTTCTTCAACATCTACAGGGATTGCAACTGCCTCCTTGCGAAAACTTATTAATACACACCTTAACTCAGCAGTGGTATCGGGTTCTTGGTAAATCATATCATTTGGGGGAACCCCTGCAAACTGGGCGGCACAATCAAGGACCACTCCAAAATCTGGTTTTTTCATGTTTAATACTGCACGATGAGGTAAATACCATCGAGGGCGATAATAAGACTGCAGATATATTTCAAAGACCCTCTCCGCATAAGTCTTAGTAAAATCACTTTCAGTACTTTTGATATACTTGATGTGCAGACTGACATCCTTCGACAACATACCCTTCAAACTTTGTAATCTACGGTTTGCTACTTCATAATTATCCACTTTCATATCTGGATTCTTTTTCCAAGGTATAGAAACTACAAAATGACCGTTGCCGAAGCGCGTGCTACCTTCCACAATCTTTATAGCCACCTTGTCGTCTACTGATAATGATTTATCACTTGAATAAGCATCTGAAAACTCTACGTCATAAGGCTTACGTATTTCGTTCTCTAATGTCTGTATCTTACTGGTATGATTAACAACTCTTTTCCTATATTCCAGGCATGATGGCTTATCATTTACGACGTTGCTTGTCGAGTCAGTGTACAGCAGAGCGTGATGTCTCCTCTCGCAACTTTCAACCTTACAGAGCTTTGTCATCTTACATTCATTAACCTTATGTCCTTGTCTAAGACAGACGAAACAGATACCCTTGCTTTTAGCGTGAGACCATCGGTCTTGAACTGTAAGCGCTAAGAACTGTGGACATTTATCAATGGCATGGTCGTACGAACACATACTACATTTAGTTTTCATTGTCGAACTATTCCCTTGCTCTGATTGCACGTGACAGTTCGTCTTTGCGTTATGTCCTTTTCTAGAACGGTTTGCTAACCGTCCAAATCTACTACAAGCCACTCTCGCACGCGATGCGATAAACTTAGTGAGCTCGTCGAAGGTCGGTTCCCTGTTATCTTCAGTCAATTTATCCACCCAGTCCGCCCACTGGGCTTGCATAGGTTGAGGCAGGAGTCTCACTATTCTTTCCAAGGTAACTAAGGAATTTAGACAAGAAGTATAATTCATCTGCTCCAAGTCCATGGCACAGTTTTCCATCTTAATAGCCAAATTTGATAGTTGGTCCCCGTCAATATACTCAAAATTCACAGCACTGAATAAGTCCTCTAGTGTTTCTCGAGCAATTACGTGAGACTGTCCGAAAAAACGTTTTAAAATCTCCCTTGCTCTTTTATAGCCAGAGGATGCCTCCATCATGACGCAACCTTCAATAGCTGTTTTAGCCTTGCCCTTACAGTAGTGTATCAAATAGAGTAAGCGCTGGCTATCATCCGTGACTCTTGACGCTATATACGTCTCAAATTGCCTTATAAATTTCCAATGACCTCTTGGCTCTCCATCGAAATAACTCAGTTCAACCTTTGGTAGCTCTGGGCCAACAACATGGACTATAGGCGACATGCTCTTTCCTAGTAATTCAGGCCTTTGCTCCTCCTTTAAACTAAGATTTTTTACATCATCTGACATCGAATTAAAGCTAGAATCACTGCCATGATAATTAACCCTATTTAAGTCTGAACCATGACCCTTAGGGACGTCAAAAGGCACTTGCTTGACAATAGGGGATTCTTCGTTAACATCGACGAACTTTGAGCCTGATCTCCTTCGACGATTAACTGGCATTATAAGCGACACGACCAGTTATTTCCAGAAAATCCGTCAACGATTACCAAAGGATTTCGGCCAAGTAATACTTGTTTAGAACTGTAGGATCCAAACTACGGTTTGGATGTTGAAGAATAGCCTTCCGTGACTTTAGACAAGCACCCTTTCCTGTCGAAATCAGAACAAGTAATCGGGTAACTAGCGGTTCTATAATTCATAATAAATTTAATGTAAATCATTACCTAAACAAATATTATCACCCGGCTATTCAACCAATGATTGTTCAATCAATTAAATATAAATTACAATAAATAAAGAAGTTGACAGAAGATGCAAGAAAATTACCAATCACCACAAATAAATGTTATTCTATCCTGTCTGGATAGATCACGTACAGATTCGTTCAAAAGGTAATAATTGGTCGCTTTATAACACAGAGTGTTTTCAATTCTGGAAGAGTGCTTCAATTCACAACCAAAATGCACAATTCCAGTCAACACAGGTCAAGCAATCAAAAGCAGGGATAAACCAAAATGGCTGCCGCCCAGACTTAGTATAAAGTAAAACAACATAAGTGCAGTTCGGGAAGAAACATGGGGAATTGGTGAAGGTGTAGTAAAAACGAAACTATAATAAAATACAAATATTAACAATTCAAATGTAGTCAAAAAGTCAACAACGTACAACTAAAAGAATCAATAGGAACAAAGTGTAAGTATATACATGGAGGGATTTTCATAAACACACAAAGAACTCAAAATGGATCTTACACTTATAGATTAGGTGGTCACATCATGACAAATCTACAATTCTGGGATCAGGCTTATTATTAAAATAGTATTAATTTCCGAAATAGATCACAATCACCCAACCTCCTAACTTCGACATCAACAAACTAGATTTTGAAAGAATCTGCCATGTGCAGACTAAAATCGCAACCTCATGGGTTAATTTTGGGCGATCAGTTGAATGAAATTTATCACCATAAACCAACATCCTCGATTATGAGAAAATGTTTGAGAGCATGATTAAGAGAACCTTCTTTTGATTCTTATATCAATTCTTAAGAAAGTCAATGCAACAAGAAGTTTATAGCGTGATAGCTGCTTGTAGAAACCCTACCACCCTTAAAAATTTATTCATTAGGACCCGGAAGAAATCTGCCTCATAAATGTCAACTCCTTCAGTTGGTTAGCCAAGATATATTTACTGTGCCTCATAAAATAAAACCGTTGCATGTAAGTTACATGACCCAATAGATAACTTGTGGATTTTGAATAATCTAACGAATCGCCAATCGTTCTGAGTAGATTAAAACTTTTACAAGGCTTAATCAGGCCGTCGAACTTGAAGTGTGCAGGATAAAATCGCACTGTTTTTATTTTCGATCTTAAAATCAATAACATAGAACGATTAATTGAATGATAATTGTATGAATTGCTCAACACAGCTTCAAGAAAATATTCGGAGCGCACAAGACTTTAGAAATGTTTACATAAATTGTTATTTCATGGTTCACGAGCTAGAAATCGATATATCTTCAGCGACCGATCTATTCGAAAATACATTCATTTCTTTCTGTTTCGTGTTAATGGGATCTTAACAAAAAGAATCTATGATTTATTGCAGTTCCGTAGTTTATATCACTAACTGTTCTTAATTACATCACCAGGGCAAATCTGTGAAATTGTTGTTTACCACAGGTTATGAATGAGTATTGAGCTACATCATAAAATGATTGAAATAGTATACTAATAGTTTCACGCCGTTTCGGTAGTCTATGAACTTCATGTTCACGCCTGTGAATGCACGTGATGATGACCCCTATACTGGAACTAAACACTCCTTCTGTGCTTCCATGTTTTTAGTGTTGGTCTTAGAATCTTACGTTATTCAAATTATAGGAGTACATCTAGGTCATCAAGGTCAGTAATGTTGTCGGTCCTTCACAACCCACTTATATCTAAGACTGCATAAAGTATTTGTTCTGACTAGTTCTCGTCTATGTAATTATTTACCGTACAAGTTAAAAAATATTATCTTCATTTCTTGCAAACTATGTGATTTTTGAAATTGCTTCTATGGCACTTTAGTGGATTCAGACACCGTTCATGAACAGTAAAACTGCAAACAGCCTTATGCACACCAAATGATTGGCATAAACCAAACAAACAGTTTTTATTCCTGAAAACGTGTATCTATATGAATTTGTAGGATATGATATATTCGCGAGTTGTAGCTTGCAACTAAGTATATGATAATATGTTTAGCACCTCAATTTCATAATGTACTTATTTTGTTTTCAGTTCTAAATTGACGGCGTTAGCTTGTTTATGCGTATATGTACGCATAACTATCTTAATGATAGTTAATCATTTATATACAGGGATTTCTTAAATAGTTCGTCTTTTTTTACATAACTTGTTCATCTAATGTTTCCAGAAATGTGATAAGAACATTTTTGTAGTAACACGAAATTCTAAATTAACTTTTCGTCTGTTTTCAGACAGTCCTCGTAATTTTAGTTACACAGATTCCTAACAAGTCTCGAAATATCTCATTATGTTTTAGTTAGTGTTGTTTTTTTGTGATCTTATAAACACTACTTGATATATGAAAAGTACACCCTATGCTCGGTTTTCGTCTGATTGCATTCCTAATATTTTATGCTTCGGTTTATTGCGAGAATTTTAATGAAGAACTTCTCATCAAAGATCTTGGTCATGGATATACAGCATTCCATTTCAATTTTGCCGCTACAACTTCAGAGTCTGTTTTCCATTGTAAGTTCTATCAATGCTTAGACGAATTTTGATTTAGCAAAGCACTATAACATTCTTCCGAAACCCATCATTCAAATCCTAAAAAAATATGATGTGGACGAATTCCACCTTTCTATCTCAAGAGGGATATGGGATGAACGTTGGGGTAGTAACTTTATTTCAGTTTCTCCTTCTGGAGCTGAACTATGGGCATGGTTTGGAAGTCAAACTACCAGGTAATCCTTATACTTAGTTCAACGTTTAGTGTTGATCAATCATGGTTTAAATTAACACATGCTCTTTCGGGATTATTCTGTGCTTCTTTAAACCGACTATCTACAAATGAACATTTTGCCTCTCCGATCCACTCTTACAAGCCATCTGGAGTACCGAAATTCAGTAGAGTTTCTAAAGAGGTCAGATATTCTCAGCTACCTGGTGAGGCTTTATGCAGTGAGAATTTGACTCCATGGACCAAGTACTTACCATGTAAATCATTTTCCGGTTTGGGAAGCTTGTTGCGTTCAACTTCACTGTTTAAGTCAAATTACAACACCATGACTATTGGAGTTAGACGAGTGTGTTTGGTAAGCCTTATTTGTAATATATCATTACTACTCAGGATTTAGAATGTCACGAAATCGGGCTAGAGCTGATGGAAACCCTGACGGTTGTCTTTGACAGAAGTTTGTTGTTTGCGAAAAGAACATGTAAGTGGAATTTAAAATTACTACACTGTATATGTTAACTAGTGATATACAACCTCCTATGTTTTCATTTCGTGTCTAGCTATCCACTATCCATAATACCTTACGATTTACAGATTTTTTCAAACGAAACGACCGAAGTGTTTTGTTCATTACGAGTGTTCTCTATCTAACAAAGTATCTCAGAGTCAAAGTAATACATGGTTTTGTTTACAGCAAGGTCTTTCACTTGTGTTTTTTTACCTGTACGTCAGTGCCTTATTATAGATTAGAATTTTGTAAGTTATGATATCGAGTTGGAATTAGTCTTTATCTCATTACCCTACAACCCTCCGTAACATTTTTCCTAATAACCATTCACAGCATTATTCATTTTGCACCTCAAATTTCGCTTGGTTTCTTGTTATTGTATTGCTTGTTATTTTTCTTTCATGCAACATGTAATTCAACTAATGAGTTCAAACCATTCATATTGCTTTACTTATGGACTACATTTAACTTTTTAGATAATATATCAATCTGTTCATTTTATTGGAATTTCATGAACACGAATAAACATTCCTCTTCATATTCTGTAACTTTGTCATTCGGAAATATTTAAATTGTTATTTACTTTCTATACTGTTTTAGTAAGTACAAATGTATATATCAGTTGGTTCACACTTAAGTGACATGAACAGAAGAATAACAAAAGAAATAGCCTAAATCACATAGATTGTTGATGTGATATAGTATTTCGGTTTAGTGGCTAGTAGTTAAAAATTAGTTCGATAGGACTTATCTCTATTGTTCTCTAGTTGTACATTAATATTACCAATAAGAGACTAGCAACTTGTCAATTAGCTCACATTATAAAACTTTATTTAATATGAGCTTCATTTGGCCAAATCTTTTAGTGTTTATCTCATTCATATGTATTATTTAATTTGGATATATATATTCTCAGCTCCTTGGTCTATCAGAAGTATCCTTGGTTCGGAATTCAAAGGATTTTGCGATGCAGCAAATACTAGTCGCGTGTTCATCCTTGCTTCATATGAAGATATGAATATCCCTTTAGATAATAAACTGAAAGTCGACTGTTTGGATAATCGTATTCTAGCTGCGTATTCGACAAAAGATCTATCTACACAATTCATATCTTTTCCTTTCAAAACTAGTGGGAAAAAGTCCTCTCCAGAGCATTTACCTCTTGTTTCAGCTACCAAACATATCACTGGTTCTGGAAGTGTAAGGGGTGGAGTCAAAGTTTTCCTGACTAGTAGAGCTGATTTCAACTTAAAGATAGTTTATTTTGATCTAATTCCGTGGTACACACAAGTTTTTTTCAGTTCCTTAAAAATCTACGGTTTGGATCCCAAAACACAAAACAAAACAGAGATTACCCCAAGTAAGTCGATCTGAATTGATTTGCTTTTCAGTAATCATGTTATATATCCAATTAATTCTTAATAATGGGAAGTTGTTTTAAAAAATACCGCGGTAAGACCGAAGGTGAGGAAAGTCCGCTCCCCCTCTCGAAATATCCTCACAAAGCCTCGCGTATACAGCCACTCAGAGAAGTCCTACTCAGTGCCCTCTCGCGGTGAGAATATTATTTGCGAAACTGGTAGGATGAAACGCGAATGTCTAGTGCTTTAACCGGGTTGGTGGGTATGGAGGATTCACCTTGAGAATTGGTAACTGCCGGAAGCTCTTTGAACTCATCCAAGTCACTAGCAGCAAGGAGTCTGGTGTGAGTGAAACTATCTGTGAAGCTGATGTGATGCCAATCAATATCATCTACGAAGTCTTGAATGATAAGCAGTTTCTCGAGGAGCAGTTCAACTGGTCTGTTGCCCTGACGACATAAATCAAACATCCTGCCCTTCATGGCCGGTGACGACTGATCCACTTGACGAGGTGGAAATTCCCAAGGAACCTCAACTCTTGAAGCTCCCCAAATCACCGGGCTCAGATGACTTACCTCCGACCCTTCTGATGATGCCGGTTAATGAACTGGCTGGGTTGTTTATATGTGTCTGGCAATCAGAGAGTGTTTCAACATCGTGGAATGAGTTGATAGTTTTCCCTATCTCAAAAAAGGTACACATCGTTTATGCAACAACTGTCTACTTCCGATCGCGTCCAAACTATTGGCTTCCGTCATATTTCGTGTAATTGTTCTAAATCCAAGAAAGATTGACTCGTGAGCAACAGGCTGGTTTTTGTTCTGATCGAGGATGTATTGATCATATCTTATCATTAAGGCCGCTCTCGACTCGCTGAACAGGACCGTTCTGTGGGGTTAACTATTGAAATAGAGTATATCTGAGAAGTTTATTAACATCTTGAAAGCCCTATATACAAACGCCTCAGGCAGAATGAGGGCACGCAACCATTTGCCTTCATTGTTTTCATTCAAGCAGTGGGGTTAGGCAGGGTTGCCCGATCTTACCATTCCTCCTCAACTTTGCCATCGATGATTATCTGGAAAAATCTCTGGTGAATGTAAGTAATAGTGTTGTAGATCTGCTGCTTGGAGAAGAACTTCTCGACCTTGAATATGCGGATGATATTGTCGTACTGTATGTTGATACCCAAGCCATGTAATCCGCACCGAGTCAGTTGACAGTCACTGTCCGCAAGTACGGCATTTCTTCTGCACCTTCCAAGCGCAAAGTACTTCTACGGGACTGATAGAGCTTTGAACTAACACTCTGGACAGTGAGTAGGTAGACGTAGTCGAGAAGTTTGTGTATCTGGGTAACTGTGTAAGTGCTGGTGGTGGCGTATGATGAAATCGATCCGTACATAATGAAAGGCAGAGTGGCTTATGCCAATGTGATCCATATTTTGCGCCTCTGTGATGTTAGTCTGGCTGCAAATGGTCGGGTCTACAATGCATCAGTGAGAGCAGTTTTTATCTATGCCTGTGAAACTCGGCCTCCGAGTTGAAGATGTTAGACTACTTTGTTTAGTCATCGTTGTCTTCAAAGGATTTCTGACGTCCAATGGCGACACTCTGTTAATAATGTAGAGGTCCGGCATCGTGTTCGGGCACAGCGACGGTAATCCAATTAGTGTCACTATCTTGAAACATCGACCTCAGTGTCGTGGACATATCCTACGAATGTCTTCCCAGAGGATTCCACGTCGCGAATTATTTGCCGACGCTGGAACTGGTTGAAAAAGGCGGAGAGGCAGTCAGTGTGTGTCGTGGTATGAAAGAAAGCTGTACAAGGCAGGCTTCTGTCGGACCTCCACGATTCCCTGGTCGGTGTCCTAGAGATGATACATAGTGGCTTGAGACGTTATCAGACATAACTCAGTATTAGCCAGTGACGATTATGCCGAAACTTTATTTAACTTCATAAAAGTGTGAGTAACTTCTTTGGTTGAAAGAATTCTTCCTGGTTGTATTCTTCCCAACTTAACTGCCTCCCACTATTGTTAATATTTTTATCTCGCTCTCGAAGCTGCTACCTTAACGCGGTGGTCGGGCTTGCCTATCGTGATGACCCAACCGAGCTATATTGGCTGGAACATATGTTCCTGCAGGTTCTACCATGCCAGGCAGGTCGATTGGTGAACGGTAAGACCAAAAGCAGCAACTCAAGGTCTGAGGGCGAAGTCGTACTGCTGACTGTAGAGGGGTGTGACAGCAGTAAGGTGTTTCCCTCGGACATCCAGCATGACAGCGATGCTGCCTTCCCACAAGGAGGGGTGGGGTTAGAAAAGGTCGACCTTAAAAATGTCACACCTCACCTTACCTCACGGATTTCCGTCTCCGGCGGTAAGGCCCTTTGAAGAACGGAGCTAACACATTAAAAATCTTCCACACAAAGGTCGTGTTCGACTGGCCTCAAGCAGTTGTCCCTTGGGCTCTGCGGTCACGCTCCCAGGTCGTTAAGACCAACACTAATCCAATTTCCTTTTCAGGTTCCTCAAGAAATACCCTTTCACAGTGTGGGCAGCCGGGAAGTGATATCAGCCCTCATACCCATAACAGCACAAGAGACCAAGTTGGTCACATTCAAATCTTTCCTACACCTTCTAATACCTCTCTTATCTCCCCGACTAACCCTCCCCACGTCTCTTTATCACCTCGCACCGCTAGGGAAAACGATTCGAGTACGTGGAACGCCATTCCTGGTCTCCTGAAACCACGCTCTAAACTACACGTAGGAGCTTTTAACGTACGAACATTTTGCCAAATAGGACAGCAGGCTTCCTTAGCTAAAACTTTAGAATCTCGCGCCATCGATGTGTGCTGCGTCTCCGAAACGCGCATACAGGATCCAAGTAGCGTCATTCATTTGACCTCACCATGCCAAAATAAAGAACCGACTCGATTTACGCTTCGTGTATCTGGAAGCCCTGATTCTGCTTCCCGTGGCCTCGCCGGCGTAGGTATAGCATTGAGTCCTAGGGCAGAACTAGCTCTCTTAGAGTGGATCTCAGTAGACAGTCGTTTGTGCGCTGTCCGACTGAACGGAACAGTAAGGATCCGGAAAGATAGGGACACTCGTCGTTGCCTCTTCGTCGTCTCTGCCTATTCTCCTACTGACTGCAGCTCAGATGATGTAAAAGATGAGTTTTACAGAAAGCTTTCGGACCTTCTCCGAAAAGCTAAGCGCTCGGATGTAGTAATAGTGGCCGGTGACTTTAATGCTCAAGTAGGTAAACTAAGCGATAGGGAAAGACACCTAGGTGGATCTTATGGTGTCGTGGCTCAAAGAACAGATAATGGCGACCGTCTGTTGCAGCTATGCTCAGATAACCGCCTGTTCCTTGCAAATACTAACTTTAAACATAAGGAAAAACATCTTTTAACATGGAGACCCCCTAATTCGTCCCAACGTTGGACCCAAATAGATCACATCGCTATCAGCCACCGATGGAGGGGCTCGATGGAAGACTATCGCTCATTCTGGAGCACATGCCTAGATTCAGATCATGCTCTAGTGCGAGCGCGTATTTGCTTGCGTCTTACTGGACGTAGGAAAGACGCTGCAAGGAAACCTCTTAGGGGCCTACTTAATGATAGTCAAGCTAAGAGTATATTTCAGGAACAACTAGGAAAACGGTTAGGCAGCCATGTATGTGATGCCCACCCCGATGCAGCATGGAATGATATCCGAAAAGCTGTGGAAACAGCAGTGATATCTGCTAGTAAGGTAAACCAGAAGGTTAGGGAGCAACACTGGATCTCAGCAGCATCTATCTCACTGATAGATGCTCGGAAACTCATTCCACCTGGCTCTGAACATAATGAAGAGCGGAGTCAGCTTAAGCGCAAGCTGACAAGAAGCCTACGCAATGATCGCGAACAGTGGTGGGTGGCGAAAGCAAGAGAGATAGAAAAGGCAGCGGCAATAGCAGACAATTGTTCAGACTCGTTAAGGAAACCGGAATTAGGAACCCGACCGTTAGCGAAACAATCTCAGAGAAAGATGGACATATTATTCATTCTCAATCCAGGAGATTGGATCGATTGGCAGAACACTTTAGGGATCAGTTCAACTGGCCTTCAGCCACACTTCGGTTTCCCACGATCTCTAGTCAACCTGAATGGCAAGTTAATGTAGGTCCTCCGTCCCTTTACGAAGTTGAAAAAGCCATAGGAAATCTGAAACGAGAGAGAGCAGCAGGCCCTGACAGGTTTACTCCGGAGATTTTTAAGGATGGTGGTCCAGTATTAGCAATGAGATTAACCGAGGTCTTAGGTAGAATTTGGGAACTGGACGTAATCCCATATGACTGGTCTCAATCACTGATTGTGCCAGTGTATAAGAAAGGACAAAAGTCCTCTTGTGACAATCACAGAGGAATCAGTTTGACTAATATAGTGTCTAAAATATTAGCTTCAATAATACTTCGACGCCTAACTAAAGCTCATGAAGAGCAGACTAGAGAAAATCAGGCTGGTTTTCGACCTGGACGTGGTTGCATAGACCAGATATTCACACTACGTCAGGTTCTAGAACACAGACACACATTCAGACGCCCCACAATCGTAGTATTTCTCGACCTTAAGACGGCATTCGACTCTGTTGATCGTGAGGTTCTATGGCAGTATTTGTCATTGAAAGGAGTACCAAAGAAGTACATTAACCTTGTAAAGGCTCTCTACTCGAACACAACTGGTAGAGCGAGAGCTTATGGCGAATTGTCATCAGAATTGATTACCTCAAGTGGTGTTCGTCAGGGCTGCCCACTCTCTCCATTCTTGTTTAACTTTGTCGTCGACGTACTTTTAGAGATAACACTCTCCTCATCTAAATTTCCAGGGGTTGAACTTCTACCAGGAGATTCACTTGTTGACTTGGAATATGTCGATGACATAGTTCTATTTGGTGAAGACGCTGACAAAATGCAGTCTTCTGACCACTCTAAGCAACAATGCAAGCATGTTCGGGATGCGATTCTCTCCCTCGAAATGCAAAATGTTGCTTCAGGATTGGCTTACATCGACACCCGAACTAGTGATAGGGAGTGAAGTAGTTGAGTGTGTCGACCGCTTCACTTATCGTGGAAGTCTCACCAGCCCTTGTGTGTGACGAAATCTCAGCACGGACACAGAAGGCTCGGCTAGCTTTCGCCAACTTGCGTCATTTATGGCGTAGGCGAGATATCCGTCTACCAACCAAAGGACGAGTTTACTGCGCAGCAGTTCGTTCCGTCCTACTTTATGGCAGTGAAACATGGCCGGTAAGAGTAGAGGATATTCGTAGGTTACTAGTATTCGATCATAGGTGTCTTCGAAACATTGCTCGTATATCCTGGGACCATCGAGTAAGTGACGCAGTTGTTAGGAAACGGGTACTAGGTAAGGATGGCAAATCAATTGATGAAGTAGTGAAACCTCATCAGTTGAGATGGCTGGGACATGTGTTACGTATGCCCAACGACCGACTGCCTCGACGTGCTATGTTCAGTGGTATAGGAGTAGGTTGGAAGAAAGCTAGGGGCGGCCAAACCAAAACATGGCACAAGTCCATGAAGTCACTGACAAGTGAACTGAGTCATGTTGGTAGGTGTAGACTACCTGGTTGGGGACCGCGAGATGATAGCAACCGATGGTTAGAGACCCTGAATGACATGGCTCAAAATCGTTTGCAATGGCGCAAGTGCATCCACTCTCTGTGTTCTCCCGAATTCTAATCTTCTGAATTCTTCATGTCCCTTTTTTCCTCTTTCCAAATTTATTTCACTGGATTATACTCTTTAAATAACATCTCCAAACCCTAATCTTCCCGATTACTGCTTATACTCTTATTACCTCTACCACTATGGGATTTGAATCGACAACTGCATCTCTGTGCTAATGTGGTGTGGCAACTCGAACTGATGTACGTACGTACGAAGTTCTACGTTGTTACTGACTGACTGAATTTCTTCACATTGTTGCTTTACTTTCTGTTATACTCACTTCATCTCTTCCCAACCTAATTGTTGTTGTGTGGCGCATATGTATTTCGTGCCCCTTTAAACCAGGGTTTGTGTGTCTAAATGTCTGAAAATGTTAGCTAAGTTACAAGCATAATTTCACAATCTGAATTATTTGTGCAATCGTTTCTCATTTCATGCATTGTATGAACGTTTTATCTATATCTAGCACTTAAATTATTTCTTATTCTTTCACTGTACTAGATCGAATGAGATTTTTGTAGTCGTATGCAGTTTTATACTTTGTTAATATTCATATTTATCCACCAGTCTTTCTTAAATCATTTCAGTGTTTGAATGAAATACGTTTATTTTGATAGACTGGTTGGCAGTTAAACCAAGCTTGGCTAGGAAACGTATGGGCAGTATTGAATTAGTAATCACTTTGCCTGCTCTTAATCAGCTAATCATTACTTATGAGTTTCGGAAAGTTTTACAACGCTGGAATGAATTTCCTCCTGACGCCAATCATGGCTTTTTCGTTCCTGCAGCAACTGTTTCGTATGTTTTAAACAGCGAACAAATATATTATTTAAACAAAACAAAACATACAGCATTCCACAATCTGAATCTCCCGAATTGGGCCAGTAGTTACAATCAGTTTTTGTAAGTTACTTGCCTATTCATAGATCCTCTAGCTTGTGCTTTTAATATCCCAAGATAACTCATTCTGTTTTTATGTTCAGTGTGCTCAAGTAGATAAGATCTATTTCCCACCAGTTTCATGGCTAAAAAAGCGTAAACTAGGTAGTTCTAAGGAATAAGTCCAACATTACCCCCAGTAGTTATCGAACATGGATTTCTCTGTTCACCTGTTACAAGTTACGATAAATGCTAACCGGAAGTGTTCACTTTGGTGAAATTACAATTCTCCATACTCACGTACTAAAGTATCTACGAAATTCGATCAGTCTGTAGATGAATACGTTAGCATTCGATTTCCAGTGATCAGTTTTATGCTGATCGCAAACTTCTCCCGATATAATCTACGGAAGTAATCAGATTACTGATGAATTTCTATGACCTGTGGACGATAGAACTGTCAACTTCACTCGTTGTTTGAAGTTTAGTAAAATACCTAATGTTGATTAAAAGTCCCGCGTTTCACCACCACGGAAGAAGTAATGATTATGGAATCTTTACTGAATCTTACCATTTTAAGTAAAAACTGTTTTCATCCAAAAATAGGATTTTATGAATGGCACTTACTTCGATCAGCTGTAGATTAAAGATAATAATATAGCCTTTGTATTTCATTATCTAGTTTTGGCCATAAGTTTATTTAGGAACACTACGCTCCATCTTATTTTTGTTATGATAGACCTGTGTTATAGCTAATCTATTCATGAAAAATAATTGACTATTATTATCTGCTAGCCGATTGAACCACTAGTGCTTGACCGACCAAACTGAGCAGTATAAGAAGATAACGTAAAAGACCGCATCCCCCAGATGCCGAATAATAATCCTTACAAATTGTATCTATAGGCGGCACAGATACATGTGAGGAGTGACCTTTATCTAGTGAATGATCCACTTACAACCTGTCTATATCATGCGACCGTTAGTATTTGTGTGGTCTTGCTTTGTCCAGATATTTCAAAAATTATTCTGTAGGCGATGCACCAAGTTAGTTAAATGTCATATCGGGAATGGATGTTACTTGGCTAACCCAAAATGTTCATTTAGTTTCAAAGTTTTCATGTAGGAAACTCAGCAATAATACAAGCTAATAAAAAACACTAGGTTATTTGGAATAGTCATAAGAATCAAGACGATGGAGATGTTCTATCAAGTTGTATAACAGGAAAGGTGTGGATGAAGTGAATGATAGGACCTTGTAATGCAGAGGTCAGACTAACCCGGCCCGGACACCAATTCAATAGTAATATACAAGTACGCCATCGACATGTTAAAACTATCTTTTAAAATATATCATTGTTTGCTTTCTTCTTTCTACTAGCAATACAACTCATTCTGCACCTCAGGATGATTTTGTTCGTCTACACACTCCTGTATCTCTGGTCACAATGCCAACACCAGATTTCAGTATGCCATTTAATGTTTTGTGTTTGGTTTGTTCAGTCGTTGCTGTTGTGTTTGGATCCGTTCACAAGGCTACGACTACTGTTTTCAACGTTACTCTTAAAAAAAATGCCAGCGACTCAATAATAACACATCTAATAAACCGCATCTTAACTAAGAAAAATACTTCAAAGACAATGAGTGAACAGAATATATCAACGAGTGCTCCAAGCAATCACGATAAAAATGACTGATTTCGTTAAAAATAATAATCATATGTTTAAGCATCAGAACCGTGATACACATATTTTGTATTTGACGTCGTTTTTGTAATAAAATCATGGAAACTAAAATACCCACCTTTTATAACCTTCTTTACAAAGAGCAATCTACACAAAAATGAAACCGTTATACTAAATATGTAACCCATCAATGTATTTAAGAACAGGATTGCTTCACCGAACTAAAATTTTTATTTTAATATTTACATGTATATAGGTCGATACTAAGAGACAGATATTTCAATTTCAAGGGATCAAAGTACAAATATATACATCAGGTACGATTATATTAACGTAATTTATTTTAGTGAACTCTTCCCTGGGTTATGGTCACTATACCTGGAAGTGTGCAGAAGCCTTGTCTGATTTTCTGGTGAAGTATCCTGAGGTAGTCAGAGGGCTTCGAGTTCTCGAAGTTAGGTTTTGTTCAATAACACTGATATATTATAGCTCGGTGCTGGCACAGGACTTTGTGGAATTACTGCAGCTATTCTCGGGGCTCTTCATGTTCGATTCACTGATAAAGACACGACATATTCGGATAAACTACATCTTAATGCTCAGCTGAATGGAATCAAAAATTATGATTTTACTCCATTAGATTGGAATTATCCCCTCGACTGGTCAGGTGGGATCTTCGATACCATTTTAGCATCTGATTGTTTGTATGATAAGGAAGGTGAGTCCATCATTCTAGTCTCATTTTTAGTATATGAACCGTTTTTGAAGACTGCAACTTTACAACTAAGAGTAAACAACAATGCATCTTTACTTCTTTCTTTCGAAAATCGGAGGTAACCTCATTTAAAAAAGCTTATGTATAGCAGTTCTTTTACAGACCTCTCAATTTTGTTTAAGAAATATGGTCTCAAGGCCGATGTTCTAACTACACCTAGTAATTCGTTCAGAAATATCCATTTATTGCGTGTTACCTCTAGTCAGCAATAAAATATCGTTTCGTTGTGTTTTTTGTGTATGAACTTGATAAATATGTTTGTTTTGAATGAGTCTTTTTTCACCTCTGAAGTGCACTCGTTATCCCCGACGTAACTTAACGTGTTTATAAATCAATAAGATTATGTGGATTACACTAGTGCTGAAGTTTTGAAATCATTTACTTTTGATGTGGACATCACATGTACCTAAATAAATCGTTGCGCTTGTATCACGACGCAAGCGCTAACTTAGAATCCTGAAGAGATAAGGGAACGAGGAAAGCTAAAGAACATATTGCGTCGGGAGTTGGAAGCAGACATCAAAAAATGCATAGCAACTGGAAAGGGTTGCCCAGGACAAAGTTCGATCGAGAATGTTGGTGGACGGCCTATGCTCCCCCACAAGAGGTGACAGGCGTAAGTACTTTTGATATGCGTAACACATAGACAAAAATACTTCGTTAGAAAAAATATATAACCGACCGAGTTTAACGTTCCGTAGTTAAATGATGCATACGCCAATAATCTTGTTTCATTTCAATTATTGTATACTAAGGAATTTCGTTTTCAGTTTTCATTGTGTGAACAAATTTTGACAGATTCCCACAGTATAATCAAGTTTTCAGAATGGCTATTAATGGTCAGTAACTACAAACCGATAAGAGTTGTAGTCAAGCAAGACTGTTTGGATATCCTGTCGTTCGGATTACATTTGTAGGGGTAAGATATCAAAAAGAATGTTTCACTTTATCCGGATATCGAAAAGGACTAGTGGATTAATAGTTTCTAACTTCATCTTCCAGTAGAGAACTAAATGACAGCCTAATCCCGAAACACAGTAGGGACTATGATTATTTAGAACACAGACACACATTCAGACGCCCCACAATCGTAGTATTTCTCGACCTTAAGACGGCATTCGACTCTGTTGATCGTGAGGTTCTATGGCAGTATTTGTCATTGAAAGGAGTACCAAAGAAGTACATTAACCTTGTAAAGGCTCTCTACTCGAACACAACTGGTAGAGCGAGAGCTTATGGCGAATTGTCATCAGAATTGATTACCTCAAGTGGTGTTCGTCAGGGCTGCCCACTCTCTCCATTCTTGTTTAACTTTGTCGTCGACGTACTTTTAGAGATAACACTCTCCTCATCTAAATTTCCAGGGGTTGAACTTCTACCAGGAGATTCACTTGTTGACTTGGAATATGTCGATGACATAGTTCTATTTGGTGAAGACGCTGACAAAATGCAGTCTTCTGACCACTCTAAGCAACAATGCAAGCATGTTCGGGATGCGATTCTCTCCCTCGAAATGCAAAATGTTGCTTCAGGATTGGCTTACATCGACACCCGAACTAGTGATAGGGAGTGAAGTAGTTGAGTGTGTCGACCGCTTCACTTATCGTGGAAGTCTCACCAGCCCTTGTGTGTGACGAAATCTCAGCACGGACACAGAAGGCTCGGCTAGCTTTCGCCAACTTGCGTCATTTATGGCGTAGGCGAGATATCCGTCTACCAACCAAAGGACGAGTTTACTGCGCAGCAGTTCGTTCCGTCCTACTTTATGGCAGTGAAACATGGCCGGTAAGAGTAGAGGATATTCGTAGGTTACTAGTATTCGATCATAGGTGTCTTCGAAACATTGCTCGTATATCCTGGGACCATCGAGTAAGTGACGCAGTTGTTAGGAAACGGGTACTAGGTAAGGATGGCAAATCAATTGATGAAGTAGTGAAACCTCATCAGTTGAGATGGCTGGGACATGTGTTACGTATGCCCAACGACCGACTGCCTCGACGTGCTATGTTCAGTGGTATAGGAGTAGGTTGGAAGAAAGCTAGGGGCGGCCAAACCAAAACATGGCACAAGTCCATGAAGTCACTGACAAGTGAACTGAGTCATGTTGGTAGGTGTAGACTACCTGGTTGGGGACCGCGAGATGATAGCAACCGATGGTTAGAGACCCTGAATGACATGGCTCAAAATCGTTTGCAATGGCGCAAGTGCATCCACTCTCTGTGTTCTCCCGAATTCTAATCTTCTGAATTCTTCATGTCCCTTTTTTCCTCTTTCCAAATTTATTTCACTGGATTATACTCTTTAAATAACATCTCCAAACCCTAATCTTCCCGATTACTGCTTATACTCTTATTACCTCTACCACTATGGGATTTGAATCGACAACTGCATCTCTGTGCTAATGTGGTGTGGCAACTCGAACTGATGTACGTACGTACGAAGTTCTACGTTGCTACTGACTGACTGACTGATGGTTATTTACTGTTGACGGTGTTCTAAGGCTTAACGCTACTCTGGATAGTGACTGAGCGTCAGCGGAGTTACTCATGAAATATGCACTGAGAAAATTTGAAAACAAACGAAAACTGGATATGCACGGCCATACTTAACTAAAAAGCCTTAAGTGGTCTACCCAGCTAAGAACTTTTGATTTTGTGACTTAACAACACCCCATGTTGTAGTGCTCATCCTTTACCATGAGTTGTCAACGAAATGATTTGAAGTGTACTTTACGAACGCCAGAATATTATGTAAGCTAGTGTTTGCTATTACACACACAAAAATAAAGCTTGATGAGTTTGTTAGCTTAGTGTAAAAATTCACCAGCAGCGACCAGGGTATGTGCGAAAAGACTTGCTAAATATGAACAACTGTAATGTGACAAATGTTGGAGTAGATACAAAAGTTATTACTCAATTACCGACCCATAGTTCCCATCAAAAAACAGTGAAAATAAGTATGTATTTCCTTTTCACTGAACTACTTGATTAAAGACATGCGTATTTGTTCTTTTGCATTTTGGATAGCCTGTATGTTGTGAAAAAGAAGAATTTTATGTATTTTGATTTCAAAAACAATTGACTAAAAATTATCTAATGAAATGAACACAGCAAGGTTGTCGTTCACGCTTGTACTGATGGGACATGGGAACTTTGGTCCACACACATCTGTGCTAGGCTTTACGTTAAAGATGAGTGATTATGATCTAGTTAGCGAATAGACTTGAGCTGGTTAAAAGCAAACTTTGTGGCAGTTTTTCGGCAGACACGTTTCTCAAACAACTATTTTTAAACTCAAGAACTGGTACACTTACTCAACACACTGCTTATGAGAGAAGCAACATTTGTTGTGAATCTACACCAGTAACAGTTGACAGATGAGTAGAAAACCAAACTGGAAACCTCCCGTCAATATGTCGGTGACCTTTCACTGCAATAAAACAGGCTTTTTCAACAGATGAAAAAGCATTAGCGTTTAACAGTATATCATATCGTTGGTTTTTGTATATTAAGGCTTATTTTTCCACTTTACCTCATCATATGAGACCAAATCATGTGAAAGTAGTGACTAAAGGAATCGTACTTAAAGGTACATCTACAACGAAATTATGTTAAACATAGACTGACCTACTCAACGTAGATACTAGCAAAAAGGAGCTAAAATTACCTGTGCTACCGTTTGCTCTCCAAGTGGGATATCGTCTGTCCTTGCACCAACTCGAGACACTAAGGCGGTTGCGTCGGACTCTAAAAGTATGCTTTAAAGCATATATTAATTTATTCCACTATTTACCCATTATGACACAGTTCATCAACTATAAGGAAAATTAAATCTAGATTATCCATCAGTGTTTTCTTTTCGACTGATCGTTTCAGAGCTTGACTGACAGAATCGTACAAGCACTGAAGGGCACTGACGAGTAATAACTTACAAAATGAAAGATCCATTATGTGACTCACTTCGTTTTCGTTAGCATCCCCAACAACATAAAAGTAAAGATCGCCCACGTTACGATAAACACAGGTCGCGCCGTCCAGCAACGTGATTTCCGCTAGAGAATTGAAAGAGCAACATACATTTATACTGATCCAACCAAAATAAGACGTACAAACAATTATGATTGGAGTAAAACATTAGGACAATGAGAATCTTTGGTGATGATAAGAACTTTTCCATATGATTAACAAATAATAAATCAATTTCAGAACGATTACTTTAATGTCCTCGTACTGCCATAAGAATTTTATCAACATAGGTTATTATGAAGAAATGATCATCTCTGTGCTAATGTGGTGTGGCAACTAGAACTGATGTACGTACGTACGAAGTTTTACGTTGTTACTGACTGACTGATGAAATGATATTTGATCGATTGTGCAAACGCATCTTTTAAGCATAAAAGTCTGATCCTGAAAGTAAAGGTAGTCAATGGGTTTTATTAGCCAAATGTATTATATATATATATATATATATATATATATATATATATATATATATATATATATATATATGGAGAGAGAGAGAGGACATGTTAATTATGTCTAGTCACAGCTCACCTCGACAGGCGATGTTTCCTGGTTTAGGAGAAGGTTGAAAGAAAGCTAGGGGTTCTGTGAAATCTGTGACATTTGGTTTGTGTCATGTTGACAGATACGGGCTACCTGGTTTGGGCCCATGTGCTTATTGTAATCAACAGCTATAAGCTGGATGACACGGCTCAAAAGGACAGATGTGTTCACTCTTTATCTTTCAATCTCTCATTTCGGCATCTCAATGCATACTTTTTCACTCTGTCTTCTATAGGCATACTTTTTTAACTGTAATTACTACTACATTATACCCGTCTATTTTGCTATATACCTTGTTAAATTCATTACGGTGTGCTGGTGATGTGTAGTAACTTAGGGCAGTACAAAACTGTTTCAGACTCTACGTTGATGATAACTGATGTATACATATATATAATAATCCGAAAAACAAAGTGCAATTTCGTTTGATCATTAGTATGATGAGTTTCAGTCAGAGAGCTGACCATATCGTTTTAAGTACACAAAAATGAGTACATAAACGAGAAAGTGGATATTTAATTGTAGGTACTCTGGAAGGCACAAAATGGATTTATTTTATGTGAACAATTTTTGAAATAGGAAACCCTATTCTAATCAAAAGATAAAAATTTTTTTCTTTAACATTTCACGACGGCAGAAAAAAGTAGGACTATAAAAAAAGGATGCGACAAACTTTGGAACATTCCATGTTCAGATACTAAGAATCAGGTAACTCGAAAACAATGTTTGAACTAGTACTTCATAGTATTGGAATTTTTAAATAAAAGTGCTTAACGCTTTTTTGTAACACTGAATTCTTTCAGTGTACATAAAAATGTAGTCAGTAACAGTAATCACTAGATAAGTTTGAGTCGAGTACACCCGAGAGTCATTGAGTTGTATCTGATTCTTAGGAATCTTGAGGGTTACTGGTTACAGCTTTAATTCATATCAGTATACAAACACTAGAATGCTGAGAAGTATAGAGGATATTTCGGACTGACCAACTCAAGACTTGTTCAAAAACCGAAATCAACTGCTTTATATCCAGATCCTTGTCATCTGCAGTTTCAGACTGCCGACATGCCTACTAAAACACAATAACTTGGTTACTATGTTGGAACTTCCAAAATGAGATTAGATCTTTGCAGTACTACGAATTACGAGAAGTGCTTTAGATTCCTTAGACTTTTATACTTGTAACTGCTAAGAGCGAACTACGGAGACGGTACGTGCTATTCCCATTGGTTTTGGGTTCTGACTACTAGCACGACTAACTAACATCATTTTTGTTTACTTTTATCTTGATGAGTATGGAACGGAATGGACCACTAACAATAAAAAATTGTAAAGGAGATGGTTTAGATCCGCAGTTGAACCTGTCACAGACCCACTAAAATGAAAAAAACATAAAAAATCAACGAAAATTTACCGCCATTAGTTTTGCTTGTTTTTTTGAAGAGTTTCGACTCGAATTCGAGTTGAAGCTTAACGGTTGGAAACGATGAGTCATAATACTACAAAATTAAAGTTTGTTTGATATACTGACTGAGCTACCTTCGTCAAAATGCGCTTCCCTTCACTATCTAAGATGAGTATGCTATTAATAGAATATAAGGACGGCTCCTGTGGAAATGTTGAAAATCTATATACATACCAGGAGCATTGTAAGCGACAAAAGCTATGGTTGGCAGATGTCAATTAATCCGCTTCCCATTTGTGACCTAAGCAGGCGATTCATTATCCAATAATTCGGGCTTTGAATTTGTCTCTTGGTGACAATGATGAGAGTTTGTCTAATTTCCTCAATGGTATTCTCGTTTGTGTTATACTTCATAGATGAATCAGTAGTATGTGCATACTGCATTTCTTCATGTGGTAGTCTCTGAGAACTGATCTCTTGTTAGGAAATGTGTGTCATGAGGATCATGTGTATTATTATAATATAAAACCACTGAATATGTCCTCTGGGTTCTCCCAACTCATAAAATGATGGAATAAAGGATAAATATAGTTCAAAATCATTTCTTAGTCAATTAAATCACTCAGTGTACGATAAGGATAAATAAATAATTTCGACTTCTGTATATGCTCTTAGCATAATTAGGTATCTAGATCCTAAATTGCATATGTTCACGTCGCCTTTTCTCTTTGAAAAGTCTCTGAGTTTGTCCTTTAAAACAGGGGTTTTATACCTATTTACAATTGTCTCATTTGGACCTCGAAATTTGCCATGTGGATCATGTGAATCATGTTTATTATAACACTATTACAAAGCTGACACCAGCATAATGAGTAACAAGAGATTTTTACGATTTAGTTTCGTGAGGACAGTAAACATTAATATACTTGATACAGAGCCCTAATGATACACGTATGCAGTGCTTTCATGAGTATTCTTCTGATCGTTCGAGAAGTAATTAGTGTTCATTCTAACGATTTAATCTTGTAACTTTTCACATTTAACCTTTCGAAGTGTTACGACAGTTAGCAGCTATGCCTGTTGATAAAGGACGGTTTTAGTACTTTCAGACCGTTTTTACTTGTATTTACTTTGGTATCGATGATTGCAGTTGTTCTACAGCTTTCAACTCTGTACAACATAACTAACTGCCTTGACATTCGTATTGAAGATTCTGACTTTGATGTTAGTTGACAGTTGTTTTGAGTTCCATATGTAATTCAACTATAGGAATGCTGTCCTTGTCTTGTCAATCCTTACCTTTGCCTTTGCATAAGAACCTTCTTATTCGTCGATGATGCTGTCCACGTATGTGGAGGTTTCCACATCTTTCAAAGCTTCTCCATCAAGTGCGATTGCGTTGATGTTCTCCGTGCTGCATTTCAGAATCTTGGTTTATCACTTGTGTATGTTGAGGACTACTGATGCACAGGCTTCTGTTACACTGGCTATCTTCATCAGCATTTGTTGGTATGGATCCGAGAGATGAGCTAGGTTATCTGCGAAGTCCAAATTGTCTAGTCGTATTCAAACTGTCCATTGTATTGCGTACAGCCCCTCAAATGTGGAGGTCTTCGTAATTCAGTCAACCACGAGAAGAAATATAAAGGGTGATAGTAGGTAGCCTTGTCTGACACCGGTCCTCACTCGGAGTACATCCGGCAGCTGTCATCCATGCACGACTTTGCAGTGTAGTCAGTCGTATGAGTTCCAGATGATATTGACGATCTTCTCAGGTACACTGTAGTGTTGAAGGAGGTCCCGTAGGGTCCTTCTTTTCACATTGTCAAACATCTTCCCACAGACAAGGAAGTTAGTGTACAGTGACGAATCCCATTCAATTGATTAGTCAACGATAATCCAGGGAAGTAAAATGGGAGTATCTCTATTCATTAGAAATACTATCCCATTTACTGCTATTGATAACATATCCCAAGAAAGTGTGACATGCGTATTAGTTATCTGCTGCTCAATATGCAAATTACAAGAGCTGTGATTGACTTGGTCAACCGCAGTCCAAACTGTACGACGAATTAGGTCTTGCTAGACGTTTCAACACTTGGTCAACAAGTGGTCGATGTTTAATCTTAGGAAATCTTAATGCACCCACAGTAAACTGGAGAAATCTGAGGATTGAACTGTCAGAAAATTTTTTCCAACAGAAACTAGTTGGTACGGTTATCACAGGTGTCCATTGCATCATGTGGAAAAAGCAACTAGGTATGACATGGACTCCAAAATATCCTTACTAGTTCTCATATTGATTCATTACGAGTGTAAAATATGATCGATAAACGAACCCACCAATAATATATGGAAACGCCCACCACCACATTAACTCCTTTTGACCTTGTACGAAGAGTGACATAATTGAACTAGTTCAATGTATCGCGTACCCGGCCGAAAAAAGAATTCTAAATAGCTCACCGTTGACGCTCGTAGAAAACGCTTTTAGACAGCAAAAAGGCCAAGAAGCAATGGACGAGGTGAACAGGAGAAAAAAATTAATTCGTCAAAGTTCTATAAGAAATCTCAACCCTTTGATGTTTGAAGGCAAAATCCGCGTGGGAGGACGTTTGCAGTTATCATGTTTACTATTTGAAACCAAATATCCGATTATTCTTCCTAATAATCATTTTGTTACAGATATGATTATAATGCGTTATCATGTGATCAACGCACATGTTGGAGTTACTCAAACTCCGAGTAGTATTCGTGAGGAGTATTGGATTGTTAGAGGATATTCTACTGTTCGGAAGGTTCTAAAACGATGCTATTTATGTAGAAGACTTTATCCTAAACCATGTTCCCAATTAATGGCACCGTTGCCGGAATAACGAGTAGAGACTCATTCGCCACCCTTAAGTCAAGTAGGTGTGGATTACTTCGGACCGTTCTATGCCAAAGGTGGTAGAGTTGTCGAGAAACGTTATGGCTGTTTATTCACCTGCTTATCTATTAGAGCCGTTCACATCGAAATGGTCTACTCTTTAGATACGGATTCATTTCTATGCGCATAATCAAGATTTATTGCCAGAAGAGGATGTCCAAAGCGTATTTTTAGTGATAACGGCACAAACTTCCGAGGTGCAGATGCCAGTTTGAGACAGATCATACGTTCCTGGAATACTAATAAAATAGAAAACCACCTTAAAGAGCGAGAATGTGAGTGGCGTTTTAACCCACCTAGAGCAAGTCATCGAGGTGGTGTGTGGGAACGCATCATAAGATCAATTAGAAGAATCTTAGGAGTGCTTTTATTCCAAAACGTGTTGACCGATGAAACTCTGCAAACCTTCTTAACTGAGGCGGAACGGATACTGAATGACAGACCTCTGGTTAAGATGAGAGATGACCCTGGTACCCTAGAAGCTCTTACTCCGAACAAGTTGTTGTTGATTCATAAAAAATTATCATTCGCCGATGCTTCGGTGGATAAGACGTTATTATACAACAAAAGATGGAAAGAAGCTCAAAGACTAACCACCGCATTCTGGAATAGATGGATAAACGAATATTTACCGACTCTCCAAGCAAGAGACAAATGGTTGGACGTACACAAGAACTTACAACCGGGTGACTTAGTCCTTGTTGGTAACGTCGAAAAGAATAGAGGTCTATGGCCTAAGGCTATAGTCGAGCAAGTAAGCTATGGCCCGGACGGACGAGTCCGCACGGCAAAGTTGAGAACTTCAAACGAAGAAATCATCAGAGATGTGCGAAGCCTATGCCTGTTGGAAAAAGCCGGTTGTCTGACGGCGACGATGACCCTGGACAATGGACGTGGTGCGCGTTTCGGGGGGAGTGTAAGATGTGATCGATAAACGAACCCACCAATAATAAAGGGAAACGCCCACCACCACATTAACTCCTTTTGACCTTGTACGACTGTATCTTTTTATTAACTAATCACAGTTTAATGTTCATTGTAAAACAATATTTGCTTGTTGACTCATTTTTCCTATTCTCTGGCTACTGTTCGGTATGTTATTTGTCTCTTTTTCCCTGTATTAATAGACCGTACTGTTTGTTTGTACACTAACGATGTTAATTTATGTTTTAGAAACATGTAGAACTATGGTCTACTATGATATTAGTACTGCTCTAATAATAGACAATGCCACTACAAACAGATAAAGTTTATATAGCCAAATAGCTTACTTGTTCTGACTTTGGCCAAACCAGGACTCTGTATTGGACGGTCTAGAGAATAGTTTAGAATTAAACCTGTAGGAAATTGCTCCCTACAACGGGATTGACGTCACAAACCTCCATTATATACCACTCGTAGGTGAAAGTGACCATACAGTTTAATATTCGATTTCCATATAGTTGTCCATTACGAAGATGTGTCTTCTCAAGTCAGACTAAACGTCTTGAAAGCAAATATACGAGGAATTATGCAGTCTGCATGCTCAGTAGGATAGGCAATAGGACCATAGCCACCTATTGACATTGCTTGGAAGATATTCAGAAATTCGCACATTAGAGTTACAACAACTCACATCTTTTGGACTAAACCAGCGAGTCCGGGAAACTTCCTGTCATAGTCCAGTAAGGGTCTAGCACCCTTCTCCGTAAGAGAAGAATGTGGTAGAGGTTTAGGTTACTGGGTACTGATGAGACAAAATCTCAATGTCAGGAAACTCGGGATATATGTGTCTCGACCCTCCACGAGTCTAGAATGTAGTATTTAGATAAACTTGTTAAAGTCTATAGAATACCCTATTCACTTATCATCGTACGTAAATCAAATGAATTAGCGAAGAGAAAACATTCCAGCATTATGGGAAGACATTAATGCTTCATCATCACTGGAGAACGATTATGGTAAAGCTCAAGTATTCACAAGTTATTTTAGCAATGTATGTACCGTGTAGATGCCTTCTCCTACAGTTAATATAAAGCCACCCACACATACTGGGCACTGTGACCATTAGAAAACTCGATGTCTTTTGTCTGCTAAATGAGCGTCTTTTAGGCAAATCCATGGGACCGGATGAAATGCATCCTAGGTTACCAAAGGAATTAGCAAATTTTGCCGTGAATCCCTTGAGCATATGTTTTAATCTGTCTGTAACCCAGGGTCGATTACCAGAAGACAGGAATAATGATGTATGAGGTCTTTTCTTCAAAACAGATACGAGACACAAATATGAGAATTGCTGACCCGTAAGTTTAATCAGAATGGTTGTTAAAGCTTTACTAAAGATTATTCAGAAGGAGTTACTGAAGTATCTAGTCGGAAATCGAATTCTTTCTGAAAAGCAGCATGGTTTTAGAACAGATTTTTCATGTTTCTCAAACTAACTGGTAGGCTCTGAAAGCTGGTGCGCTCTAGAAGATCAACACTTACTTATAGATGTAGCCTATGTTGACTTCAGCAAGGCTATTGACGAATTTTCTCACAGCCGGCTGTCATATTAATTAATTAATATCAGGACTGAAGACAATTTATTAATGTGGATAAAATACTTCCTAGCAGGGTACCAATGAAGAGCATGGGTGAGCTCAAAACTGTCTCGCTGGAAATCTATGCTGAGTGGAGTGCCTCAGGGTACAGTTTAGGGGTATGTGTTGTTTCTCCTTTATATACATGACCCTCCTAATCTCCTATCATCGGTTTTGATATCTGGTGATGTCATTATATGGAAAGCGATATAAAGTGGTGATAGTTTAGAGCTTTAAGATGACCTGAAGAAGTTATGTGAATGGTCTAGTGTTTGGCAGTTCTTGTTAAGCCATTCTAAGTGCATTGTGATGCATAACAATCACCAGGGTTCAGATACATGCACGGTGAATAACATTGAGTAACCTGTTGTCCAGACACACAATAACCTGGGAATTATCTTTAGCTAGCCCCTGCCTATAAAGAGACGCTGGGCTGTTGAAAAAGGTTCAAAGAACCTCAACGAAGCTGATTTCTGGAATGGCGATGCCCTAGTATGATGCCAGACTGACTAAAATAAACCCATTACCATTGTCATATAGAAGGACTAGAGACGACTTGGTCACAGATTTGTAAATACATGGTGATAAATTTGCATCCGATGTGCCTTCACTTTTCTTGCCTCCCAAAGCAGAAGATTTATGCAGACGCTCCAAAAACGTTCCCAGGCCCAGAATAAATAATTTGTCAGGTGATTATTGACTTTTCCATTGAATCACCAACAAATGGAATCCATTCCATTTTGGGTAAAGTTAGAGGAAACCGCAAAAGAAAACTGGGGAAATGGCACAAAAACCAAACATTTCCCCAAGTTCGTGGAAAATCCCCAATTCATTAGGGACATTTAGGGTTTGCCCCAACATTTCCCCAGAATCTCACAACACTTTGCGGTTCTTCCCAAAAATTCCCCCAAACTTAGGGAAAAGCTGCCAAACTTATCAACAGTCTGGGGAAAACTCAAAAACTTAACCGAAATCCCCCAAAATAGGGATATTGAGTTATCTTAACACGTGATTGGGGCTCTGTCGATGCTTGCAAAGGAAAGTTAAACCAACTGGGATATCACTATTGCTAAAACTAACACAGCCCATCCGGCCTCCCATCGTTTCCAAACTGAAACTGAAGCTGAAACTAGAGTGGAGTTTTTTGACGTGTGACCTTGACAGTTACTAAACGTACAAGGTGTTTTTCAAAAGCAAGGTTAAGGTAGTTGTAACAGTGGTCTGACTCGTGGTTCATTTTCAATTCGAGTCCTCTTATATGTGGGACAGTCTTTTGCGCTAACTAGGAAATAAAATGGATTGCGATAATGCTGATGATGACTTTGGCATTTCGGAAGCCAGGCAACTCGTGAAAACAAGGAATAGGAAGAATAGAAAATCTGGGGGTTTTCAATCCATGGGTCTCAGTGCATCAACTTTTAACGGAATAATGAAGAAAGGTTACAAAATACCAACTCCAATTCAGAGAAAGGTATAGATTCTTCCTTCGAATTATTTCACTCCAGGCTATTCCTATGATTCTATCTGGGCGTGACGTTGTTTCTATGGCGCGTACCGGGAGTGGAAAAACAGCAGCATTTTTGATACCACTCTTTGAAAAATTTCCATGCCACTCACCTGCTGGTCCACGTGCTTTAATCATGAGTCCAACGAGAGAACTGGCTATTCAAACCTTGAATTTTACAAAGGAGGTAATCTTATTATTTATTTTTTGCATAGTGAATTAGCTTGGTAAATTTACACCACTCAAGGCCACAGTAATTCTTGGAGGTGACAAGTAAGGCGCTTTGATTATTTAATTGTGTATGTATAGAATGGAAGAGCAGTTTGCAGCACTTCACAAATCGCCAGATATGTAGGTTAATTAGGCAACGTTAATATTTGCAGAATTATTGCTACGCCAGGGCGATTTTTGCACGTCCTAATGGAAATGAACTTATCGCTAAATTCTATTGAATATGTTGTGTTTGATGAAGGCGACCGGTAAGTTCCTCGAGGAAAAATTAGTTTATATTTGTATCAACTGGTTATTTATGTCTCAAGTTTTATCCAGTAAAGATATCGTAGATGAAGTATTTCCAAAGACCGCTTTGTTTGGTGTCAGTATTAAGTACAACTTCAATGTGTCATCTAAGTTTTATTGAATTATATCATTAAAACTATTAGCTTATGAGTTTTCAGTATGTCGTTTTTAATATTTTAAAATCAAATGTTTCTCCATGCATGATGTTCTAAATTCCTGTTGATCCCATACCATAGTTTTTCATACATCGGTTTACAGATAGGTAGTGTTAATTTCGATATGCTTTACAATAAAGTTAATGGTTTGAGTTTAAGCAGGTGTTCAGACGTTCTGTCATCGGAGATTTTCAGTTGGTAAGTGCATTTCAGTTAATTAGGGACAGGCTCCAGGAATAGTATTTTTCTGACGTGTTGGAATTTTTTGAAGCAACTGCTCATTAAATAATTCCAGTCATACAGTCTCGAAATGCTTTCACATGTCCACCCCTATACAACCATTGCCAGGGAAGTCATACTCACCGCCTCGCGACGGAGATGTTGTTTACAAAATTAAGAGGATGAAAAACGAATGTCCGGCGCTCTAACCGGGTTGGTGAACACAAAGAGTCCACCTAGGGGAGTTGTAAAACCCTGATTCCAAACCAACGGTGCACATGGGCCCCAGGGTCCTGAAAGAACAAGTGACGTATGAACTTATAATTGGTCAACAGCTGTCATGGGAATGCATCTCCTAACGCTGCTCCACCACCTTGTGGATTATACCTTTAGGTCAAAGACTCGAGGTGTGGCTTCCTAAAGAAATCACCTGCTTCTTTTTGAAAATCCAGGTGGTATCACAGCTCTCACACAAATTAATGATTACTACTGGCCTCATTGTTATTGTATGGCGCACATATATTTGGTGCCCCCTTGTACCAATGTTTATATATTCAAGTAAATACACTCGTTGGGTTTAGGACATCACATAAAAGGAATGTTAGAAAATACATCTCGTGTATTCAGTTCAAATCGTCCAGGCGAATAAAGTGCATGCTTCTAATCTCTTATTCTATAGTTATCAATGTCATAACAATACTTAGTGTCAGAGGTTTTTTCTGTAATTATAATGAAATCGAGTTATTTATGGGATCTTACTGGCACTCTCGTGTACGAGTTTCCTTGGCATTCATATCGCTCCGTTAATTTTCCATTCATATGTAATCTACGCATTTCATGTAAGGAACATAGTAATCCTGTTCTAGGAGTACGAGATTAACCTGAAGAGTTGGCGACATTTTAATTCATTATCCTTCAACATTGTCCATGTTTGGCTCTCGATCCATGACTTCATCAAAGTAGCTAGAAACAACAGGCACTTATGCTCGTTAAACATCATACAATGGACGCTTGTGACTAGTGTCTCATGAAGACTGTTAAGTGGCTTAGCAACAAATTTTAGAGTCCCTTACTTTCAGCTGTTGGTGTGTGACTAACTGTAGATCACTTATTGAAATGCATGTAAACCACAAAACTTGGAATCATTGGATGTCTTAAAGCCTAATTTAGAAATGGAACTAGATCAGTACTTTATTCTGTGGATGTTATCTTATTTTATCATTAGTTGTTTTCTTTGTTGACCGTATATTATATTGGATATACCGCTACGTAAATCTTGGTGTACTTACTGTCTTATATATCCCACTAACTAAAAAATAAAGGTATATCCTCTCATGGCATGTCACTAAGTTTCCGATTGTTGTGGATACGGAACTTTAATGTGCACACAAGATGCATAGCTAATAACGTTCCTTATATTTGTCTAACTTTGGGATTATTTTTTCTTTTTTAGGCTTTTCGAACTTGGATTTGCAGAGCAGCTTTCAGAAACTTTGAAACGTCTTCCACGTAGTCGTCAAACCTTAATATTTTCGGCAACATTGCCTAAAAACTTGGTGGAATTTGCACGTGCTGGACTAGTAGATCCTATTCTACTTCGACTCGACTTAAATTCTAAACTGAGTCAAGACTTAAAGGTATAACATATATCTGAATTTGTACTAGAATTAAGATGTGAAACTGCGTATATTTAATTTTTCCACTCATCGGTTTGACCAGAATTCACGACTCAACTATACTCTACTTTTATATTTTCATTAGAATTGCTAATAACTTGCTCAAATCTTATATACACTTTTAAATATCACTCATCACCTGGAGTTTAAATTCATATTAATGGTTCACCTAGTTACGTTTAATTTGACTTCATGCTGCTTGTTAAAACTTTTCAAATCTATTTGTGTTAGCGTTTTTTGAGTGCTGAACAAATCACAACTATCATGTAGTACAAATGTTTGCAGTGGTTTGCAAACACGTATCGTTAATAAAGGGATGGGGCATAAACAATGTACAAAAAATAATCAAAAGTAATCTATGGGTTTTAATTAGGAATCTCAATTCTCAGCGTACACTTTGCACCATAGTATTATTTTATTTTATTTTATTTCAACGCATAAATATTGGTACAAGAGGGCACCAAATATATATGCGCCACACCATATTTGTATGTGTGCGGGCTGTGATACTGCCCGGGTGCCCAGATCGAAACAGGTAGTTTTCTTAGGGGACCACACCCCGAGCTTTTGACCTAGAGGTCTGACCCACAAGGCAGTGGAGCATCGTGAGAAGATGCATTCTCATGGTAGCCGGTGACCAACGATTGGTTCCTACGGCATTTGTTCCCGCAGGATACTGGAGCCCATGTGCACCATTGGCTTGGGATCCGGTTAAAGCGCCGGACATTCACTTTTCGTCCTCTGAATTTCGTAAACAACACCCCTGCCACGAGAAGGCAGCGAGTAGGAATTCTCTGGCAGAGGCTGTATACACGTGGCCGTGTGGGAGCATTTCGAGAGGAAGGGAGGGCCCACCCCACTCTCGACCATACCAGGGCACCATAGTAAATCAGATATACGTGAATTATTTGGTATGTGAACAATTTTGTCAGTAAAATTTACGAATTTTTAAGATGATTTAATCTTATTTCTGTTTGATAAATACGTGCCTAACGTGAAGTCGCATCGTAGTGGTTTAAACCCATTCTTCAACTATTGGGTTGCGAGTTTACTATGACTAGTAATAGCTTGATTACTTTTTAATTTTTCTTAATATTAACATCAAGAACATCTGAACCCTCGTTAATGGAAGTAAAACCTTTGTAAAACTTGTTCTCCCAGTTATTATTATTTTCAAAAATTATCTTCCCATTAATGTAGGGCAATTTGTTAATCTGAACAGTTTCATTTTGCTTGTTAAGTACGTAGCAAGTTTAAATAAGTATTAACAATGAATCCGCTTTATGCGTTACCATTGGTTCTCCGTCCACCTGCAAATTAATTTTATCAGACGACTAAATTATTATTATTTATTACATATTACTGATTTTGAGTATTTACTCGGTATCTATCGTTTATGAAACCAGTCGTAGTAGGGTCTAAGTGGAGAAACTGACAATATCCATGAATAGAAACCTCGTTAAAAAAAGTCTTCACTTGGATGTTGCATATGTCTGTGCGCTTTATTTTGCTCATGTTTATTTTATCCGAGCACTTTCCGTAAGATTGCCGAGTCTGATTCTTCACGAATCTGTTTTTAGAATATACTTCACTATGCGTTTTACAGAAATAGGATATATAACATAAATAGAACATACATACTGAACGTTAATAGAGAAAGCAACAAACGTAAGACAAAATATGACAAGTTACACTTGTTAAAGCCATTAAATTCAACATTGACTTGTAGTCTAATACATACAGGTCTCACTGATATCAGGCTGTCATAGTGATAGTCGTTTGAAGTGCCATATGATTGTATACTTGTTCATAAATGTCAATAGCAACATTCTCTAGTTATGGCTTAAAAATACTCTTACATTCAATTTTTCTATGTAGTTTATTTATTTTAACACATAGATATTGGTACAAGGAGGCACCAAGTAGATATGCGCCACATAAATCGTTCGATTTGTGTGAGGGCTGTGATACTGCCCGGGTGCCCAAACCGAAGCAGGTGGTTTTTTTAGGAGGCCACAGCCGGAGCCTTCGACCTAAAGGTCTGACCCACAAGGCAGTGGAGCATCGTGAGGAGATGCATTCCCATGGTAGTCGGTGACCAACGATTGGTTCCTACGCCATTTGTCCCTTCAGGATACTGGAGCCCATGTGCACCATTGGTTTGGGATCCGGTTAATGCGCCGGACATTCGCTTTTCGTCCTCTGCATTTCGTAAACAACACCCCTGCCACAAGAAGGCAGTGAGTAGGACTTTCCTGGCAGAGGCTGTATACACGTGGCCGTGTGGGAGCATTTCGAGAGGGTGAGCGGACTCTCCCCACTCTTGACCGTACCAGGGCATTTGGGGGCTTTTCCATGTAGAGTTTGATTTGTGACCTTATTTATCTTTTCTAGGTTTATGTTAGTATTGTCACATTTCCTCTTATTATTTCTTTTGTGGATATGTTTTGAATTCCAGAGATGTTTACTTTTGTTAAAGACGGTATGTCATTCTAAATGTTTTTAATTATTCTTAGTTAGCACACATAACTTGCCTTCCAGAAGAGAAGAATATAATTCTTGTACATTTATTGGGAAAGGTGATACACAAGGATGAGCAAGCTGTAGTGTTTTTTGCCACCAAGCATCATGTTGAATCCTTTCAAATGGTAGGTATATACATATAGAGCTGATTGTTTTGAAGTTTTTAATTTCATTGTTTAGTTCAGTAAGTAACTCAATTAGTATCGACTTTCACTTTTTAACACTGGTTTGATTTGTCTTACTAAGCTTTTTGCCATATGGTTTTTGCGTTATAGTAACATAATCTCCTTACTGTCAGGTAGCTAACAAATATTTTTAGAGATTTGTTTCGTTATAAGCTTGTGTGTTTGATTGTATTTAGAATAATTTCGAATGATTTATACATATGGAAGGGCTTCGAATTTCAGTCAAACGAAATAAGTTAACCCTCACCGTACTGTACTATTGTAGTGAACAAGAACTCGGGTGGGGACAATCGATTGTATTTAGCATAAAAATTACAGACTATCTCAATAAAATGTGAATACCATAAAGTCAATCGTCAATTTGCAAAATATCATTCCATCATATCAAACTGTACTGTTCCCGTTGCAAACACTAATCCATTGTCGCCCATTCCATTGTACATGCGTTTTCTTACAATTCCATTGTGCTCTTGCTCTTCCTTTCTTGATCTTCGCCATCTTCTGCTGCCGGACATTACGTTCTTTTAACGCACGTTATATACTACTTATATCAATATAAGTAGCTCACACCACACTATCACTAGAAAACCATCCAATAGGTTCAATTAATTTTATACATATGTGCACGTGCCCAATCGGATTGATGATGTAGTCCATTCCTATCTACAGTAGAGATCATTTCTTTAATCACTGTTAAGACAGTGCTTCTTTACATGTCTTAATTAGCTGCTTGCTAGAAAAATGTTGTCGTCAAAGATTAGTTGTACTAAATAATCGTCTGTTTATTTTCTGGGTCAACACATCAAAAACACTTCTAATGTATCCTTTCGTTTAGTTTAGTCTACCTACTTGGACGTAACAGCTACGTGCTACGATGATGCTTTATGAATGTTGTATCTTTTTATAAGATTCACATTTCTTATCTAACACAACTCGGTCATCGAGAGATCTAATAAAAACTCTAGAGTCATAATTGTGTGTATCTTCAGCTGTTTTTGCTCTAATGGTGTCACTTGACTGGATCATGCGCAGGGTATTCGATTGCTACTTGATCCTTAAGTTTGCATTCTGCTTTCAAGCTTTGATATACCTTAATCATTGAAAAAATAAGAAGTTGCTATTGAATCTCTTTTTGCATACTGGTCTACGGCACTGAGCAGATAATGTATAGCGAATAACCACAGTTGAGTCCTATATTTGCATTTTAGAATCCCAGCATGTATCTGTGATATTAAGTTATGAGGTTTTGACCACCGAAATATGCTGTTTCATTTCGTGTTATACAACATTTGGAGTTTCAATATTCTGTTTTAAGAAACAGTTTAATAAGGACAATTTGAAATCACTAACACTCGTTGTAGATGCGAAGAAATAAACTTTTCATAAAGGGTTTATGGTAATGTGAATAAGGTACGGTAAACCAATTTATTATCGTACGCGAAATTACGCAGGGCCTTCGTAGAATATGAAAACCATACATTAAATACATATCTTCCTTGAGTTGTTGTTTACATACTTCACCATTCTCCCAATCCTGTTGTTATTCCGATTGCTTCCCGTTTGCGTTCCCCTTCTCTTTATTTCAATCTCCCGCTGGTAGACATTCCACTTCCAGTTCCTGCTACTTACTATTTACGTCTGTTCACATAAGTGGCGCACACCAAAGTATGAATAAAATAACATTAAAAAATAAGGAGAAGGATTTGTGATAAACTGAATATGTTTAAGTGAGGTTGACTAAAACTTCCTGTCTACTTATCATGAAAAGTGGTCTTTCAAAAACGTTTTGTTAACACACGTACACATATGCAATAGTCTCTCACTTTCTAGTTCTAAATACATCCCATCGCTTTATACTGTAATGTGAGTCGTGGTTTTATGATATATTGCAGACTATTGGATATAATTTCTTCGTTAAAAGTTTGTATACACTTGTCAAAATTTGAATAACAAGGCGTTTATGAGTTCACTTTTTTGTACAGTTATTAACCGATCTTGGCTTCGAATGTACGTGCATTCATTCGGGACTTGATCCAAGCGCAAGAAATCTTTCTCTAAAGAAATTTCGTTCTCGAACTGCTCGTGTGTTACTTGTAACAGATGTTGCTGCAAGAGGTGTGGATATTCCTCACCTTGATAATGTAATTAATTTCCATTTTCCTGCCCAACCCAAACTCTTTTTGCATCGAGTGGGTAAGTTCTACATTTATTTATGTATTTATTATAATGTAAATAATCCAGGTACGTTAAAAGAATTTTCAGACAATTTTCTCTGATAGCAATTTTCGTTTCACTACTTAGCACAATATTTAGAATTTTTTATTATTTTATCTGAATAAGATCTATCATTTATCTAACTAGTGATAAAATTCGGTACTACATTGTTTTCATTTATTTCTGTAAATCTAAGCCACACAATCCCTCAGTTGAACTCCCCAACGTATCGATGCTAAGTGACACTTGACGACAAGGCGGATCGGTTGTTAGAAATGCATCCATAATTTCTCTAGCATCAAGGCACTAGGTCCACTTATATCTTGCCTTGTCAAGACTTTTTCGTACTCATCCTAGTAAATCTCCTGTCTTTTATTTCCTATATGTTGCTGTTAAGTGTAAGATGACTACGTATCGTTCCATAATTGTGCGAATTTTGCGTTCCTCATTGTTCCGACCCATTTTGTGTTCAAATACGATATTGAGAATAAATAATACAAGTTAGGGTAAATTGGTCCTACAGTTTGTTGTCTGCGAAAGGGTACGAAAGGAAGATTTATATCTGGAACGTTCAAGGTGATATTTTCTCAGCGATCCAGAGCAGTAAAATCATGCGTTAACTTGAAATTATGGACCCAAAATCAACATACCTAGATTTTTGAGAAATGTCTGGCTCCAGGATAAACGTGACAACTGTAGTAAAAATATCATAAAAGTTCTTTAATAGATTGTCCATTGTTATCTGATTCTTCCATTTTTTCATATTCCAAATATTATTTCATATTTATTTTTTAGGTCGTGTCGCTCGTGCTGGTCGACGTGGGGTTGCTTATTCTTTAGTCGATCCCGAAGAGTTACCTTACCTATTAGATGTATTCATGTTTTTAGGTAAAGAGTGGAAAGTGTGTCAGTCATCAAATAAACAAGTAGAATGGGAAAGTGACTGTGTTGGCAGAGCACCAAGAAGCATTATGAGCAATCTGGCCGCTCGTATTGAAAGTATTTCATCCAAAAATCCTTCTCTTGTATGTGTCATACTAAAGTTATATGACATTATTATTATTATTTTTATTTAAACACACAAACATTGATACAAGGAGGCACCAAGTAGATATGCGCCACATAAATCGTTCGATTTGTGTGAGGGCTGTGATACTGCCCGGGTGCCCAAACCGAAGCAGGTGGTTTTTTTAGGAGGCCACAGCCGGAGCCTTCGACCTAAAGGTCTGACCCACAAGGCAGTGGAGCATCGTGAGGAGATGCATTCCCATGGTAGTCGGTGACCAACGATTGGTTCCTACGCCATTTGTCCCTTCAGGATACTGGAGCCCATGTGCACCATTGGTTTGGGATCCGGTTAATGCGCCGGACATTCGCTTTTCGTCCTCTGCATTTCGTAAACAACACCCCTGCCACAAGAAGGCAGTGAGTAGGACTTTCCTGGCAGAGGCTGTATACACGTGGCCGTGTGGGAGCATTTCGAGAGGAAGGGAGGGCCCACCCCACTCTCGGCCATACCAGGGCATTTGGGGGCTAGTTATATGACAATTCTTGTTTGTTGTACATATTAGAAATAATGTATCTGTTATATATATAATCCTAATCAATACATGCGAAAAATAATTGTAATATGGTTGCATCAGTTAGAACTAATCAAGAAGTCAGCGTGTCTGAGTCCGTTATGATCTCTTTGCTGCTTGCTTACCGATACCATTTTCCTCAGTCAAACGTTTTACCTTTTCACCTTCATCGTTGTTCGATTATGTCTCTTTGCAAACTACCTTTACCAAAAACCAACCGATGTCCTATTTCATCGCTTATTACTTATTTACTTACTTACGCCTGTTACTCCTAATGGAGCATAGGCGGCCGACCAGCATTCTCCAACCCACTCTGTCCTGGGTCTTCCTTTCCAGTTCTATCCAATTTTTGTTCATTTTTCTCATGTCTGTCTCCATTTCCCGGCGTAATGTGTTCTTTGGTCTTCCTCTTTTCCTTTGGCCTTGAGGATTCCATGTGAGGGCTTGTCTTGTGACGCAGTTGGGTGCTTTCCTCAATGTGTGTCCTATCCACTTCCAGCGCTTCTTCCTGATTTCTTCCTCCTCTGGGATCTGGTTTGTTCTCTCCCACAGTACGTTGTTGCTAATAGTGTCCGGCCAATGGATCCGAAGTATTTTGCGTAGACAACTGTTAATAAACACCTGTATTTTCTGGATGATGGCCTTCGTAGTTCTCCAGGTTTCTGCCCCATACAGTAGAACTGTCTCGACATTTGTATTGAAAATCCTGACCTTAGTGTTGGTTGACAGTTGCTTTGAGTTCCAGATGTTCCTCAGTTGTAAATATGCTGTTCTTGCTTTGCCGATCCGCGCCTTCACATCTGCATCAGATCCACCGTGTTCATCGATGATGCTGCCTAAATATGTAAAGGTTTTTACATCTACCAAATCTCCGTCAAGTGTGACTCGGTTGTTGCATGTTGTGTTGCATCGGAAAATTTTGCTTTTCCCTTTGTGTATGTGGAGACCTACTGCTGCTGAGGCTGCTGCTACACTGGTCGTCTTTTCCTGCATTTGTTGTTGCGTTTGGGATAGAAGGGCCAGATCATCTGCGAAGTCTAGATCGTCTAACTGCATCTTAGATGTCCACTGTATCCCGTGTTGCCCTTCAGATGTTGAGGTCTTCATGATCCAGTCGATCACCAGGAGAAAGAGAAAGGGTTAGAGTAAGCAACCTTGCCTAACACCAGTCTTTTCTTCGAACGACTTTGCCAATTGTCCTCCATGCACGATTTTGCAGTTTAATCCATCATATGAACTCTGTATGATATTGACTATCTCAGGTACGCCGTAGTGTCGAAGAAGCTTCCATAGTGTTGTTCTGTCCACGCTATCGAATGCTTTCTCGTAGTCAATGAAGTTGATGTAGAGTGATGAATTCCATTCAATAGATTGTTCCACAATGATCGTAGTGTTGCGATTCGGTCTGTACACGATCTATCCTTACGGAATCCTGACTGTTGGTCACGAAGTTGGGCGTCTACGGAGTCCTTCATCCTGTTTAACAATATTCTGTTGAATACTTTTCCCGGTATTAAGAGAAGAGTGATGCCCTTGTAGTTATCACAGTTGCTGAGATCTCCCTTTGGTATTTTGATCAGAAGTCCTTCTTTCCAGTCTGTTGGTACTTGTTCTTCATCCCAAATCTTCCGGAAAAGAGTGTGGAGTATCCTTGCAGTTACTGCTACATCTGCTTTCAGCGTCTCTGCTGGAATGTTGTCTGGTCCTGCTGCTTTGCCACTCTTGATTTGTCTGATGATCATGCTGATCTCTTCAGTTGTTGGTGGGCCAACACTGATTGGGAGGTCCGTGGGTGCTGCTTCGATGTTGGGTGAGTTCAGTGGAGCTGGTCGATTCAAGAGTTCTTTTAAGTGTTCTACCCACCTGTTTCGTTGTTCTTCAATGTTGGTGATTACCTTGCCTTCCTTGCTTTTCACTGGTCGTTCTGGTTTACGGTGATTTCAAGAGGGTTTCTTTGTTGTGTCGTACAGTTGCCTCATGTTTCCTTCTCTCGCAGTCTTTTCCACCGTCATTGCTAAACCTCCACATATTTACGTTTATCGGTTCTGATGCTCCTCTTCACTTGCTTGTTTGCTTCTGTGTATTCAGCTTGTGACTTGGCTTTCCCTGCTCTTGTTCGACTGGTATCGATTGCTGTCTTCTTGTTCCTCCTTTCTTGAATCTTATCCAGTCTATCAACAGTGATCCATTCCTTGTGATGGGGCTTCTTGTGACCCAGGACCTCATGACATGTTGAAGTGATTGCCTCTTTGATCCTCTTCCAGTTGCTCTCCATAGTAGTTTCTTCTCCATTGAGTAGATCATGAAAGGCTTGGAACTTATTGCTGAGGACGATCTTGAATTTGTTGAGTTTGTCAGTATCCTGAAGAAAGGCCGTATTGAACATTTGTGATGTTGTTCGCCCCATTGTCCAGTGCTTCTTGAGTTTCAATTTCATCTTGGCGACCAGCAAGTGATGGTCTGATGCTGTATCAGCTCCTCTCTTGGTTCTTACGTTTCCCATCGTCCTCCTGAACTTTTTGTTGATGCAGATATGGTCGATTTGATTTTGTGTAGTGTGATCCGGTGAAGTCCATGTGGTTTTGTGTATGCGTTTGTGTGGGAATATGGTACCGCCTATGACCAGTTTATTGAAGGCACATAGGTTTGCAAATCTCTCACCATTTTCGTTCATTTTTCCCAGTCCATGTCGTCCCATGATGTCTTCATATCCAGTGTTATCCATTCCAACCTTGGCATTGAAATCTCCCATCAGAATGGTCAAGTCCTTTGTTGGGCACTTGTAGACGATTGACTGCAACTTATCGTAGAATTGTTCTTTAACGTCTTCATTGTAGTCGTTGGTAGTTGCATAACATTTGATGACGTTCATTAAAATGTCCTCTTTCTGTTTTGAAGGAGGCTTTGATGATAAAGATTGAATATGCGTATATCTCAGATAACTAAGTTAAACTTTAACAATTACCATACACACATGGACATCTCATGCGTTATTTAGCCTTGAACTGTCATGAGATCGTGGACAAGTGATATTATGTTCTACCGACTCAGCCTATCAAGAACAAGTTTAGGCTATTTATGTAAAACTAAGTGGAAAAATATTTCCAGCTCATATTTAGAGTCATTTTAAAACTGAAAAATAATATTGTTCCATATCCCTGAAGGCTTCGAAATTTAAACTTATGTAATGAATTTCCTTGATGAAAAATATTGTCGGAATCCCTCAACAATAAAATTAGTTTAATCATTCTAGTTAGTAACTGCTTTCTAAAGAATCAATTTTAAAATGTTCAGGAATCAATGAAGAAGGTTTGTGTCAATGCGATGAAGCGATTCCTTCAAACTCGTCCAAATGCATCTTGGGAATCTATTCGACGTGCAAAGGATCTAAGAGATGCACATTTTTCATTGCCTGTTCACCAGATTTTTGGTAAGAATACAGTAAAAAGATTTATTTTATATTAGCTTCATCCGAGTATATTATTCATAGACTTTTAATATAGATTTTGTGAATACAAGCGCATGATTAAAGATTATCATACATCGCGTAATGAGTAAATCAGAGATTCATAAATGATTAATAAGCCAACTTTGTATATTATTCATTGTGTGATTGGTGCTGTGATTTCCATAGAGTTCAAATTATGAAATGTCACGTAAATATATCGTTATTTTACAGGCTATAAAACTCACTGTATAATAAATTTTTGTAGATTAACCTTCCAACGATGTAGATGTGTGTATTACTTCAATAAGGGTGAAGCTGTAACCTTACTAATTATTTAGTGAATGTGTATTTGAATAGATCGTCACAGATCGTGTAAACTTTACTTATTTAGCGATTGTAAAGTACAGCCAGTTGGATAGATTTCAGTCAAGAATTACCATAAAGAATATTCAAGTTGCTTTATCACCAGCAATGAAAAAGTTGGCTTAAAATGTACATTTAATAAGTTTTTTTTACACATATGATAGTTGTTTAAGACAGAATATTCCAAAATTACACTGTCGAAGTTATAAGTTAATATCAACTTAATATCAATTTCATCCAGTACAACCAAGAGGAGTCATTTTGGAAACCACCGGAATGACATGCTATCTTCTTCCAATTGAAGGGTTATTATTTTTACATTCTTATCATTTTAAATTTCGGCGTCTTGGACTGTAAAACAAAATTTAATGTAATCTAAACAGTCTAGTCATAGGCCACGATACATAATTACACTTAATATATTACTGAAAACCTATTCAAGTTGTTCATTAACAGAGTAGGCACAGTGATGTGTTAATTTTCTCAAAGAAAATTTTGTTGATACACTACTGTTGTTTTTATTGTGTATACTATACTCTTGAATCGTATTTCCTTTATAATTCCTTTTCCATTACGAAGATACCTTTTATTCGCTTTGTAGATAATTCAGCAGAAAAAGAAGATGGGACAAGTAATGAGATATTAGGTGTCATACGACAACTCAAATTGCCTGTGAGTTACATGCATTAAACCTTTTCATAAGATAATAATTGTTTATATTCTGACAGTGTTAAGCAATGAACAGTCAGTTTTGTATCTCACGCATACGGAATACATGATTAAAAAGGATAAACAAAAAGTATATTCTTTTGGACATATGAAAGTAGCTGCTGGACCTTATAACTCATTCTACACTGCTCTTATTAATATAGTTTATTTGTGGTTCGGTTGAATTCATATTGAGTTTTGAATGGATATCATTCTCTCGTATATGCCAAGCGGATTTTTTTTACAATGACTTTTTAGTACTCAGTTGTGTACAGAAACATTTTTGACAAGAAACGGCTGGATAATATTTATAAATAAAATGAAGAGTACTAGATAAATGAACTCGTAAATTCTTATGTATACATCTATTTGACTTCTGTTTTTATGAGTTTTAACACCTGATTAGTCTGAAGCAGTTTTCAACACAAATCGATAGCAACTAAATGATCACAGCAATCTGGAACTAGTAAATGATTATTTCGTTATCAGTTTCGAGCACTTTAGGAAATCATACAATTCATTTATAATATCATGGTGGGTTAACCACTGAAATCTATTCTTCAACATCGTTCAATTTCAGGTAATCGTTGATACAGAACAGTTGATTAAGTTTTGACATGTAGGTCAAGAAGTTTTGCTCGTCATCATGAAGTTTGAACTCCCAGGCTTTTTTCTTTCATTGAAACAATGTACTGTTCAATGTTAGGTCACCACTGAAATCCTGTAAGCACTAGATGTCTGTTTCATTCTAGTAAGGGACTCCTCAGCAGGGTGCATCCACGCTCTCGCACTCAGGATTTGAACCCAGGACCTTCGGTTTCGCGCGAATGCTTAACCTCAAAACCACTGAACTGTGATCCCACGGTGTTAATGTCTTACTTCAAACAATCCGCGATATTGCGCAACCATCTTCCATTGTCTTCAGTGGGTGACTGCTTCACGGTTGTGCTCTAATAGTCACGACTTTTCACTAGAACTCCCAGAATTACCTGTCGAAGCTAGTCACCGTTTTTGTTTATTGAGCGCAAAAAGACTTTGTTTTTGTTGTGCTTCTAAATTTACAAGCTCCCTGTTTTCGTTCTATGTGAATAAACGCTGAGTTATTCCTCAGGTATTTCAGATTACGATCTTACAACATTTCGACTATGAAGCATTAAACAAAAACTTACCACGTATATTTCTATGTTGAAGCTTACTGAATTACCGTTTTTCACATTTTAATTGCTTCAAGTAATTTTGATACTTATTCAATGGTATACTAGGATTTTATTTGTACAATGTTATACTTATACAGAAATGTGCCTTAAAGAATGTTTAAAGTTCCTTTTCTTACTTATTTTCTTACAGACTATATTTGAAGCTTTGGGCAAACATGTGAATCCTGAAGCTTTTGCTACAATGATGAAGAAAAGAAAACTACATGATCACATTATAGCACGCCGTGCTGCTCAGCGAGCTGTAGGTCAAACCAACAATGTACTGAAGGTGAGAGATTATATATATATATATATATATATATATATATATATATATATATATATATATATATATATATATATAGGATGATGATTTAATAAGCGTAACTACCTGCATACGTTCTACACTAGCCGTTTCAGAGAACACCAAACCGTACATTATTTGCGACACTTAGATCGAGTACAAAAAACTATGAGGCAATCAGTTTATGATATGGTGCCATTAAATGAAGGATAGTTACATTGTATGAGGTTCTGTTCTCTCTTCATATGTTTCGAGATGAATCGTTTTGATTCAATCTGTAAATAATGTGCGTAGTTAAATTATAATCCTATTTCTTCTCCATATTCTCTTTTTAATGAATTTCATTGGCATTGACTTCCTTGATGTACAATACTATTCTGTTTACAAATGCAAATAACCAAATGAACATAAAATCATTTCATTGATCTTGAAGTTATGTTAGTCCGTCAGTGAATGAAGCCTTTTTAATTAGTTTATTGTATATCATAATCATATTGTCTAGTTACGTAGTAGGTTTTCATTAGTTATGGAATAGTAGTGTAGTAGCAGTTCAATGGCCGGGATCTTTGAATTTCGGGTTCAAACCCCGTTCCACTTAAGTTCAAACACCCAGGTAGTATCATTAGCACTCACATTTAAAATGGAACTTGAAGCCAATTACAAAAATCTGTAACTGGTAAATATGTTAACATAAATTACTGTTTCACCTATACATTTGAACGATTTTACTCAAATCCCTATAATCCTTTCCCCTCTTAGAATTTAGTAGAGAGAAAGGTCTCATTAACGGACCAACTAGGTGCATGTAATGCTAATGATGAAATGTCGGATAATTTGGAAAATATTGACTTCTTTGTCCCATATTCACGTGGTGATGAAGCAACAGAGAATGGATTATCAATTACTGGAACAAAAAGTCAATTTTATTTAGATGCAGCAGCGGCTTCACTAGATTTACCAAATGATGAATCCCAACAAGTCAAGTAATGGCAATTTTTAATTTATTTAATTTAATGATTAATTGATTTCATTAATTGGATTGCTTTCTCAACTAAGTTTATACTTTGCAAAACATCTTTTTGTGCTTATATAGTGATTATCTTGATTAGATTTTTAATCATTTTTTATTATTTATCATTATATTCTTTTACTGTCTTGTATTCCTGAAACACTATCTCACTATTCGGTTCCCTTAAGAAAATTAAAAGCGAAAGAAAACAGTTCATGTCTCAGTAAAGTTTATTTAGAATACCTCTTCTTCTCCTTTAGTGCTGATTGGTTGAAAAGGAACCAATCAACGTGTTTCGAGCGTGGATTAGTTAAGACTGTCTTGTCAACATTCATCTAGAGAAATACCTTGATAAATAAAATACTCGGGTCTCAAGTCTGAGTGATGAATTCAAATCACACTTCATATGATTTGATTTGTTCAGCCTGGTGATATTACTATCACCCTTCACGCTAATCTATACAGCTCAAAGCAAAGTACATAAAACATGCACGTGAGAAGAGTCTCACTATTTATTTCATTATGCTTTTTTAATCTAAAGCAAACATTCAGTCATTAATTTTTATTATGGGTTTATTACCAATAGGTTCATTTTAGCTAGTCAGAAATGTTGAATTAAACTTTTTATAACCGATGGAATACAAAGTCGGTAAAGATTATTACGATTTTTTAAACTTGTGCCGTACACTTAAACTTCATTAAATAAATAACTTATGTCCTACATTTCGGTTCTTTTATTTCCTAATAATAATTCAGTGGTGGAGTTGCAGGATCACATAGTCGAAAGGTTGTTTGGGATCGTAAACGTAAACGATTTACTGGAATGGATGCTGCTCAAGGTAAAGCAAATATGAAACGTATTAAAACTGAAAGTGGTGTATGGATTCCTGCATCATACAAAACAGACAAGTGGGTCATTATCATTAATGGAATCTAATTTTCCCCAAAAATATGACATCATCAATCACTGTAACTGATTTATTTTACTGAATACCTTTCACTGTATAAATAAGTATATACATTTGTCCAAATTGAAAATTAAAGGTCTATTATGTGTTAGTTTGTTTATGAGATATGAAATAACGTGAAATATTAACCCCTAAATAATGCTTCTGATGCATTTTATTTTACATAGTTATGTTGAAGTGCAATTGTATGACAAAATGAGGGACTTACTAATCCCTTACAATTCATTGCACACTATTCTATTCTAATTGTGACTTGTTTTTCACAACGTAATGCATCTCTCTCTTACCGTTATATTCTTATTCTTTTGTTAAGATATAAGTTATGGCTTAAAAAATCGAAGTCAGATATTATACAGGAAACAAGCAAAAATACAGAAGAATCATCCTCCTTTATCTATGCTTCAAATACGCGTAAACGATTTTCAAAGTATGGTGATGTAATTGAATTACCTGATACAAATGAAGTGACCGGTAAACAAAACCACTTTTTCAGATCATCGACAGGGTACATGAGTAAAAAACAACAATTAACACCGAAATTCACAGTAATTGGATCACAAAAATGGCGTAAGTAAAAAGTTTTGTCAATAATCTAATTTTAACAACCATTTTTTAAAACATCAATATATCTTTATGATCAAATTTTTTGGCTAAATGGTGTTCTTTAGTAATTTTTATTCAGTCGATAAAACTTAATCAAGTCATTAACAATTGGACTGAGCCACATTAACAGATGCAGAATACCTGATTTAGGTACGGGGGATTATCATATCCAGTGATTAGAGACTTTGAATGACGTAGCTCAAAGTCGTTTGCGATGGCACGGGTACATTCACCCTTTTTCTTCACCCAGATTCTAAGTTTCTGAATTCCTTATAATTTTTTTCAAAATTTAATTAATTTATACATTTTTTGAATCGTATCTCCGTTCCCTAATCCTTCCAATCAGCATTTATACTGTTACTACCTCTACTAATCTGAGATTTATACTGACGAGTTTATGTCTGTACCGATGGGTTATAGCAACTCGGACAGATGCCCTTACGGACCAGGTTCTACCTTTCTACTGAGTGAGAGTTTTGCTGAAATGTGCCATAATCACCATTATCATTTTATGTAACTGTAGGATTAAATTGTGGCTCACTTGTAGTAGTAATAGTATATAATCAAAAGTATCAGACCTCACTTTTACATAACCTGTTAATCAAAAACATGTACATACTTCTCAATAAAATGTCAAAATCATACATGAAATACATTATTTGCACATCTTTTACTAGTCTCTTACAAGCTTCACTGTACCCTCATCCCTATTTTTGTCTTGATTGCTTTCAGTTTCCTTCTCTTTTCGCTTTTGGCAAGCACGCAAGTGAAAGAAGACAAGACAGTTGGAACACTAAACTCTGGATTCTCTGAATTCGGATTACTACAAAAATGTACATGAATAAATAAGTGCATATCTTGACCACGACGTAGGATAATTTGGAAAAATACAGTTATGCCCGAAACAGGGAATTAGGGTAGAAAATATAGTGCAAAATATAATGTTTAAATTACAATATTTTTGGAACAAAAAAGGGTATGCTAGTGAATGATACATAGAACGAAAGCTCGTGTTATGTAGAATAAGATAGGGACAAAAATAAATATGTGTTTTACAGGTTTTGAATGAAATGCAATAACGTCCCAAGAAAATAGCTTTCGTAATTGTCTGGGCTTCTTAATTCCCCGTTCATAACACAAACAAACAGATGGTTTGTACAAACATATCCTTTAACTTGATTTCTCCATGTATATATATTTGTACACTAATTTTAGAAGACCGAGCAACTTCTCGACAGAAAGAACGTTTACAGAATGCAGAAGAAAGGCAAAAAATACGCAAACCGAAAGGATCTCGAACATTTGGTCAACTCAGGCTACCCGAGCAAATATTGAAGCAACGTAAATTGCGCGAAAAACAGAAACAACGTGCCCAGAAAAACAGGAATAATAACCAGTCACACAAAAAACGGAAACATTAAAGTATTTTAACTATACTAACTTCTGTACAGTTAATTTTTTTATTGAGATAACATATTCAAGGAATAAGAATTCTATTGTGAACAATATACACTTTGTTTATGTTTATTGAAAACAGTTAATGGTGAATTATTTTATTTAAACACTAGGGAATGAACTAGTTCTGGATTTAGCGATATAACCATTGTAAAGTCCGTGACCGTATATTGTTGGGACCTGCTTTTGTTGTAGTGCGTTAGTTCTTTTGCAACATTGCAGTGAGAAGAGTCCTTAGTGATAAATCACGGTTGATCGGGTAATTATTTCTAGAAGTAGCAGTTTGTACGAATAACAATGGTAAAATGGACATATTTTTCTTTCATTAGATAATATTCATGTACAGTATAACAGACAGTTCAACTACAGTTTACAGTCATTGCGCTGTCATCTGCTATTCACAAAACGTCGAATGCTTTTTTTCTCGCATAATGTTCAATCTGCTAGAAAAACTTTTAATAGTGAATTACTAGCGCCATTTTATATCGACACTTACTCAGTCATTAAGTAGTGGGTGTTTATTGTTGCTGCAACTAATTTTATAAACTTTGTTTGTTCAGCAATATCAGTAATAACTAAATTCTCATTGTTGTGGTTATGGACAAAATATTGCCATCAAGAGAATGATAACTTACGTAAAATTTCGCTTCATGATCAGCAATTCCCTATTTGATCTAGTCATTAATGATTTACTTGGTTTTTCAGTTAAAAACAACTCTTACATTCATCTTTGAATCGTACACCATCAGCTTTTATAAAACTTTACTTCGAGTTCATTGTCAAAATATACTGTATTCAGTTTTTATTTACTATCATGCCCAGTTAGTCTCACACATCTGCAAAATTTTATGAATGTAATCATATGATGTATTATCGTATCAATCTGGCTAAAAAATTTCTAATCAGTCGTTTGTATGTTGTTAGGTTATGTGATGACACAGATGAGTTTTCTCCTCAAAATTTCCAGTTACGAAACCTTGTTTGTTTTAACAACACTTTTAATCGGAAATACGATGTGGGATTTAGGGATTTAATTTTCATGTTTCCTGACAAGTTATATTAAGGTTATAGTTATTCACCTGAAAGAAAACTAGGCCAAGCTTTTTTATTATCTTCAGCAGTAGGATGCGGAAAGAATAGTTTAACAAGCACTTTGTTATATTTTTTATTTTGTAAGTGACCTTGGGGTTTTCATTATATTAGTATTTAACCACCACTGAAATAATGTCGTTAACAGTTGTAAAGTAAACAGCGACAGCGTCATGGGTTCATATCATACTACTGTTTAATCGCCTTAAAGATTTATATGTACCGAGTGAACTGACACTCCAAAAACATAGTAAGCTGAAGTTAATCATGAAAATGAAACTCAATCACTGTAGGAAGTCATCCAACGTTTTAGTTAGAGAGTTCAAATAACATTTTTACAAACCAGTAGTAGTAAGTATTTTTGGAAAAAGAAAGTTTGGTGATAAATTCCTATGCTGATGTATTGAAACAAACAAGATATTACAACGAAATTTATATTGGTATATCTAATAATACACTGAATATGATCCCAATTTACGCTCAAATATCACTCCACTATAATTAATATCAAGTAGTCCATAGTACTTTTGTTACTATATGTAAACTGCTGAATTATCTTATGATGATTTGCTAGTCAAAAAATAAACAAACAAACATTATAAACAAATTAAATATTTATTTCATTAAAATAATATTTATCACAGTGTTTCAGATGAAATTATGTATAAAAAATTAGTTTAAACGAATCCCATATAAATAGATACAATAAAAAAATACAAGTTTCACTTTTGATCTTTTCCAATATGGTAGTCCAGAAATTCTTTCAGTTGCAAATAAATCGGTGGATATTCTCGTTGTTGTCTTAGTTGGACCTAATGAAACCAAAATTATTAAATACGGTTTACTTTATCAAACATTGGATTATAATACACATAAATCTATATGATACAGATCATCAATGTATTTAGGTCGTCATAGAAAGCTTTCTTAATTGCAAAAATCACTTAAAATTAATATGAACTTTTGGAAAGTGGTCTCTGTATCTGAACAAATATAGTTCTTTGCAATCGCAGTGGTAACCGGTGTTACGATGTAGCGTTTAGGCTTTTTTATCATGACGAACTAAACAAACTATGTTGAAATAAAGAGCAAACTGAGGAGTGGTGTTCAGATCAAAGTACGGGGCCGATCCGTTAAAATAACCAACAGACTGAAGTAAATAAAGATGTGCAAACTTCCTTGGTGGGATCTGTTGATAATAATCTATGAAGATCAATTGCAATGGTACAAATAAATACATATATGTAATTATGTAGTTTAGTACCATAGAATGATTTTTATCTAGGAATTTAATTTGTTTCTTTGGCACTATGCGTCATACCATGTCTACTCTATTTCTTCACATTATTTTGAAGTGAATTGCGGTGACTTGATTCTGATGAATATTTGTAGTAGGTTCTGCGCTGTTTATTATCAACCAAATGAATTTTTTATACTGGTCATTTCCTCGTATGACGGTTTCTTTCTATATGATACTGACGATTTCTATAAACAATTAGTATTTACATTATAATACGGGCTTTTAATGATAAGATTTACAAAAATTCCACCAATTGTCATAAGTTCTATTTTAAATTGAAGTTCTCAGATTACTTAAAGCAATGCAGCTTTTTCTTATAGAATATTTCCCATGAAGATGATAATAAATACAGAAAACAGCACATATGAACTTAGATTTAATTTAAGAATCCAATTTTAGAAAATCTAAAAAGATACATTTTATAAAATTACCTCATGGACGTATGCTGAAAGACCATTGCGTAGAAAAACTAAACGTTCCGTATCATTTTTCCTTTTCACCAACCACGATACATAGTAATTTGTAGACCAACCTGCAACAATATGCGGATAACGAATTTCATCCGGTGCTCTGCTAAACATATGTTGACAAATCAAACTCGGCAGTAGATGATTTGACGAAGAACCAACTGAATCCTCTTTTGCATAAGTCTGAGAAAAAATTACATATATAGTGCGAATATATTATTCCATACTATTTAGAATCGGGGAAAATATGGAAATGCATTCTATATAATACGACTTAATAAAAGCAGCTATATATTCACACAAATATAGTCATGTCAATGTTAATTATTATAGAGTGGTTGCACAGACAATGGTTATAACATCTGGATTTTAATCAGAAAGTTTTAGATCTGAATTGTACTTCGCCTAACTTGGTTTGGCTCGGTAGTATCATCAACTTTCCAGGCAATGTTACCTCAAAGCCAATTATATAAATGTTCGTACTTGGTAAATGAGTTGTATGATCAAAATTAGATTAGTTTTACAAGATTTACAATTGTTCAGGTCTCGAAACATATGATCAACATAACATAGTGATTACAAGTTATTTGTTCGGTATATATTGAAATACTAAGGTTTAGTAAATATAATTTAGATTAATGATAATTTACGTGAGATCTATGTAATCCAAATGTTTCATCGCATAGTTTGTTGCTTGCTAACAGTATGCTGACTGATCAGAAGCTTGCTAAATTTCAATATTTATCTGGACTTAATTAAACTATTATATGTATATATTCTGAGAAACCACGACAGTTATGCGACTAAAGTCGACCTCTTAAGCGTTTATTTACGTGAAAATAGCAATTATATTTATCAGTATATTATCAATTATAGCCATTAGAGTCAACAATCCTGTTGAGTCGCCTTTCGGAGAACTTCAACGGAGCCTCCAGAGGCCCAAAAGGAGCCGAAGAGTCCTAGCTAATCAGAGCACGATGGAGCATCCTAGAATTCCAACGTGGCGTGCTACTACTGGTCAGTAGCATAATATGTCGTTAACGGATTGGCTGAAATATGATGTTGATTTAACAAACGCTAACATCTATAAATACCTATGTTTTCTGTACATAAACGAACCTTGGAGTAAAGTATTCCTCTCATACTTTGCGTCTTCTCTCTGGTGTTCAGGTCGCTGTGTAGTTCTAGTTTGCGGGTTTCCAGAATAACTTAGGAAACGAATATAGAGTTCAATTCGCAAGACTTATCAAATCCACTATTTATTAATAATATAAATGAATATTGTACGTACAAATTTATAGTCCTATTTCACCAGGAATTTATGTCTATCTCCTTTACAAATGAAAAAAGCTAGTTACCTTTTCCATATACCTAACCAGTTTAAAGTAGTTAGTAAAATAATCCTGTAATTATCATGTCGAATAGAACACAAATAATACTCGAACAATTTAGTAAACTCGATTAAACTTAATAACAGGCAACCGAATACATAAAACACACACAACAAAGCGTACCTGAATTAGCTGTTCATTTTCCATAGATAGGATAGAAGGAAAATCTCTTAACTGTTCATAAGATTCTGGGATTAGTTTACTTAATGTATATCCATAATTTGGAGAGCATAATGGCATTAAAGCTAATTCAAAATCTTTATAATCAGCGGCTAGTTTAAGACGTATTGATTCTTTTGAAGAACGAATTAATGTTGATCGCCAAAGATAACTGTTGACACACATAGTAAGAATTGGTTTTAAGGCATCTTGCAATGCGAATTCACCGCAAACATAACATCCTGATTGTGTGAATATATTAGGTATTGTATTAACAAATTTTGGAGGTTGTGATAGATCAGATAAATATTGTTGACGAACTCTAGCAGTAAAGTTCTGCCAAAAAAGTTATGAAAACCAATAAATCAGTAGAGTTTACATATCAATGAAAAATATTCAATATATTTGAGGATCATTGACGAATATGAAATGAAACTTTTATTGGTTTAATTGTACTTAGATTTCTACATATATGTAAACTTATTAATTATGTAATGCAAAGTTTATTTTATGTTACAAAAAATCACGGAGGTAAAAACCAACTGTAAGATTTTATGCCATGGAATCAGAAAAGCAATAACTAAGTGAAGTATGGTTAATTAAGTGTGCAATTAACATGCACTACAATAATATGCACAACAAGGATGTAAAATATTTCAATTATACTCACTAATTAATTATTTAATAAGTTAATTAAATATACATACGTAGAAATAATGTCATCGATAAAGTTAATTTGATAGATGACAAAATGGTTGACTTGTTTGAATTAAAAACAACAGGTAAAAAAACTTTAAATACAAATTAATAAAGGTAGAAAGATTTCAAGATAGTGTTAGTAATATAAACGAAATTAGTTTAAGTAGTACTTATTAGGTTTGGAGATTTCTAAATGTACACTTACCTTTCATTATACATTGTGATATGTGGTCTTAGGTACGGGTGTTTAATGGTTCTATACTGTGAGGAAACATATATAAGGAGCCCTTTAGGTTCTCAATAATTTTTCACCCAGCATTATTTCGTAGTCAATTAATTTCTTGAACTATCTCTCAGCTGTTAGCAGGGTTTTGGAATTTTCTGTTATCGATACTCAGGACTACAACTGATCAGTCTCTGTTGCGATATGTGCACAGCGGATTTACGCAAAGTAGTGTTACGTTGTAAGTTGAATGTGTGAAGAGGAAGGTAGTAGGTTTGCCTCGGTGTGGACATCTAGTTGGTGGGTCCCCAAAAGAACGAAAAGCGAGACATTGATTCGAACCCCAGGCACGTTACTAAATATACGAGAAATATCTTTCAGTTCCTTTATGCGATTTGCAGACAAATACTCTTTTATCAAGGAATACACTTCATAGGGGAAATTTATTTGGTTTTATATAAACACTACCTACTTGCAGCTAATATTTGGCAGATGGAAATAAAATTGACGGACAATCAATATAAAAGAACAGTAGTAATTAATCGTGATAGAAATAGACCAAATTTATTTTACAACGTTATTCATTTCGCCAATTTACGAAATCTAGACTTAGGTAGCCTTAAAAAGTTAGTTTTTCAATATAGGACGACAAATATTAGTTTTAGCCCATCAATAAGATGTATTTATAATCTTGTGGGAACTGATACTCTCTGTGGTATTCGAAACCACATCATCCACTTTCCTACAAACTACCTCAGACAACGTGAAAATCAAAACATAGTGCACATGATGTCAAGTCACTTAGACTAGTGATCACATTGTAATGTGATCGCTAGAATTCGAACGACATTAAATGATTAGCCAAACATGACATTTTGTTACTAATCAATGATCAAACAAAGTAATTTTGACTTTCAAACAAGATTCAATGTGACTGATAATTTGATGTTACTATTCCACCGTAGCGGCTAACAGTGGAGTACAAAATATTTTATTTGTATTTAGAACTCATTCACTGCATTCCACTAAATGTATATGTTCACACTAACTAGAATCCAATACATAAATTGTTTCAGACAGCACGACACTATTTGTCTGGACATCAGTTTATGACAGCAGTCTAAATTTTTCAACTTTTCTGTCATTAGTGTGTTTCATTACATTGAATCGCTGCTTAATTGTCAAGTATTGTTTATCATGAAGAACTATATGGACATAATGGAAAGATCAATATTTACAAGAAATATTATGAATTTCCGTAAAAAGGAAAATAACTAACCTGTAAATCTTGTAGATACTTCGATTTACTGCTTAGTTCATTAACTGATACATTTTGATATGAATCATATTCATTATGCATTGAACTTAAAATTTCATCTATTTTATTACCAATAGCTAGAAGAAATGGATTTAAAATGGAATTGCACAAATTATTCAAATGATTTTTTGTTGATTCCGAGATTAACTGAAGTGGATTTTTGATTGGTGTCATTGTTTCAATTGTGGTAGTCAGTGGGAAGGTTTCATTTAAAAATGTAGATGATTTACTATAATTTTTATGATTAATGTTAGATGTTGTTATTGTATTCAGATTGTTCAATCGTTTATTAACAGTTAATTGTAAATTTGTTCCAAACTGACAGAGAAGGTTGACTAAATGTATATTATTCTGTTGTCCAAGTGTTTGTGAATCTGTCAATTGTACTGCACAAGTACTACCCGTAGAAATCAAAGTTTCAGTTTTAGTTGCAAATAAAGCAATCAATTTATCTAAGTTGCGAGTAACCTAAGTTTATGAAAAGGAAGTTAGGTAACAGACAGTAAAAACAGTAATTTATATGTTTATCTAATGATTACATATTTAGTATTAAGTAGACAAATTCATTGTTCAATGTGAACTATTTAATTTGACCTGATGATTAGTAGAGTCTATCAGTGTTACACACAGGATCGTTCTTGTAGATAATATGGTAATAATTGTAATGTAAGCAATATAAACACTTGATTTTGGCAAGCAATAAAACCTATAATCAATGCTTCCGCATTTTCAGGGATCTAGAGTATAAGTGTCTGCGTTATAACGACAGTTTTTAGAGAAGACTAAGTCTTAATAACGGAATTATCAAACAACTTTTGTGTAGAGATCGTTTCGTGACTTCATTTATCATTTTGTACGAGAAAATACTCATATGTTTACTATTAATTCAAACACATAGAAACAGTGTAACATCTGAAATACAGTTAGCATCAGTTAAAATTGCTATACTTCATAACAGTACAGTGATATGTTCAAGAAGAAAATTACAAAATGTTCCTAACTTGAGTATATCATAGATAATTAAAAATAAATTAAAAAATGTATTATTGTCAGGAGTTACTTCAGCAACCAAGACTAGATAGACAAGTATACCAGGGTAGGATCCCTACACACAATAAGTTGTTGTAACTCAGTCGGTAATTAATCAATCGTTCTATACACACTTTTCATTGACTTAATCAAGGATAAGACCGTGTCAATGAACAATTAATGTCTCTCAGGAAACAGCAGAAGCCAGATCTAGAGAGTTAACTATCGAGAGCCCTAAATAATTCCACCTGATGTAAGTAGTTCATGTACGATTGAGAAGTAGGAATATTTGAAAAATAATACTAATTTGTTAAATAAAACTAACTCAAACAGATTAATTGAGTACGACAATAAACCACTTATCTAAAGAAGTGTTTCGTTATTAGTGGTTAGTTTCAAGATTAACTGCCCAAAATTCTAGTGAGAAGCTTTGATTTCTGGAGTCAAGTAAGCATCAATCGAATGATGTAAGGATTGTGATCCATCGTGAATTAAGGTTAGAAGGGTGGACTATTGGATTATAACCTAGTTGGTTAATAGAAACTATGTTTTTCAAAAGCTCGAAAACCAGGATATGTATGATACTCCGTTGAGCCTTAAATGGGCAATAATATCTTACATTAGGCTAAAATTGATTTATGGCAGTTTCCAGTCATTTCGGCTGAGATTAGTTCAGAAAGAAAACTAACTACGAAATAAACATAAGTATTCCTCTTAATTTCAAATTTAAAAAAGCCACTCACCTTATATAAGAGGTCATGATGAACAGTAGCATATGCTAATTCATTTGCAGCCGTTTGTATGATATCATTTAATTCATTTGTATCTGGTCCAGCTGTTGTAGATGTTGAAAAAGCCAAAGTTACCCTATCAAATAAACGCGATACACTACGAGATAAATAAGCTGTTTCAAATGGATGCAGTGCTCGAACTAAACACGAAGGTAGTTGTTCCAATATAGTTTGTTGATGAATAGGTGATAAGGTATATTGATCATAATTACTATTATTAGATAATTCATTTGAAAGGGTACTGGTTACACGACGTTCCAAATCTAATATTAATTTTAATAATTTCGGATATTCTCCTTCAAGCACTTCTTTAATTACTGGTGATTGATTGGAAACAGCAGAAAGTTTAGTGGCCAGTTGATCTGATGCCCAACCAAGGAATCCTTCATTTGAAACCAGTGCATTACGAATATCTGCACGATTATCATTAATTTGTTTGTGACCAATTGAATTATCGATAGCAGAGGATGAGTCGATGTTATCTTCTATGATTAAAAAAACGTGCGGAAATACTGTTAATCATAATACTGTACGAAATTTTTACGAACACATACGGTTAAAAATTTTTAGCACATTTAAACATTAATAGAAAAAGGAATTAACTAACGAATTTTTAGCAAACAGATTGCACCGTTATAGTTTTGCCACAAACTGATGTCACTAGAATAAACGAGAAATATCACACAGTAGTGTACAGCTATTTCGTTCTTAAAGATTTAGATGCAGAAAACACTAATGATATTATTTGAAATCTCAAGCTTCATAAAAAGTATTTAGGCATTGCGCATCATTCAAACAGCTGGTGATTTTAAATATAGACAGCTAGTTACAAAGCTTAGTGATCGCAAACCACATAGCTGATCCCTAAATCAGTCGGACAGTAAAACGCGATGCAGAATCTGGTATGTATGTATATCGGTTCAAGTTACCATAATCTATTAACACAGACCTCAGAGTAGTAGAGGTAGTAACAGTATAAATGCTGATTGGAAGGATTAGGGAACGGAGAAACGATTCAAAAAAAGTATAAATTAGTTAAATTTTGAAAAAAATTATAAGGAATTCAGAAACTTAGAATCTGGGTGAAGAAAAAGGGTGAACGTACCCGTGCCATCGCAAACGACTTTGAGCTACGTCATTCAAAGTCTCTAATCACTGGATATGAGAATCCCCCGTACCCCAATCAGGTATTCTACATCTGTTAACATGGTTCAGTCCAATTGTTGATGACTTCATGGACTGATACCATATTTTGGTTTGGCTGGCTCTAATTTTCTTCCAACCTACTCATGCACCAGAACACCACCCGTCGATGTAGGCAGTGGCTGGGCATACGTAACACAAGCACCAACAAACTGAGTTGATGAAGATTTATTATCCCTAAAGCCTAAATGGAGATTATACTATGTTATGAGCACTTGACTTTCAAACAATGGGTTTTACGATTACGCTCCACTTCACCTGCTTAGGTTTGAGGAGTTGGATAGCGTGCATAGCTCCTAAACAATACATACAAGAGCCTGCACTTTGTTATTTAATCACATTAAAGTCGATATTTCATTAAATTATTTGACTAGCAATATGAATGTTAATAAGTGTAAGCTTAAAACTCGAGAGATATCATTCATATTGACTATTAAGAAGTCCCATTACATATCAGAACGTATATCTAACACAATTGACTTCTTACAATTATTGGATGAGAATTACTACTAAAAAGCTTAGAAAATCATATTGATCAATAACTCCCCGAGTAAAAAAGAAAACAATGTCACAAACTGCATGGTTTGATATTTCATGGAATTTATTGATTGTTTGTACATTAAATCAGCTTAGCAAAACCATGAGTAAATGTTCTAATCTCAATATAGATGTTTGACTTACCATTATTTAAAACAATCGTTATATAATTATCCTGTTGATTTCATGAACTTTTGATTAAAACATCTAATTAGAGAAACGATCCAACTTAATTACCTTAAGAGATTCGGGTATTTAAATTTCATTTATTGTTTTAATGATAAATTTACGATTTCTATTATGAATTATAACTAGTTTAATAATAAACTTCAGTAAATGGTTGTATATAAGTAACAAAGTAAATGATTTTTATAAGTAAATTCATTATATTATTACTAAATGTCAAAGAGTTAATCTCAAATATGATACTTAAAGATTCTATTAAAAGAAATAATAAATGATTAATGAAATTTTCAAAGTGATAATACAAACCTTGACGAGTTAAAGATTCTTTAAAATTGGCTGAAGCAAAAATTAACAAAATTGAAGAATATTTTTCAGAATTTTTATTATTTTGCCAGTCGATAAGCATTTCATGTATAAGTAATTCAGCTAGACTAGGATATAATTCAGAAATATATTGGTCTAAACGATATATACTTGTCATACATACATCAATATGTGTTTCACGTTGTTTCATTAGAGTTAGACCAAGTAGACGACTACAAGAAATAAGTTGTTCCATTTTATCAATAGTTCCATCTAAACTAGTCCATACAGCAACATGAAAAGCAGCTGCTTGACCACCAACTGCTGATAATGAGGCTCTACCTGTAAAAAGAACACAACAGAAAATGATATACTGTAGGTTAATTAATACAAAAAAACACACACGCGATTTTACCTAGATTGTAATTTGTACTAAACACATTTGTCAATGACATTCAGTCAACCAAATGTACATAAATGATCTTATTAAGTATGATCCAAACTAGAGACTGATGCATCCGATTATGTTACTCTCCACTCATTAACCGATCACAGCAGAACTCAGATGAAGTCATCAAATACATATACTATAAATTATAATTTCATATTTTTATATCACTTACTCCAAACTATATACCTTGACTATTATTAAACATTTCCTCCTACTACTTCATGTTCTGATGCATTTTATTTATTTCATTTTGTTATATCTTGAAAAGCTGATTTTCTTGATATACCGCGTATAACAGAGCACTAGAACACCAAAACCCTTCCAAGTCGCAATAAGAAGACAGAAGACTAACGAAAGGAATATTATTCCAAACAGTGTCAATCATAGTACAAAATCGTCAGGTATTTATAGTTTTTAGTGAGAACGAAATCATCATTACAGTCTTCCAATCCGCATACAGGGGGTTATTAGCATTATCCAATCGGGAAGCTACACGTTGGAATTCTAGAACATTCTTCCGAAAGGTGATTGGATGGGACGTCTTCGGCTCCTTCTGAGCCTCTTACAGCTTCCTCGAGTTCACCGGTGGTCCGTCGTCACACATTTTACATTAAAAACTATGTCGATCTTTTTACTTAATTAGTCTTGATTTCTATGGTAAAGGTGGTCGTTGGATAAGCCTTATTAGTAAACTTGACTACTCTACTGTTTAAGAATAAGTCTTTAAAGAAAATCCTTGCTTTGTAAAACTCATATTTACTAGTGTATATCAGAATAAATGAATGTATTTTATGAATTTAAAAATAATTATACTGAATTAAAAAAAATTAAAAATGAAATTCTATCATATACCAGATATGTTGATAAATTCAGGGGCCAGAATAAAATGATTGTATTCTAATACATTTTAAAGAGGATCTAAAATTTACCTGGACCAGAACCTCCTTGCTGAATTTTTTGACGTGTTCGCATACGTTGAGTTAATGAATCTATATCAACGGAAGAAGATAGTACAGAAACAAATTCTGATTTCCATTTAGTCACCAGTTCATGAACCACATCCATTAACATATTTAAATGGTAGAAAACCTAAATGACAGTACAAAGTTTTACAGAAAAGACGGTAAACGTTAAATATAACAAATATGAACGAATAGTTTAGTGTTAGAATACGGAAAAGAGTTATCATATTAGCTCAAGAACCAACTCGACGACATCAAATGTTGGTTTGTGATGAAATTCGAACTATAGAAAATTCCCGAAAAAATCATTTGACTTAATAATAATCATGTAGTCAACACTAGTGATGAACTTATTTAGATTCTAGTGGGAGGACGTCATCTATGACATTAACCAAGTATTCATGTATGTGACAATAATTCATCGATGATAGTTGAATTAGTTTTAATGAACGCATCCACTAGCTACTTGGGTAAGTGTTGGGGACGATAGTTCCCCAAAACTCAAATTTTGTAATTTACTTATCGATTAAATGTGCAGATAGGTCAATTGATGAACTATCGATTAAATGTACAAATAGGTCAATTGATGAACTATCGATTAAATGTTCAAATAGCAGTCAATTGTTGATTAATGTTCAAAAATCTTCCATGACAATATCGATTGTAAATATTTGTATAAATACGCTTGATTTGTGTGCTTGAATTGACTTGTTATCTGCTGTTGTCTGTAGAATACACTTTCTACACCTTACCCAGACTTTTTGATCGAGTTAGCAGAGTTGGGGACAACGGACCAGAATAGACTATCGAGATTCTGAATCCTTGATCCGATCGATAAGTCACTGTCATATAATCGGCTGTCACTTTGAGACATAACAGTAAGGAACCACACTTTAGGTTTGAGGGCTAACGATACAAGCTAATCGCCTAAACCAAGACAAGAGAGGGTTTTGGACCTAAAACCTGGTGGGAGAAAGTCGAGTGTCTTAATCACTAAGCTACCGCTTTTCCATTGATGATAATGGATGTAGAAGATCGAACTATATTTTCGACTGATTAAAGTCAGAAATATGAACCATCAAATTCCAACTTTACGCTTAAATGGTATTGTGGAAGATGGGACAAATCATCACCGTCCTCGCTAGAATCTTCTCTGTTTTACGGCATTAAAGGATCTCAAATTAAAGCATAAAACGTGTATTCCGTACTCAATTTTCCTGAACGGCTCTTCAGATAATCTCGATGCTCGTGGATAAAAACTCGCTTTAAACTGTCCAAACACAATACGAATTTTTATTCTAAATGCTTGTGAGTAATTACCTTTCCAAACACATTAAAAACAAATCAGTGCTTTTCAATCGCAACAAGCTTTGCGTAACCAATGTTCCTCTTGAAACTAGTGTTTTTCGGAAACATAATATATGGATATATACATATATATCTTTTGCGTAAAGTCACATTTTGACGGACAAATTGTCATATACTTCCCAAGTTATACTTTACCTAACTTAATTACTACTGTTAACATTCACAGAGTAGCATAGGCAGCTCACCAACATTCTACATCAAAATCTGACGTGGTCAATCCTTTCCAGTTGTTTCCAGTTTCTATTCATCCTTTTCATGTCTGCTTCCAATTCCCGATACAATGTGTTCTTCGGTCTTCCACTTTTCCGTTTCCCTTCAGGATCCAAAGTTCGCACTTGCCTCGTGATGCAGTTTGATGATTTCCGTAATGTACGTCCTATCCACCCCCAACGTCTTTTCTTAATATCCTCTTCAGATGGAAGCTGGTTTGTTTTTTCTCACAGTAGGTTGTCGCTAATGGCATCCGGGCAATGGACATTAATTATCTTACGTAGACAATTGTTTATAAATACTTGTACCTTTACGATGATGATTGCAGTAGTTCTTCAAGTTTCAGCTCCGTACAACATAACTAACTGCCTTGACATTCGTATTGAAGATTCTGACTTTGATGTTAGTTGACAGTTGTTTTGAGTTCCATATGTAATTCAACTATAGGAATGCTGTCCTTGTCTTGTCAATCCTTACCTTTGCCTTTGCATAAGAACCTTCTTATTCGTCGATGATGCTGTCCACGTATGTGGAAGTTTCCACATCTTTCAAAGCTTCTCCATCAAGTGCGATTGCGTTGATGTTCTTCGTGCTGCATTTCAGAATCTTGGTTTATCACTTGTGTATGTTGAGGACTACTGATGCACAGGCTTCTGTTACACTGGCTATCTTCATCAGCATTTGTTGGTATGGATCGGATAGATGAGCCAGGTTATCTGCGAAGTCCAAATTGTCTAGTCGTATTCGAACTGTCTATTGTATTGCGTACAGCCCCTCAGATGTGGAGGTCTTCGTAACTCAGTCAACCACGAGAAGAAATATAAAGGGTGATAGTAGGCAGCCTTGTCTGACACCAGTCCTCACTCGGAGTACATCCGGCAGCTGTCATCCATGCACGACTTTGCAGTGTAATCAGTTTTTTTTGGTGGTGTTTTGTTCTCTGAGCTGGATGGTTTGGTCGTGGAGCTTTCACCGTTCTTCTGAACGACATCATCAGTACAAACTTCAGATAGAAGTGAAGTGTTCGAATTTCTCTATATGTGTTTCACAGCTTGTTCTGTGCACCTCGATGTTGATTGGTTCTTGTTGACCTTAAATTTACTAGTATGGGGTTGTGGAGACTATTAAGTTTTAATTGAGATCTTGAACCAATTGATGTTAGACCATCACAATTGAAAACCTGGAAGCACTGGACGGCCGTTTCGTCCTATTGTGGGACTCCTCAGCAGTGCGCATCCACGATCCCGCGAGCGGGATTCGAACCCAGGGCCTTCAGTCTCGCGCGCGAACGCTTAACCAACTGGACCACTGAGCCGGCATCCAATGGTGATAGTTTCTAACATCAACCAATCCACGAAATTGCGCGATTTCGACAATGGAAGTGGGTCGCGCAATTTCGTGGATTGGTTGATGTTAGAAACTATCACCATTGGATGCCGGCTCAGTGGTCCAGTTGGTTAAGCGTTCGCGCGCGAGACTGAAGGCCCTGGGTTCGAATCCCGCTCGCGGGATCGTGGATGCGCACTGCTGAGGAGTCCCACAATAGGACGAAACGGCCGTCCAGTGCTTCCAGGTTTTCAATTGTGATGGTCTAACATCAATTGGTTCAAGATCTCAATTAAGACCTTAAATTTATCATTGTTTACTTCTTTGTTTTGGTTGTGTCTCCCATTGATTTGATTTTTGTTCCTATATCTATGCATGATTTTCCTGATTGGTTGATAAATTGGATTGATTTCAATATGTTTGTTGATTGCTGATTGACCTGAGTGCCAAACTTCTAAAAATTCCCTGGTGTTTTTGGAGTTTCCTCTGTCTAAGATTTCTACATTTTCCCAATCGAATGAATGTCCGTAGTTATCCACGTGTATTGATAAAAGTGAAGAGATATCATGGCGTTTGACTGCTAATTGATGTTCATGTAGGCGTAGGTGGAGGGGGCGTCCGCTTTGTCCGATGTAGTGTTTGTCGCAGTTGGTACAATTTATTTTGTGGGTGATGTTTGATTTGTTTTCCTTTATTATTTCATCTTTTGGTTTGCATAGGATTGATTGTAATGATTTTGTTGGTTTGTGTGCCACACCTATCCCGAAGGTTTTCAGCAGTCTCGTTGTGGTGCTTGATTTGGGTTCTGATGTACAAAAATCAACAAAAGGATCACCCTACCGTACATACAAGGAATATCAGAAACCACAACGAGACTGTTGAAAACCTTCAGGTACACTGTAGTGTTGAAGGAGGTCCCGTAAGGTCCTCCTATTCACATTGTCAAACGTCTTCCCACAGACAAGGAAGTTAGTGTACAGTGACGAATCCCATTCAATTGATTAGTCAACGATAATCCATAGTGTCGCTATTTGGTCTTTTCACGACCGATCCTTACGGAATCCAGTCTGCTGATCTGGAAGTTTGGCGTCTACTGAATCCTTCATCTGGTTCAGCAACACTCTGTTGAAAACGTTTCCCGGTGCCGATAGTAATTTGATGCCTGTGTAGTTCTCACATTGTTTTAGGTCTCCTTTCTTTGGTATCTTGATGAGATATCTTTCTTTGCAGTCTGTTAGCGGCACTTGTTCCTCCTCACAAATCTTCCTGAATAGAACGTGGAGCATGATTGCAGTTACTTCTGTCTGATTTCAGTGCTTCAGTTGGTATATTGTCAGTTCCTGCTGCTTTCCCACTATTGATCAGTTTGATGGCTATCCTGATTTTTGCGATCGTTGATGGAGTGACAGCTATAGGAAGATCTGCAGGTGCTACTTCGATGTTTGGTGGATTCAATGGAGTTGGTCTATTCGAAGGTTCTTCAAAGTGTTCCACCCATCTGTTCTTTTGTCTTTGAATCTCAGTGATTCGCTCGCCTTCTTTGTCCTTGACCGGTATCTCTGATTTACTATATTTTCCAACCAGTTGCTTTGTCGTTTCATATATTTGTCTCGTATATTCATTCTCTTGCAGCTTTTTCCGATGTCATTGTAAGGTCGTCCGTGTATTTCTGCTTGTTGGCTCTAATGCACTTCTTTACTTGCTTGTTTGCTTCAGTATACTTAGCTTATGCCTTGGCTTGCTCTGTTCTTGTTCTGTTGTCGTTAATTGTAGTTTTCTCGTTTTTTCTTTCTTTCTTGAATCTTGTGCAGTGTTTCAATGGAGACCTATTCCTTATGATGATGCTTCCTGCGACCCAGGACCTCCTGACATTTTGAAATTATTGCTTCGTTGATCCCTTTCCATTTGTCCCCTATATTAGTTTCTTCTTCTTTGAGTAGATCTTGTAAGGCCTGTAACCTGTTGTTGAGAGCTATCTTGAATTCGTTGAGTTAGTCAGTATGTCGAAGGAAGGCTGCATTGAACCTTTGCAATGCTGTTTGTCTAGTTGTCCAATGCTTGTTTAGCTTCAGTTTCATCTTGGCAACCACCAGGTGGTAAGGTAAAGCTATGTCAACTCCTCTCCTAGTTCTCACGTCTTCCACTGACCTGAATTTTTTAGTGATACATATATGATAGATGTAGCCCTATATAGTGTGATTCGGTGAGATACATATAGTTTTGTGTGGGAATATTGTGCCACCTATAACCATTTTGTTGAACGCACATAAGTTTGTGAATACCTCACCATTCTCATTCCTTTCTCCTAGTCCATATCGTCTCATGATAGCTTCGTACCCGGAGTAGTCCGTTCCGACCTTGGCATTTAGGTCAAGTCCTTTCCTTGGTACTTTTCTACTTAAAGTTTATTCTTAAAAAATAGTCATTTAGGCAATTGAGTATACATATTTGTTCTCTAGATCCTAGTAAATTATATTTTCTCATAACAAAATACGATTTTTTTTTCGAAAAGCAAAATATAAAAAGTTTAGATAAGTTAAACAAAAACCAATAACTACTCTGTATAGATTGTAAGTAAGAACTATAGCCTGTAAAGCTTATCACAGAATATTTCAAAATGGAACTGAACTGAAGCTATAATGTGACTTTAACTTGAAAGTAAAACCATAGTAAATCAGTGGACAATACGAAGTAGACAATATATTTAAATCAACAGTCTTACCATGATGATTGAAATACAAAGTTCTGTAGAGAAACGTAAACCGGCTTTTCGTAAAAAAATGGTTTTTGGAATTCTTTGAGCTTATCTGGATACGAATAACGAACTAGTGGTTGAGTCAATGACATATTACCACATGTCGTGAAATAAGTTTATCCATTGAGGAAAGCGAGATAATAGTGAAACTATTAGCACAATGAATTATTTATTTATTAAAAACCAACACTGTTACTAATAAGGATATCCTGCTTCGGTCTGGACACCCGAGAAATATCACAGCCCACACACAAATCAAATGACTTGTGTGGCGCATATGTATTAGGTGTCCCTTTGTACCAACATTTGTGTTCAAATAAAATAAAAATAAGGATATACCAAATCGTTTAACTATGGATAACTGTTGTAACTCTACAGAAAGTGTTAAAGTATGGAAGTAAAAATCATTTTTTGGTCAAAAATAAGATAAAGACCCTCTTACTCACCATATAGAATATAATCTAAAATGCAAGATACTGCAAAATAATGTCTACCAACATAGACAACACCATTTTTAATGAGATCTGATGTGAACATTGTGTTGTAAGCTACAAAACACTACAGAATTTGACCTGTTGGACTGACCCAATACCAGGTGTGGCTATGCTGTTGTATTTAACCATTGTTTAACTTGCATACTAATATTTTATATTTACTTTAAAAAGTTAATATAATAAGGAGGAACAAAAAAGAAACAATTTACCTGTAGTCCTGTGGCTAATTGAGTTTGATCAGATAACTCATAAGATGAATTGATTAGGCTCCATGCTTGTGACACCATACTCTCTCGAACTTGAACTAATGCACGATTATAGGACTCCAATACATGGATTCCTTCCCATTCCATATTATTAAAGATGAAGTTTAACTCATTTACATACATTGCACATTGACATAAATCTTTAGACTTACCTATTTAAGGATAATAGTGATAATAATGATGTTATACGAAGAGCAAAATACTCACTTTGGATTCGTTTCATTAGTGTTGCTACTCGAGATATATTACGAAGAATAGCACATGTAATGTGTAGATTTTTGAAATGAGTTACATTTGTGGATAATGTTTCATGGGGAGTATCTATTTTCTTTTTAACTTTCGATAAAGAAGTTGACAAGTTTCGTATTTTATCTTCAACTGCCTGCAAAACATTTTGCAAATTATCAATGTCAGAGGCTCTTTTAAACAGGTCGACGTGATTATCAGCAACATGCTGATGAATCAGAGTGGCTAACCTGTGAATGATAGAGAAATAAACAACATAACGCCTAAAGCAGTTCAAAAAAGTGACAATATTTGTTTAGGAAAGAAAAAGAATGAGCATACTTCTTACCACAATGGTAAAAATGAAGCAATTTAATTTCACAAATAGTGGTCGCATCTACATACCAACTTTTATATTCAAACAGGCTTTACACATTCGAAGTATCATAAATGAAGTGATATGAATAAAATGAAAATTTGTGAGTTTTAAAATAGATTATCGAGACAATAATTTTCTGAAAAAAAACGAAATAGATAAGAATGCCGTATTTAAAGAAGCATCAAGGATCTAAGGACAATTACTCGTGACGGACGACTTCAAAAGTATAGTATAGTATGAAGATCCCAAAAGTCCTATTTCAACTATTTTAACCTGGTGGAATTGACGTGTTCAGCAAATGTTAGTACTATTGAAGCGGGAAATTCTAATTTCCTATTAAATAAAAGGAATATCAGGGAACCTCAAAACTTAGTTCTGTACTTACTGAAAATTAAAATTCACAACTTTTGAAATGAGACTATCTTAGGAAAAGCATTTGTCAGCACTACTGGCAGAGTATTAGCCTACAAACGTTTCGATTCTTATTGGGTCAGAACAGTGGCATCACAGAACTGGAAACCACTTAATTTTAATAATTTCTATTCAAAGTTCTTGTTTTAGGTTTAAAAGAAAGGAAAAATTCTAAAAATAACCAGTTCAACAGTTTCATTGTTTTTTTACTCGATCTAGGCACACTGAAAGATCATTGAATTCAGATTTACATTAAAAATGCGGCGATCCTTTAACAACAGTTATGCATGAATTCCAGATATGATGTGATTTAATGGAGAAAATCCTCTACTTACTAACTGTCACAACCATTTTAGAGCAGTTTTGAAGATATGCGTCAAACTAAAAATATAACAGAATACTGGAGTATGTGATGTGCAGGATTTGGATTTTATTGTACACACAAAACTTAAGAACATAAATATATTAAGTTTTTGATTGAGATCATGAACCGATTGATGTTAAACCATCACAATTGAAAACCTGGAAGCACTGGACGGCCGTTTCGTCCTATTGTGGGACTCCTCAGAAGTGCGCATCCACGATCCCGCGAGCGGGATTCGAACCCAAGGTCTTCGGTCTCGCGCGCGAACGCTTAACCAACTGGACCACTGAGCCGGCATCCAATGGTGATAGTTTCTAACATCAACCAATCCACGAAATTGCGCGACCAATTTCCGTTGTACTGAGGTAGATACCTGTCTCTACCCGACACGGATTAGCTCCACTGGTCACGGCTTCTCACTAGAACTCCGAGAATTCCCTCACGAAGCTAGTCACTAGTGAGCACATGTTGATTACTAGTATAGGAGTTGTGGAGATTGTTATATTTTTGATTGAGATCATGAACCAATTGATGTTAGACCACCACAATTGAAAACCTGGAAGCACTGGACGGCCGTTTCGTCCTATTGTGGGACTCCTTAGTGCTTCCAGATTTTCAATTGTGATGGTTTAACATCAATCAGTTCATGATCTCAATCAAAAACTTAATAATCTCCACAACCCCTATACAAATATATTAGGCTGAAGAGTTTTATTTTTACTTATGCCACCACAATCAAGACGAAATTTTAGAAGTTACTTGAGACTCATTAAGACCGAACAAGGCTTTTAGTTCAGATGATAAAGCTAATTCAAAGATTTTAATTATACTGTTAGATTTTGTGATCAACTATTTCACAGAAAATGCAAATATTTACGTTAAAACATGTTTTCGAAGAGACCAAAAATCATATTTGATTGGTTGCCTTAGTCATTAAAACGTTGGATGGTATTTTCTATAGCTCAGAAAATATGATGATATGGTTACACTAACTACACAATTAGTTGATGCAAGAATTTATCGGCATCTTTCAAGGATATGTTGGTATAGTCTCCTAGACCAAAGAACATGATCTGAATATCTCTGAACAAAATATTAAATTTACCTTTGCTATAGTTAACCAAGTAGTTTTTTTCCATTTCCGAAAGTTTTATTAAGAATAGACATAATACATCCTGAGTTACATACAACTAAATAATTTATTATGTGTCTACTTACTCTCTTATTCGGTTATCTATTGTGCATAAAACATTTGAAACTTTATTAGTACCAACAATATAAGAGACGAACAATCTAGCATCGAAGTCAGCATTAGAGAAGTTTTCCAAGTTTTCATCCATCGGTTTTGAAATGCTTATTATCTGGAAGGCAAATAAGTGTTAGTTAAGAAATGAGGAGACAGACGCTATGAAGTTTCTGGTGGTTTGATTTTATGAACGCAGACATTCAAACACTTGATGAATTAGTCCCAAATCTAACATCGGGGTTGCAAAGTTCATGTAATCGTTTGTGGATGGATAGATCTCAATTTTATTCGTCAAATTTTAATACTTTACTTCAGTTGGTCAGCCACTACGTAGAACCCGTACGTATGTACATCGGTTCAAGTTGCCATACCCCGTAAGCACAGAGAAATGGAGATTTTGGGCCAAATCCCAGAACGGTAGGCGTAGCAACAGGGTCAGTGATAATAATAAAAATTAGGCCCCGACGATAGGACTAGAAAAGAAGTCTTTTCCTTTACATCGTAGTCGTTTTTAAGAGATCCCACTGGTGCTGCTTCTGTACTTGTTGTAGTAAGTTTAACAGGGTCTTCTCCGAATTTCGCTAAGATCTTCGTCTTGGCCATTTTTGTCAGCTTTGCCACAGTAATGTTTATGAACACATTTTCACCCTCATGAAACGATAAAAAGGGTTCTTTATGAAAGGCATACCCAAGAGGTATGGTTGTTTTACATCCAAGTATCGATTTTTGAGTGATTGAAGGAGCAGAGTTACGGTAAAAAATGAAGATTTAGTTACACAAATGCTTTGTGAAAGCTCCATTGCAATGACTTACGGTCAACTCCATCACGCATCACAGTACAACAGTAGTTATGGATTAATTTATTAATATTATTGTCTGCAGGGGTCAGATATTTGGAGCGATTTCAATTAACTTAAACTGTATGGACAAATTAGTGGCAGGCATACTTGTTGAATTAACGATTTCAATTACCCATAACATGGAGGATTTGTAGTGTCAATGATACAAATTCCATTGGGTACAGTACTACTACAACGGTTTTAATTGAGAAAATAATCACAGAATGCATGTCTTACATTCCAATAAGGTCCATGTGTTTGGTATTTTTAAGGTGACTAGGGTGAGTGTAGACAATGCTAGATAACAAATCATTAACTTTCATTACGAAAAAAAATCTCGCTGTATTGGATTATTGGTAGTGCAGAAAACCATTTCGTAGGCCGGACATGGTTAGGAACTCTACAAGCGTAGTGGCACAACGTGGAAGGATAAAGCACTAGTACCAGCAATTCTGTATCGAAAAAGTTCGAG